TGAATGTGGTAACCGTCGCCTATAGATATAAACAGTAGCATGGACACGACAGAGTATAATGTGTCGCCCATGATACCCCCCATGCGTTGCCATTCCTGAGAATTAAGGTGTTATTCCTCTGTACCCTGTAAATTCACTGCCATATCCCAACCTTCAAACTGAAACACAGCCATGCAAACAACTGCTTCGCTGTAGAAACACGAATGGGACAGAGGTGCACAAGCAATTTATTTTTTGTACAAAGTTTCCCTCTAATATTGTTGTTTTAAAAGGGACGATGCTGCCCATCCCTCGACCGTTAAGATCCTTGAGTTGCTTCTTACGATATTTACAGGAAAGATAGGGGCAGCCCATTCAGTGGCAGGATCACACGACATTATTCAATAATACTATAAATTCTTTATATATTTTTTTTTATTCAACTTAGAATGGCAAGCAAGCTGACGACCCACCTGATGGAAAGTGGTAACCTACGCCTATAGACATGAGCAGTACCATGGACATAACAAAATTACAAATTAGGCTATTTAAAAATCGCATAGGTCTTGTTTTGTGTGTATATATGTTTTATATATTGATTACATATTATTATATTATATATATATTTATGATTATGGCTGCTTTTATCGTAGAGAAAACTTTTAAATTATTTAAAAAAAAAGTATTTTTCATATGATTTTTAATATGGTAACAACTGAAATAAATACTTTGATAAACTACGTGTTTACGACGCGAAAGTTACACGCAAAGGGCACGTGTTTCCACGTTATTAACATGCTCGTATGTACTCACGTGTAGAGATAAAACCACAAAGCTGGCCCCGCGAAAGTTTATACGTTTACAGCGACTACAATTGTGGCTAAATTAATATGAACCAGTAATATCACTATTCTTTTAAAAAATAAAATGGGAACAAACCGCGACGATTGGATATTTTGAGAGCACATTGGATTTTACTTAACTAGACGATGCTTGTACATGGAAAAAAACTTAAAAGAACCTAACTAGTACTTAGTTAATGTTTGTGCATGGGAAAAATTTTAATATAATTTTTGAAATTTTGTCTTATATGTATGTATGTTAATTTCATTCTTACGCAAAAACTCCTGCACAAAATATGATGCAGTTTTCAAAGTTCTACATCTGAATGTCTAACTTAAAATGAGATATATGTTTTATCTCTGATATGTCATCGAAAAAATGTATTTTTGTTTTTATTTTCAAAGTAATTTAATTTCTCTACTTCTGAAATATCGTATAAAGTAGCGAGTAAAAAGTTAGTTAAAATATAATTTTGGATTTGTAATGCGGTATTGTGTGACCATAAAAATAAAGTAAGTTTCTAACATGGCAAATTATAAATAAGTAAACAAATATTCGTTTAATGCATTGCATATGCGTAATATGAACATATATGTAAAAATAGTAAAAGAAATATTAAAAAATGTACTGAATTCGTAGTGTGTCACCTGCAACATCTATATTATTAATCTATGGTACGAATTTTGACCGATCACAAAAGTAGTCACTTACCATCAGGTGAGCCGCATGCTCGTTTGCCCCCTGTGTTGTAAAAGATTGCTAGCAATATAATTTATCAGATCACCACCAGATTTTCACCTGTCATCCGTCACTGATGCCCCACCAGATCACACCGATGGTAACAGTATTAATCCGCAGTCAGGTTTTTTTTTTAATGAGTGATAATGAAATAACCCCTCCTGCGCTGTCAATGTACGCTGGCAGGGCACCAGTGCGGGGTGATAGGAGGGAAAGGGATAGTAATGGAGACTGAGGTCGACCTCCTTGCGGTTCTCCCTGGAAACTATCATGGTTAATCCCTGATGAATTCATCATGATGGGCTAACTGGCATTTTCACCCAACAATTAGTATGAACTAGATTGAGACCCAGACAGGTGTACACACGGCATGGTTAAAGCTGTTGCCAAACAATGTTGAATTATGAATTACATGAAGAAAGCAATATGAATGTGATAAATAACAATGAAATACATGCAAATAACAAAAATATATAAAAATATGGACATGTCAAAGAGTCTTGATGGCTGATTGTAAAATGTTTTTGAAGACCGAGGTTCTCCCAAGAGACTACAGCATGGGGTTCTTCAAAAGGGGGGTAAAGAGGTTTCTTCAGGGTCGGCAACGCGCGCGTAATACCCCTGGTATTGCAGATGTTCATAGGCTACGGTAACCACTTACCATCAGGTGGGCCGTATGCTTGTTTGCCATCTCAGTGGTATAAAAAATAAAAATAACAAAAAAACATCCAGACGTGAGTTGAAGATATCAATTTGAGGATATTTAGCGGAAATTTCATTAAAAGTACAACACATACGGGGGGCGGGTTGTAATACGACGTAATATTCTTATAAATGCTGAGTGTAAATATTTTAAATTAGCATGAATACGATGATTTTGAAAAAAAGTTATTAATTTTTCTTGTAATAATATTCAGATATGACAAAAAAGATATAATAATCAGATACACAGTTCAAACAGTCAGTTGAGACTTTGTACAAAAGTTGATTGCTTGGGCACCTCTGGCCCATTCGTGTTTCTACCGTGAAACAGTTGTGTTTGCATGGCTGTGTTTCGGTTTGAAGGGTGGGATATGGCGTGAATTTACTGGGTACGCAGGAATAACACCTGAGTCCTCAGGAAAGGCAACGCATGGGGAGTATCATGGGCGAAATAGTATATTCTGTTATGTACATGCCACTGCTCATGTCTATAGGCGACGGTTACCACTTTCCATCAGGTGGGCTGTCAGCTTGTTTGCCATTCTAAGTTGTATAAAAAAAACGATATGCTTAAATATAAAATACAATGGTTTCCAAAACTAACAAAACAGAATTAGGTTCAAATATTTTGATGTACAAACAAACATAATTCACTTCAGTTACATCACAGTTCGTCATTACCTTATTACTTACCGCCTCCCATCGGATCACCCATCTTAACCTTTAACCTTGCATATATTTGCGTAAAGGCTGTTTAGAAAAACAGATACGAATAGCCGAGTCGTGAGCTGAATAGTAATAAGCTAAAAGGCCGCTTATCCCACGAAATTCGATAGTCTCACCCCTGACACGGCAACTAACTTACTTTCCTACCAAAGATGTGACCAAGTTGCAACAACTAACGTTTATGAGTTATTGGAACTCTGTGAACTACAGTTGGATTTCTTTCTAATATCGTATTAAAACTTTAATTAATAGACAGTTTGCACATAAATTCACATAGTTTTAATGATTCTGTGAAAAGTAAAAGTAATATATTACATATCTACTCCTAATGAGCTCCCTGCCGAGGTTTTCCCGAGAGACTACAGCATGGGGTTCTTCAAAAGGTGGGTAAAGAGGTTTCTTCAGGGTCGGCAACGTGCGCGTAATACCTCTGGTATTGCAGGCGTTCATAGGCTACGGTAACCGCTTACCATCAGGTGGGCCGTATGCTTGATTGCCACCTCAGTGGTATAAAAAAAAAAAAATTAACAGATTAGCTAGCTAGTAGCTAACTAGTCTGGACGCCGTGTCAGCTAAGTGAGCAAGTTTGATATGGAGACTAACAAGCAATTACATTTGATGCTGTTGTACTATAATAGTATAAATAACAAAATGTTTTACTTATTTCAAAATAATATAAAATTTAAATACATTTTACATCTAATATATGAAATTCTCGTGTCGCGGTGTTTGTTACCGAACTCCTCCGAAACCGCTTTACCGATTTTTATGAAATTTTGTGTGCATATTGGGTAGGTCTGAGAATCGGCCAACATCTACTTTTCACACACCTCAATGATGGGGGTGATCCACCCCTAAATGTTTATTTTTTATTTTTTGGACAATTTATTTTATTATGATTTAGCATTGAAAAATACATACAAATTCAAATTTTCACGCTTTTACGATCAACCTCTGTCGTTTAATCGCAATTTTTATATTCCGCAATATGGTTGCAAGATGACAATCGAATATAATAATTGTAGTACGATATATTTTCATGTATAGTTTTAGAAATAATGTATATAGTAAAACAACGTTTACCGAGTCAGCTAGTTTTTTTTATAAATATAGATTAAGGACATCACAAATTCTAGCGTCGTTAAGATGTCGTCTTGCCTCGTGTGCCTCTTCAAACAAGCTAGTATCATAGGTTGTTGATTAGAGTTCTAATTCTATTAAATTACAAATAAAAATATATACATTTATTAATATAACAAATTCTATGTATGATATTACCAACATAACATTTATAATATTACTACCAATAAACTAATTCGAAATGAAATCAAAAATATTTATTTACTTCAATAACTTTATTGGTCAAAATAAAGCACGTGTATGGTACAAAAGGCGGACTTAATGCTAGTAACATTCTGTATCAGTCAACCATTGGTATAACAGTGAATTACAAACGGTACTTCAATATAGGTTTAGGTAAAAAAAAACAACTAATAATGTATACTTATACAAAATAAATAATACATACATAAATATAAATGAATGTGCATATATACATATATATACAACTAAATCGATATATAAAATGTAAATAATATATAAATAAATACCAGGAAAATAAATAAATTATGATTAGCTACTATTGTTACAATGAGTTTATAAAGTGAGCATGTACTCTTCTTTTGGATATGAATTTATTTGGAATTTCTCGGGTACCTTCAGGTAGTGCATTTCTGAGTCGTGAAGCTTGGATGGTGAAAGAGTTTGATATAAAACTAGATTTATAAAGTGGTGTGAGAAATAAAAGGGAGTTATTAGAACGATAAATATAAATCAGGATAAGAAAAACTTATCGACAATCTATAATAAGACCTAACTCCATCTAAATAAAGAAATAGGGGAATAAAATTAAAAAAAAAATAAGAGATTTCGTTGTAGTTTATCTAGAATATAACAAGTTTGAACAAGGTCTTTCATTAAGTAGTGATTATTATTATTTTTTTTTTATCTAGGTGGAGATGTTGTACCAGCGCTACTTTCTCCGCATGAACCAAACGAATATGACACACTTGCTGGGACTCCTGCTGGCAGTGGCAGTGGCACTGATGGTCGTGCAGCTACGAACATTGCTGCTGGCTCAGAACTTCCTCAGCGGAATGAAGCCCACTACCAACGCGTCAGCCCTCGCCAACCCTGATTCTTACAGGTTAGACTTCACTCTTGGTTATAACAAAAACTTGCATAATAGTAATTCTTTACCACATTGTTTTTCAAAGTAGTTATTTACATAAAATTTTACCCAATTCAAAGGTGTAAACTATGAACTTAAAAACCATAGAGTTATTTAAAAACAGATACCACATACTTGAAAGAAAAACAAAGAAACTAAAGAAGTATTATACAAAATTTATTGTAAAGACCTAGTAAAATATATATATTTACCTGACTCTTAAAAACTTTAACTAATTCTGTTAACTCTTATTTGTGCTTCAAACAATTCTAAAACAACTTCTTGAACAAATCCAATATTTTACACGGTTATTACTTTATCTAGTACATATCCGGTAGTTTCTGTGGAGTCTCTTAATAGCTGGCCATAATGAGATCGCCTCGTTAGTTAATAAAATCTAATGTCTTTTACCCAGCCACAGATATGGAGCTACTACGGAACTATCCAAACTGAGCGTACTGGCCGACCGAGACCCTTTCGGCGCCAACTCCACCTACCTCAAACGAGTCTACTACGAGAAGGAACGCATCGCACATATCGTCAATATTGTTCTACTTGGAATTTCAGCGCTCGTATATGCATGTTAGTATACTTGTTACTTAATATACTCGCATCTCATACATTCGTATCCAATATGACAATATCACGAACATCAGCCATATCACAGGAACTAAATTAGAAAAGGCTTCATAACAGTTATACGATGCTGCTAGAATTCAACTTTCAGATTTATTATGTTATGGCACAGTAATATTTACAACTAGCTGTATCCCTCGGTTTCGCCCGCATGAATTAGTACATAAAGGATCCTGTGTCCTAAATTAAGATATAACCTACCTACGAATCAAATTTCAAGACCTTTCAGTATTTTTGCGCGAAAGGGTTACAAATATTGACAAGCTTTCTTTTTATGTTTTTTATGTCACTTTTATTGGTTCATCTGATGGCAAATGATAACCATCAGCCATAAATATTATGATGGTTATGTCTATATAGTCGTGCATTGCTATTTTTGAGGACTAAAGTGTTGTGCTTCCATACTTTATAATTTCACTGCCATACCCCCGTTAAAACATTGTCATAAATATATTTTATAGCACTTAAGTTTATACTAGTTTCATCTAGCTTCGTTCCTCGTCTAGCCATCTTTATTGCCATTTTAATATCACAAATATTATTATATTTCACTGCATCTGTATCTCAAATTGAAATTGCGTCGTCTAGCTGGAACATAAAATCAATTTTTGTCAAACAAAATATATTTAGTGTCAATATACTGTACCGATACTATACAACTTTGTTAAGCTTATAAAATGCCTTTTGTTACAATCTATGACTTGATATCTAAATACGAGTAACATTATATTTTATATTATTTATTTCTATTTTTATAAAAACCGAACATTTTTCAAATGAATACTTTTCAATACGCCACGTTGAGGCAACGATTCCCACATATATGTATCGTATTTATCCCTCGTTAACGTCTCGGATAACTCTCATTAAGATCACTTTGACCTTTTATTTTGACGTTTTTATATTAATAATAATAATAATAATAATATTTCTTTATTTACGGATTACTAAGATCCATTTTTGTTAGTAACAATTGACTTAAACTATGTTAGTAGAGAAAAAAAAAATACAAAATTCATTTTGTGGCCCCTATAATAATTTTGACCCACAATGAGAGGATCGGGCTATCGTATTTATTACATAATGCCCTCAGAATGCCGTTACTGCTGCCACGCAATCGGTATAAAAGAGATGCAATCCGTTTGCGTCTGATGGCATAGAAGTCATCTGTCCATGCCGCTGCAAACATTGTGGATGCACTACAAAAACGTGGCAGCCGCAACAACACCCTGAAAACATTATTGTATTGAACACGCAGACCGCTGTATGCCCGCTGTGTATAGTCAACCCACAAGCTGCTCGTGTAAAAAGATTGGCAATATGCCTTGAACAATATTACAACAAACAATATTAACCTGGGATCTATATTTATTCAAAAGCATTAAAGTACTCTACCTTGTAATTTGATCGCTAATTTCGACCATTTAAAATAAAATATAGCCGTACCGCCATAACTGTTTGATGGCAGATAGAAAAATGGAAGTGAGATGTATGATACATGAAGAGTTTGGAAAGACCCAAAAGAGCTTATATTAAATGATGTTTCCATTTCATTTTATTCCGTGTCTCGTCCTCCGTGACGCAGCGGTCAACACGCCTGCCTGCGACGTGGAGGTCCCGGGTTCGATCCCCGGCCAGGTCATGATGGAAAACGATCTTTTTCTGATTGGCCTGGGTCTTGGATGTTTATCTATATATGTATCTATTATAAATATAGTATCGTTGAGTTAGTATCCCATAACACAAGTCTCGAACTTACTTTGGGGCTAGCTCAATCTGTGTGATTTGTCCATATATATTTATATATATTTATTCCATAATCTAATTATTGTTAGTTAAATTACTGTAATATTTATTTCGGCAGGTCTACTGGCGTGCTTAAGCCGACCTGCCATGAATGAGATATACCTGTTGACCATCTCTTACGTGGTGCTGGTCACTTTCTTGCTCATCGAACTATCACTGGCTAGCACCTCCGTTCTCAGGTACGTATTCATGTACGCATTTGTATAACATAATCACTTGAATTGACCACAGGCTCTATGTACTGAATTGTTTTCGTATGCTAAAAGTATAAAAATATATTAAATATAATATCGAATACAGCTGTTATTGAAATAGAACGTCGTGATTATTTTAAAACGTAAAGTTATAATATCCATGGCAAGTTAAATAGGTAGAAAGATAAATAATTTATTTGTTTATTTATTAATTTACTATTTTAACCCGCAAATAGGAACATATAAAAATAAAAATAGTTGATTTTACTTCAATAAACTTTTCCATAGGAAAGGATCGTCAAAATAAAAAAGCGTTATATACCAAAAAAATTGTAGTCATTTAAAGCTACTTTTAAAGCAGCTTGAAATTAATATCTTGTCGGTTACATTCTACCATAATACCTCTTTTAGACAGTCCAATGATCTAATCGAACACACGTATAGAACAATCTTGTCATAAATGTAGCTGCAATCGCGTTGCGAGCATTAGAAAGTTTGCCTCAAATCCGGGGAGATTTACCATCATGTTCACCCGCTGGTGCGAACAGTTCGATGTCAGTTCGATCAAAGCCGCTTTAAAACTGGATTTACGACCTCTTTATAGTATCCCACATTGTTATGACGGTGGCGAACATTATTACAAAGGCTTTATATAGTGTAAGGCGAGACAAAGTGTGTCAAACTCTTGAAGTGAATAGCTCCCATGAGACCACATTTGGATACTTCTTTTCCAACATAAAATTACAATTTTTCATGATCTTTCTTTGTTATTTACCTCAGTATAAAAAATAGTTTATTTAGTTTTTTTTAAATACAAATTACTATGACATGTCAGCTGTTTTGGAAAATTATATAACTCTACTTAGACACGGATTGCTATTTTTAAAGGGTGTTTTTTTTAAAGGGTGATAATGGAATGGTAACCCGCCTTTGCTATCGTTATATAGACGGGGCACCGTTAATGGTATGGGATAATAATTGAGGATGAAATCAGTTTGCCCATCGTGAAATATGGGAGAATTTACCAAGGTAATTTCCAGGGGGAACCGCATAGGGTAGAGTATATTTCTAGTAAAGGGACTATCAAATCTCCAATATTAATAATCTCTTTCCTCCACATTGTCTGTGTTGAGGATTATCTGACCTCCTAGCAGATTTTGAATAAATTCGCTCATATATGTTTTTTAGTTTACAAATGTGCCTTTCTTTAGGGTCTAACTGACGAACGATAAGCTGAACTAAACGTGTCTCCCAATGACACAGGAGTCGAAAAACGTAATAGTGTTGGGAGTTTTAAGTTTTTTATCGTTCTTGATTCATATTTTTGGGAAAAATATTCCGTTTAATTAAGAGAACAGTCGCTTAGAAGAAAGCTTATGATATTTATACATAGATACAGATATTTCCTTAAAACAAAATCATTCATAATTTCAATCTGCATCCGTTCACTGAAAATGTCTTCCAACATGTGCGGAAATCGGAAGAGCTATTTATTAGTCACACATTATAATAATAATAATAAAAGATTTATTGCACATAAAAATATACAGTCATGGGCTTACAGTAACTAACGAATGAGGAAGTCCTGAAAAGAGTGAACGAGAAAAGAACATTAATTAAAATAATAGAGAATAGAAGAGGCAAAATACTGGGCCACCTTATACGACATGACGATTTTTTAAGAGCATAGTAGAAGGAAAAATAGAGGGCAAAAGAGGAAGAGGAAGACCGAGGAATAACTACATGGGACAGATAAAAGAAACACTAGGTGTCATGTCATATAGGGAGGTCAAGGATATGGCCTGGGATAAAGCTGGCTGGAAGAAGATGCATGAATTAGTTGCACCGACAAGAGGAAACTCTTAAATGAAAAGTAGAAGAGCTTAAAGTAATTTAAAAGTGAATTATATGTATGTATAAAATGCAGCATTATGTCCAGCACATTAGTGTCTAAACTTGGCCTAGCCTGTATCTTAGACACCAATGCCTTCAATTACAATACATATTTTCGTGCAGTTTCGCTATATTAAAATACTACAAGATTCAGTAAACAAAATGTTTTATATTACGAAAACAGGGTACCTGTAAAATAAATTACAATGTTGTATCTAGAAATGTGGCATTATTAGTAAAATAGATGTCACGCTCTGCATTGGTCAGCTGGTCATTAGTGCGGTGAAATAAAATGAGACGGGTGAGACCATATAAACTATGAACGTTTGCAATTATGAATGGATTTCAATTTTTTTTTTATTTTTGTTTCTCTCTTCCCCGTATGGTTTAATTTTCTATTTATTATTTATTTATTATTGGTTTATGCCCATAAGTCATCACGCTGGACAAGCGGGTTGGTAATTAAAATTTTGAAAGGATTTGTGTGTAGATTTTTTAAAGGATTTTAAAGGTAAAAAAGAGTGATAGGATATCACTATATAGGAGGATATGTGATAAGATGATGGCAACTGCGTGTCTGTGTGTGCGCGTGCCCGTGTTCATCGGAAAGATGAACACATTGACGAAATTAATCAACAACGTTATTATTTTAATGCTAGCGACCCGTCCCGGCGTCGCACGGGTGGACATTTTTACATTTAAAAAAGTGGCCATTAAGGCTGCACACGCGACGTAAGCTTAAAAATGGAGTAACTTCTCCCGTTTTCCCAACATTTCCCTTCACTACTCTGCACCTATTGATCGTAGCGTGATGAAAAGTATACTATAACCTGCCCAGGAGTATGAAGAATAATTGTACCAAATTTCATTAAAATTCGTCGAGTAGTTTTTGTTTCTATAACGAACATACAGACAGACAGACAAAAATTGTACTGATTGCATTTTTGGCATCAGTATCAATCACTAATCACCCGCTGATAGTTATTTTGTAAATATATTTCATGTACAGAATTAACCTCTCTATAGATTTATTATATGTATAGATTTACCATCTACTCGTATTGCGTTTTTTTTTTTTTCAATATACCTAGCTCTAAATGTTCTAATCAAGTTCTCTTATACTTTGAGAAACCTGCTAACGTATCTCTCCAGTACGCCTGAGCTTTACAGGAGTTTATTTCCTCAATTAACACTCTCAGAGCGAAAATAAATTTCGATGCCCGATTCATTGGACGGTCTAGGTAAATAACTTATTACCTAGTTTGTTTCTAACTTGTAGAATTGTGATTTATTTATTTTTAACGACATTCGCAGCGCAGTAGTGGGCACGTTGCGTTACGTAGATTCTCGGTTGGGACAATTTAGGGAATAAACTTTTTTCACATTTCAATAAACAGTTTCCCTTTAAAAAGAATATACTTATAGTGTAAATTTATTTTCATATACCGTCATAGTCGTAGCATACTGACGGATCTGACAAAGATTACATATAAAGATCCGTCAGTATTCTACGACTATGACGATATGTAATAAAATTATAAATGGATCATGTCTGTACACAATATATATATATATAAAATTGCGAGCAAGAACTTGTCATGAATAATTTCATAATGGCCTCTTAGATTCAGTATTGTAAGATTTGATATTATTTTCACAATTTTAGGTATAAATATTTATGTAGCAGAGTTGTTTTCGTTCAAGTTTGTAATTGCTGAAATTATATCAATTTTAAGAAAAATTATTTGAAGTTTGGGGAAAAATAAAAAATCGTATCTAGCACCGCTGCCTAAAGCCTGCAGTGAGTGCTGCTATATCGGCCGCTGCCGTCGTGTCGTGTGCAGGTCGCTGAGCGTGAGTGCAGGCGCGTGCGCACTGTTCACCTACATAACTTATGCGACGCTGCCGGTGCGGCTGCACGAGGCCACGCTCGGCGGGGTCGCGCTCGCCGCCGTCAACATCGGCGCGCACCTCGTGCTCGACACCACCACCGACATGCAGGTATACACACACACACACACACACACAGAGAGAGAGAGAGAGAGAAAGCAGCTTGTATGAAAACAATTTTTTATCACTTTAATGTTTTACCAGAGAGAGACTTTATACAAAAGTCGATTGCTTGGGTACCTCTGTCCTATTCGTGTTTCGACCGTAAAGCAGTTGTGTTTGCATGGCTGTGTTATGGTTTGAAGGGTGGGGTATGGCGTGAATTTACAGGGTACAGAGGAATAACACCTGAGTCCTCAGGAATGGCAACGCATGGGGTATATCATAGACGAAACAGTATACTCTGTTATGACCATGGTCTTTTTAAGCAAAAAATGCTTGTTACAAGCGAAATCTGTTTAAACATACACGATTCCATGTTCTGTATATAATTATTTTCAAAACGAAATTTCAGGAGTATAGTACTTTAATCCTCAGGCATAGCAACACATGAGGTGTATTATGGGCGACGCAGTATATTTCGTTATGTCCATGGTACTGCTCATGTCTGTAAGCGACGATTACCACTTTCCATCAGGTGGGCCGTCAGCTTGTTGGCCATTCTAAATTGTATAAAAAAAATTCAGGACGCTCTCTCAGTGCACTAGCTTCACCTTAAAAAATAACTATATCATGAGATGTGTGGATCAAAGTGGCATAGAAAAGTTATTAACAGATTGAGATACCTTCTCTAATCTTAAATTAAAGCAAAAAAATATCCCTGGGTCTACATATTTGTGATTGGGATCCATGTGTACAAGCATTTGTCATTACAGTGAAAACTCGACAATCTTTTTATTCATCCGTTGTTAGTCCTTCGAGCCGGACCATCAGACTCGAAGGACTACAATGAGCAATGACCCATTGGCAATGCAACTGAAGCCCTGTAGGTGCATACTGTGCAGTATATGTACTGTTGGTGTGGTCGTGCAGATATACTGCAGCCTGGCGACGCTGATAGCATGCAACGTATCCGGCGTGATGACACACAATCCACGAGAGCTAGCGCAACGTCGCGCCTTCCTCGAGACGCGCGACTGCGTCGAGGCGCGACTCGTCACCCAGCGGGAGAATCAGCAGCAGGTGAGGCAAAATACATAGAAATCTTTTTTATGACATACAATTTGAAAGTCCCAAATTGAATGAAACAAGAGATACATGAAAATAGAAAGGCTTTTAGCAGACGGTTCTTCCTGCCTACCTAGTGACGGACTTAGCATAAAGATAGATGTTTTAAACCCTTAAGGTCTTCATTCCAAGAGAAATATTTGTCTCAACCCATTATGATTAGTAAAGAAGATCATTGGACATGCACAAAAAGTGCACCAAACAATTTGAGTAACACCTTAAGTAATAGTATATTCGTAGCTGCATGCTAACGCAACTAATCAGAAATAAAATATAGAATATAAAAAAGTAAAGTCACCAATAGAAAACTATTATGGTAAAACCATAGATTGTAATATTATTTTTTTATCATACGAAGGAAGTCACAGACATAGCTAGTTATTATATAGTGAAGTGTTTTCTCCATTCACTAGGGTTGGGTTAGTAAATAGTTAATTATTCTTAGTGGATCGCATATGAACATTACTCAGATTTTCCCGGAGTGGGCTCGTTATTACAGCTCAGCAGAGCGGAGCCGTCGCATATCCCCGCTCGCCCCATCACTGCTGTTACCAATAATAATTACGACTACTTCTAATACACGAGTGGCGTGATTATTTTCATGCTATTGCCAACTCGAGTGATAGTTATGGATACATTTTATACGACACTGTACAACCGTAACTGTTCTATTTCAGCTAATCTTGATATATTAATTATGCTAACGTCACTCCTGGTTTAGTTTGAGTAGTTCAGAATTACAATAACCACATTAGTTTGTATTAGCGGGTTTTATTATTATTCTTTTTAATTAATGAAAGAAACTTCTTCTTGATCTGAATCATCATCATCATCATCATATCAGCCTCTAACTGTCCACTGCTGAACATTAGCTTCCCTTTTGGGGAGTTTTGCCAATAGTTGCATCGTTTGGCAGACGGATTGAATTTAGGCTTTAGAGATGTTTTAAGAGGGACGCTGCTATTCATCCCTTGCCCTCCCTTAATCAGCTCTTACGACACCCATGGGAAAGGAGAGGGTGAAGTGATCTATGATGGACGACATAACCTGGAACTGAATAATAAGTAAAAAATTATATGCCTAAGTGACAAAGATAAGAAAGACATAAATAATACAGTAATTTGCTTCAAAGAAAATTCCTCTTACGTTATCTTAAGTCGCTTTATGTAATTTTATATTCGGATATAACATTGTTATTAATCCTGTACCTGTAGGTACTTAGAATTTCCTCGAAAACATCGTCACACCAAGAAATTCTAATATTGTAATTTGTGTAATTTATACGATAAATCCCCACTCACCATTCCCTCACATTCATGCGGGATATTGAGACAAACGCGCCAAAACGATCGATTCACCGAATTGCTTATTATATTGTGTATTATCTAAACGGAGTAGAATTCTTTACGGTCTCAACATACCATGAAGATTACATATGATTTTTTTATAATCCAGAATTCGTATGACTCACACGCAGTGACACAACTGGATGTAGAGTTATTAACAGGCTTCAAGAACAAGTTCTGAATTTATTATATTTTTTTGTATGGCATGCATTACATTCAGTCCTGAACTAATCTCGATAACCATCGTACAATTGATTATTGGACACTAACTATATAGAAACAATTGAACTCAACTTTCAATATCACGGACTGATACGAGATACTCAAGAGAAACTTTGTACAATATCGTTTACAGTGGTATTTGTCTTAGCTCTTTCTGCCATCAAGCAACTAAGAACTTTTACTATATTAATTGAAAAAAATTAAACTGTCAAAATCGTTCGGTACTATAGTAAAACAATTTGGTACTATGTCTCAAGATCTTCATTTTACTAGTCTCGCCCTTGGTTTTACAGGTCATCTTAAACTGCCATAACCGTATATTATCAGACTGGACGTGTGCTTGCTACTTTTGGTATATAAGGAAATCTATTGAGTGAGGCAAATCACTAAATCCACTGTAACCGCTCGCTGCCAATCAGGGCCCGCTCGCAGAATATTCAGGAACATTTCAGACGAATTTATACTTTCTTGTCTTGCCGCCTGATTGATTTATACGACCGATCAATATGATGTATTTTAACGTCTTCTGTAATCACCGATCTGAGTGTGACATAATTCGCCATTCTTTCTTATTCTGATGTCACTCAATTTGACAGTGCAAATATTTTAATTCCAAAAGGGAGCGTAGCTTCTTAACATCTTCATCATGTCAGCCTTTAAGTCCACTGCTGAACATAAGCCTCCTCCTTGGGGGGTTTTGCCAGTAGTTGCCACGCTTGGCAGGCAGGTTGGCAACCGCAGTTAGGCTTTAGAGATGTTTTAAGAGGGACGCTGCTGCCCATCCCTCGCCCTCCTTAGTCGCCTCTTACGACACCCACGGGAAAGTAAGGAGTGGCCTATTCTATGCCGGATCCGACACGGCGAAGCTTTTTATATAAACTAGTTATTATTCTATCTACTTATTAATATTTTTTTTATACAACTTAGAATGTCAAACAAGCTGATGGAAAGTGGTAACCATCGCCTATAGACATGAGCAGTACCATGAACATAACAGAGTATACTGTTTCGCCCATGATACCCCCCATGCGTTGCCATTCCTGAGGGCTCAGATGTTATTCCTCTATATCCAGTAAATTCATGCCATATCCCACCCTTCAAACCGAAACACAGCCATGCAAACACAACTGCTTCACGGTTGAAACACGAATGGGACAGAGGTACCCAAGCAATCGACTTTTGTACAAAGTCTCCCTCTGGTAAATCTAATAATATTAATGATCCCTTGTTACTTTAACCACTAAAATGTAACTTTTTTTTAGAGCTTACAATCAAATATCGATTCTTGTCGCTTTAATAATGTCGTAGTACTACACTAGGTGTTCTCGCTACGACGTTTGCTACGTTCACGTAATGGTGGAAATTATTCATTTTAAATAATATTTAACTTTAATACCATCATAATAGAGCATTGATTCAGCAGAGGTATTTCTGTCCAATTTGTGTTGTTTTTTTCTATTACAAATATTTTTTTTAATGCCGCTTTTACCAGAGGGAGACTTTGTACAAAATTCATTTGCTTCCTTTGTCTCATTCGTGTTTCAACTGTGAAGCAGTTGTGTTTGAATGGTTGTGTTTCGGTTTGAAGAGTGGGATATGGCGTGAATTTACTGGGTACAGAGGAATAACACCTGAGTCCCCAGGAATGGCAACGCATGGGGTTTACAATGGACGAAACAGTATAGTCTGTTATGTTCATGATACTGCTCATGTCTATAAGCGACGGTTACCGCTTTCCATTAGGTGAGCCGTCAGCTTGTTTGTCATTCTAAGTTGTAAATAAAAAAACTTGATTGTTGGACCTGATGGATACTGCTAACCGTCACCTATAGACATGAACAGTATTAGTACATGACAGAGAATACTATGTCACCCTTAATACTCTTCGTAAGTTGCCATTGCTAAAGATTATGGAGTTATTCCTCATCATATCGTCGTCTTATTAGCCTTCAACTGTCCACTGCTGGGGGGAAAGGGATTGTTAGCAATGGAGATTGACAGCCCTATTGTTAGCAATATACCCTATTAGGTCGACTTCCACGTGGTTCCCCCTGGAAACCATTGTGAACAATTCTTATTGCATTCGTCACGATTAACTAACTGACCTACTTCATCCTCACCTATCATCCTTCACTGGTGCCCCGCCGGTGTATACCGATAACGCGGGTGGGGTTACCATTCCATTATCACCCATTAAAAAAAACTGTCCACTGTTAAACATAAGTGTCCTCTTTGTGTAGTTTCGCCAGTAGTTGCCACGCTCGGCTGACAGATTGACAACCGCAGTTAGGCTTAGTCGCCTCTTACGACACGCATGGGAAAGGAAGGCGTAGCCTATTCTATGCTGGGTTCACACAGCGATATATTATTTTAATTCTATTTGTTATTCTAAGATCATAAAGTAATAATGTAAACTTTATATATGGAAACACTGATTAATGTAGCATTGTAACACGGCGATCTGTTTTCGTTCCGGCTTCCTCCATCAACTTTCATACGGGCCACTGTGAATTTCTTATTCTTGTAAAATAAATTAAATAACTAAAACAATTGCAGCGCATTTGATTCCAATACTTATTCATTTTAAAGTTAAAATGTTCTTAATGTAGACATTAGTCCATTATAATTTTATAGGATCGCTATTTGACGTTTTCGCCTTATTGGCTTGCTATAGTGCTTTTTTGAATAACACTTTTTGCTATTACAGATTTATAATACATTTATTTATTGTTAACATCTATATCTGGCATCGCTATTCAACATTTATTGCATTAAAAAAATAAAGATTTTTATAATCATGTTATTTCCTTATTGCAGACGATTTTTAAAGGGTTAATATAATTTTTATGAATGAGACGGTAATTATGTAACGTAGTAAAGCCAATCATTAGGGGCGCGATATGCGAGCTATAGCTAGGTATGTATTATACACGATCGCTCGTTACCATAATTAGTGCCAGCTTCCGCCTAATATCTCGTCAAAGAGCGGCCACGTTACCGTAATGGGAGATATTTGTGAAGCCTCCTTATCTTGCGATTCATTTGCCCGGACCATTAGCGCTACTATACTTGTGTCTCTGTACGTCACTATATGCGTCTAAACAGGTTTAATCAATATGTAAAAATGTCTGCATATCTAAGTACATAAATATTTGAGGGATTTCAAATAACTATTAGTTTTCTTTGGACATAATAGACAATATTAATTGTTCAATGCTATAATACGTATGACATATAGATAGAAATACCTACTATCTGAGGAAATAGTCGAAAGTTCCCTAAACCATCGTGTTTGTATGACAAGTTCTGAGTTGAACACTCAGGTTATGGAATGAGCTCCCTGCCGAGGGTTTTCCGAGAGACTACAGCATGGGGTTTTTCAAAAGGGGGGTAAAGAGGTTATTTCAGGGTCGGCAACGCGCGCGTAATACCTCTGGTATTGCAGGCGTTCATAGGCTACGGTAGCCGCTTACCATCAAGTGGGCCGTATGCTTGTTTGCCACCTCAGTGGTATAAAAAAAGAAAGTAGAAATAACTTCCTGGCGTGGTAATAATATTTTGTTTATAACCAAATTACATTTTAACGATGTAATACCTTATCAATCCCACTAACATTCAAAAGTCTGCCAGCACTGTCGTTATCATTAGTCGATCACTCTTTAATAGTAGGTCAGATTTAGTCGTTAAAATTTGGAAAACAGTTGTAATGGTGACGATGATATCAGCCGTTACTGTCCACTGCTGAACATAGGCCTCCTCTTATTGAAAGGTTTGTTTGTAGTTGCCACGCTTGGCAGGAGAATTGGCAACAGTAGTTAGGTTTCGGTGTTGTTTTAAAAGGGAAGCTGCTATTCATTCCTCGGTACCATTAAGTTCCCTGAGTCGCCTCTTACGACACCCACCGGAAAGGAAGAGGTGGTCCATGTTTTACCAGAGGGAGACTTTGTACAAAAGTCGATTGTTTGGGTACCTCTGTCCCATTCGTGTTTCAACCGTGAAGCAGTTGTGTTTGCATGGCTGTGTCGGTTTGAAGGGTGGGATATGGCGTGAATTTACTGGGTACGAAGGAATAACATCTGAGTCCTCAGGAATGGCAACGCATGGGGGGTATCATGGGCGAAGCAGTATACTCTGTTATGTCCATGGTACTGCTCATGTCTATAGGCGACGGTTACCACTTTCCATCAGGTGGGCCGTCAGCTTGTTTGCTATTCTAAGTTGTATAAAAAAAAATGAGATCTATGCCAGGACCACACGACAGTTGAATCATATCTTGAAAATGTAACGAAACGTAGGCGAAGTTGCAAGATGCAGATTGTAGTTTATCAATTAAAAACATATATACATTCACACTATGGCATGTTTTACATCTTCTTATGTATTTAAAAATGACAGAACTTTTATCATACCTCCGATCAAAGAGTTTACAATTACTTTTCTCTATCAAAGGTTGTCTGGAATAAGTTGCTTTCAGCGAAAAAGTCGCCCATTGTTTTCTCAGTATGATAATTTTTTATAATTGTTTGTATTTATAATAAGTCTAATAATAAAGTCATTTAGAAGAAGCCATAAAGAGTATTTACGACTGTAAATCTAGACTGTAATGCGACTATACTTCATCACAGGTGTCTGTTAAGTATTGTCATTGTAGTAAACGTAATACTCAACATAGATTGATATATTGTAACACGTAAGTAGACAGGGTATGTGAAATCAGACCACGGCACGACAGGGCTGGTATGCCTTAGAAAGGTAAGAGCCCTTCAAAACTGTAACTGAGATTTGCGAATTGAGAGATTGCGATTCGTTGTACGTACATCGCATTAGAGCAATGTTTCCCGCTAGAGCAATGTTCTGTAAGGTGCCTTCAATCTGATGTAATTGTTCGCAAACAAAGTTTCCCGCGAGTGTTATATTTTGAGGCGTGCTTGTTGAAATTTCACCTTTGTTATTCGAGGTCGTTAATTACAGCGCAATTACGGAACAAATGGATACCAATTAGACGTTAGTGAAGCTTACACCTACGGTTTTGCTGCATTTATATGTTGAACAAGCCAGCGGGTGATAGTAGTCGCTGCCTACCACTATAGCGTGACGACGAACCAAACGCCAATTCATTACGCCGTTAATTAAGCTAGGGAGCCATCTCGTATATTATGTTGAGTGTCTGTAAATTACAATATTGGTGAGTTATTATAGCACAATACGCTCCAGGTGTGCGGAATGAAATTAAAGTCATTAGTAGAGCGAGGTTGGGCGTCTGTAATGAGTATAAGCCATATTATATATATATATCTTGATTAATAGATTGACCTTTAAATTAAGTATGGTGATTTCTAGAATGTTGATGATGATATATCCTGTACTGTAGACATTGTAAAGTGGTACGGGTAACAATAGAAAATATAGTAAAATATAACTAACAGGTATTTGGATCCCAGCGTAGAATAGGCCACCCCTGCCTTTCTTTGGATATCGTATGAAGCGAATAAGGAAGGGCGAGGGCTGACCAGCAATGTCCCTCTTAAAACATCTCTAAAAGCTTACTGCGGTTGCCAATCTATCTGCTAAGCATTGCAAAAGTCCCCTTATGGGGAAGGCTCATGTATAGCAGTGGACAGTTCACGGCTAAAATTAATTAAATTTGACAGTTTTAAAGAAAAAAAATACATTTTCAAGCATTATAATAAACAAGATGATGAGGTAACAATTTGGTTGTATAAAAGATAGCCAGTTATGAGTATTGAATCAACTTTAATACAGGAAAAGTGCGGGTTACTCTGGAAATAAATTCCAATAAATGGATATTGAAATTGAGACGTTTCGCACTCTAGAATTGCGTCACTAGCGATATAATGTCTCCATATTGTTCTGATAGACGCATATTAGTGCAACTTGTCTTGTCAGTGCAAACTATTGTAAACCGCTCCCAATTATAAACTAATTCCTAACTGTTGTATTATAAAAGCAGTATAAAATTGTCATTGGTAAATTCAAACGTAGACAGACATGCAGTACTGCTACTAAAATACGTATCAATAAGTATTTAAAAAAGTCTTTAAGTTTTTAAGTAATTAAAAATTTGTTCAATCGGTGTATAAATGTTTATTTTTAAATTATATGTATAAAAACTATATATTGTTATAATGAATATTATTACTTTGAAGTAAAAAAAAATTTGTTTTATTAAAAATATACCTTTATTTAAACATAAACAACTATGATAAAGCCTATCGTCTAAATACCTGTTTATTATTTTTTTTTTGTAATAAGATCGTAAAAATCTCACTCGATACAGTTCTTTTTTAATTAAAAATACCAAAATATAATCCATAACTAGTACTATACTATAACACGCAATCTCGAATATGCATTTAGGTATACTCGTGTCGTAGACAATCAAACGAAAATTGTGAATAAAGTATAAAATCCTCATGTTAACAGATGTACATATTATATAAAAAAAATCAATGGCGCGTTGCCATAGATAAACGGTATTACATTTGTTCAAATTTTTCGACATAATCCTAACTGAATACGACTTTGAAGCGAAATCATTTAAGCGAACCTCGACGCCGTTCGCGCCGCTGTCGCTACACCACCGCACATGAAAGGATTTGATGCGACAGAATTGATGCGAGCGGCTTCGTAAATGATATATAAAACGTGGTGCAGTGACAAGTATATACCTACCGCTCCGCAGGCATAAAACAAACGACAGCAATCATATACGCATCCATAAATGACGCCAAGTTTCGTGTATCTATATTAGCTGAACCTGAACCAGAAATTTTTGAGCATCTCTGTAAATTATTGTTGCCCGTTAATTCTTCTCTTTCCGTATCTAGGGAAAGTAGATAAAGTTTTGTTTGAGAAATCAGTTTAGGGTACGATAGGGCTGATATACCTGAAGAAGGTAAAAGCCCTTAAAACAATAAGTAAAAAAAACATTTCGTGTAGATTGTTTTACATACAAACTATAAATTAACTCGACCGTAGTCTTACTGTTGCCTAATAGTAGTACAAATTAAAAATAGATTGTTTGATTGATTGATTGACAGACTGATACGATTTGTTACTAATATCATTTAGACAGTGTTGCCGTAACAATTTCAACAAAACCTATTTATTTATTTTTATTCATTTATTCATTAGTACAAATATGTGTACATGGCGGACTTAATGCTAAAAGCATTCTCTCCCAGTCAACCATAGGCAAGTGTCAGAATACTCGAATGCGGTACTACTAATTATTGATATACATATATACTAAAATTACATATATAAACGAATAAATATATATGAATAACAAATATACTTACACAAATATAGTATATATACTCGAAATTGAGAATAATATAAAGCACTTATTGCTCGGATAAAGTAAAAAAGTGAGCGTGAACGCTTTTTTTGAAAGACAGTTTAGTCGGTAGTCTCTTAATGGCATCAGGAAGCGCGTTCCAGAGTTGTGAAGAATGTAAGAGAAAAGAGTTTGAAGCGTAACCAGTACGGTGAGAGGGGAAAGATAATTGGAGAGTATTATTGGAACGAAGATTACGATTTTTTTTTTTATTCTTATGAAACAAGCTACAGATACGTTGTAAATATTGCGTGTTTACATGTTGATTTTCATTTGCAATAATCAATTTTTTGCTTTGTAAAGAAAAACAATGGCTCTGATCTTTACAAATTTAAAATGGCAGTTTCAAACAGTGAAACATAGCCGCAAAAGCAGCGTTGATGAATTCCTTCGTTGTAATTTATCAGATAAATAAAGATTAAGAAAATGATCTCAAGTAAATTCAGACCAGTTAAACGTTGACTGACACTAAATATAATAAACGAATGGCCTGCAATGAAATTTGGTTTAAAATAATGCAGTAACTTATACACTTCAGTCAATTTTTTTAAAACGAAGTAGTGGTAAATGTGCGTACAACTTAATTGACGATAAACAATCACCCCAGCCTTAGCCCATAGATACTAACAACACCGCAGAAGTCGCTTCTGCATTGCCAGCCTTTTTTTGTACAACTTAAATTGGCAAACAAGCTGGCAGCCCTCCTGATGGAAACTAGTAACCGTTGCCTATATATGCGTTGGACTCATATGATATTCCTTTGTACCTTGTACATTTATTGCTATATCCCACCCTTCAAACTGAAACACAGCCATGCAAACACAACTACTTCACAATAGAAACACGAATGGGACAGAGGTGCATAAGCAAATAACCTTTGTACAAAGTGACCTTCTGGTAAGCCTTTACAAAAAGCATAAATTCTCTTTTTGAAGGTCCCCGTGTCATATTTGTTTATTGTACGTCAAGTGTATTAGTATATGTTAATGTAATAACACTCGCTTGTCCTCTGCCAGGAGCGGCTGCTGCTGTCGGTACTGCCGCGACACGTGGCAGTCGAGATGAAGGCGGACATCGCGTGCCAGCCGCGCCAGGAGCAATTCCACAAGATATACATACAGCGCTACGAGAACGTCAGGTCAGTACCGTGCCGTTTAAGAATATTGATTCCACCACTCGCCCAGTCTTCTAACTAGGTTACCCTGTATTATGAGAAAGTAGCCAACAAATGTCTAATCTTCATCTTCATATCAGACTTTGACTGTCCACTATTGAACAAAAGCCTCCCCCTTGGGGGGGAGGGGTTGCCAGTAATGACCACGCTTGGCAGTTGGATTGGCAACCGCAGTTAGGCTTTGGAGATGTTTTAAGTGGGATGCTGTTGCCCATCCGTCGTCTTCCTTTAGTCGCCTCTTACGATACCCACGGAAAAAGAAGGGGTGGCCTATTCTATACCGGGACTACTCGGCCATTTAATGCACGGGCATAATTCAGAACACCTAGCAGTACAATACACGACAAGTTCAGTTCACAAACTAACCAGAATTGAATCTAAGACCTCATATACGCAAAGCGACGTCCTCACCACTACGCTACGGAGGTCGGCGAATACTTATATAGTCCAGAAAAGTCTGAGTTTCAGTCATGAAATTGAGCAATTTTCAATATTTTTGATTTGTAATTTAAAGAGTGCTTCCATAAACACTTCAGTCCCCAAACCACTTTGTCCCATCCAGCTAATCCGTTAATACACGCATATAAAAAACTCTAAACTCAAAAACAATCTTTGATACGGTATTAATGTCTTATTATGTTGTTATTGTATTATGCAAAACACGAGGTGGCGTACCCAGCCAGCGAGCCGACAAACCGCACTTCTCATTACCTTTACCCACAGTAGACACTTTGCACCGCACCCGTGCCGCCTTACCTCGCGCGCCACAAATATCGGCATGTTTGCCAATATTCGATACATGTCACATTATTGAAACGGAGGCGGCAAGTTTACCCGTTCCCTCGCACTATACTCGTATATGCAGCTATTATGTGAGAGCAGTATAATTTCACGAGAGCCCACAATGTAATATCATTTGTATATAAAACGTAAGAAATTCGCAACGCCGCCGTAAACACACGGGAAATATGCGCACGCCGAATATTACACCAATCCCGTGGAATGTTCCGAAGCGTGAATCTCGTAACATTATACGTAACGGGAGCACGTATCAAAATAATGTACAAAAGAGGGGGTGGCTCTCTTTTTCTCTCTTTCTCTCTCTGTCTATTATTATACTTTGTTAGTAATTTTTATTTGGAATTGTCGGAAGCGGCAGACGTTATTAATTTATTAATTCCCTATTTATCCAATAAATATCCAAACAGTCCAGTTAGCCCATCATGATGAACTCATGATAGTTTCCAGGGGGAACCGCGAGGAGGTCAACCTGGTTAGGTATATTTCTAGCAATGGGATTCTCAGTCTCCATTACTAACAATCCCTTTCCCCCTGTGGTGAGGACTGTAGTCTTAGTAACTGGTAGTTCCCTCGGTCGCTCCTTACTACACACACAAGAAAGGAAGGGGCGATCTATTCTATGTGGGAACTACACGAATACTAAAATTAATTGAATTAAAATAATAGTGTTAAATTATTATCACCAGAGAGAGACTTTGTACAAAAGTCGATTGCTTGGATACCGCTGTCCCATTCGTGTTTCAACCGTGAAGCAGTTGTGTTTGCATGGCTGTGTTTCGGTTTGATGGGTGAGATATGGCGTGAATTTGCTGGGTACAGAGGAATAACACCTGAGTCCTCAGGAATGACAACGCATGGGGGGTATCATGGGCGAAACAGTATACTCTGTTATGTCCATGGTACTGCTCATGTCTATAGGCGACGGTTACCACTTTCCATCAAGTGGGCCGTCAGCTTGTTTGCCATTCTAAGTTGTATAAAAAAAAACAAAAAAATAGATATATATATATTCGGGTGTTCCCTGTGATGCGTATGAATGTGCTGACCGAAGTATGTGACACTTGGAAAACTCATTGAATACTGTTCCAATAGAAATTAGTATTTCACAATTCAATTACTGTACTGTACTATACTGTAACACTGTACTCGCATAATTGAGTCGTTACATTTATTGGGCGGGTTGCTTTATTCATTATGTTGTGTAATGCAAATAAAGTATACTCATTCATTCATTCATTCATACATTCAATTTTCTTTTCTTGTGAAGCCAATGCAATATTACACGTATTGCTTTTGGCCTAATATGATAGAAAATTGAAATAGGTAACGAATGTTAGATATCTTTTGTGTTACATATTATCCACTCGTAGGTCGTATGTACATATGCAGAAGTTTAAAACTTTTACAAAGGATATAATAAAGTATTTTTTTTTTTAATTGTAACATTATAAAATGAGATACATTGGGGCTGGCATTAAAAAGAACGAATGACAAATTTTCAGTATCTCAGTATACTTTGTCTTTATTAACCTTATGTCTGGTTGTTTGTTCATTTGTTTGTTATTTTGTTACCTCTTAGCTCCGTAATGGCTTAACTAATTACTATACAATTTGGCCGTATGGTACCGGAAAGAATAGGCCACCCCTTCCTTTCACGAGGGTGTCGTAAGAGGCGACTAAGGGAAGGCGAGGGATCGGCAATAGCGTCTCTCTTGAAACATCTCTAAAATCTAACTGTGGTTGCCAACCCGCCTGACAAGTGTGGCAACTACTAGCTAAACTCCTCTTATGAGGTAGGCTTATGTACAACAGTGGACATGTTTAACGATTACAATGACGAATCATTTAAACGACGCCATACTCTCTCCTCATAGTCAGTTTCAGTCTTTATTTATTTATTTATTTTACACTTTATTGCACCAAGTAAAAAGAGAAATAACAAATACAGTAAATATTAATTAGAAGTGATACAATCTTTAGTTTGTGAAGTTGTTTAAATGGTTTTCCTGATCGAAAAAAAAGCGGATTCGGGCTTCCACCTCGAATAATACCAAGTAATTGTAACCGGCGGGTGTAAAGAATAATAACCGTAGTAATAATTTTGTTATTGCAAACCCGAGCGGAGCCGCCGTTACTCGGATATAAAAAAAAAAGTAATAGCCCCAATTTGGCGAGCCGAACGAATGGAGATATTCAGGGATTATGTACAATACTTAGCGGGGTAATACTGCGCCGCGATAACTCGACACAAACAGATTTATTCACACACCAGTCTTTACCAGCGACTTTTATTTATTTATTTAATTATTTAACAATGTTGCACTAAAAACATAAAAATAAACAATGACATATAAACAATTCAATTGAAATACAGTAGCATGAAGTACAGGTTAAAATATACACATAAAGGTACAAAAGGCGGTCTTATCGCTAGGGCGATCTCTTACAGACAACCTTTGGTTAAAGGAGGACAGATAGAAGTGGGTAGGTGGTGCTTGAGTGGCTTTGTCCTCGTTACTAGATCATGACCGGCTTATAAAGTAGACTGCATTCTTCTTCATTCTAAATATACCGTATCTTGCTTCTGCAGGCATTGGTTGCACCATCAAATGTCGAGCTGTTATAAAAAAAAATGTTTAAGTGACGAAACATCTTATTATTCATCGATATATCTGCTATTATTATTTACATATATCACTGCTAAATATAAACCTCCCCCTTGAGGGGTTTTGCCAGTAGTTGCCACGCTTAGCAAGCTGGTTAGCAAACGCAGTTAGTCTTCGTTGATGTTTTGAGAGAGACGCTTCTGCCCATCGTTCGACTATTAAATTCCCTTAATCGCTTTTTATTAATATTATAAATAATAAATTGGTAAAAATTAATTACATGTACATTCAATGGGCAAAATTTGCTGATTACATTACATTACAGCAAAATAAATTACATTTCATCATTCCATTTTGTGGAGCAAAATGTATATGTCATGATTACGCCCAGAGAACTAACAAACAAACAAACTTAAGACCTATCACATAAGTAAGGATTTTAAAAAGGTAAAATATTACTGTCCCTCTGTAACTTGTCACCGTAGATTTTAATTTGTCAATAGAGAATGTTAATAAAGTAAAAGAGATTTGAAATGCGAGCGCCGTGAAGCGTCTCCGGAATCCAGTTGGCAGAGTGTTTCAATAAGAATAGTGTAAAAGAGGTTAAAACAAATATAAACTACGTTAACTCGGAGATAAACGATAAGAGCAACCACTTTTGTTTTTTTTATGACAAAACTTTAACTCGGAATAATATTTTTGTACGATATTTAGAATACAAATCAAATATACTCGTACTGATGGCCCACAACGTGATAACCGTCGTCTATAAATAGCACCGTGGACATCATAGAATATACTGTGACACCCATGATACCCTCTAAACATTTTTTTTTAATTTCATTTATTGGAACGATAAACATTGTAATTTAATTTTTTTTAATTTTATTAATAGTCAATTATATATATATATATATATATATATATATATATATATATATATATATATATATATAATTGACTATTATTATTATATATATATACGTATACGTTGCACTACACTGCTATTTATCTTTCTATTCTATCTCATATAGTAAATTTATAGCAAATTTCATAATAATAGATTGAGCTGTTAAAGTGCTAAGGGGTAACAAACAAACAAATATATAAACAAACAAACCCACTTTGATACTCATAATATTCATATTTGTAAAATCAATCGATTTTACAAAAAAAAATCTTTACCTACCCACTGAAACATTTCCGTGAACAAAATTAGAAGTCAAACAGAACAAAACTAATTTCTGATACGTTTGACTTCGTAATTAAATTTATAAACTCAAAATTTTAAGATCAAATTGTTGCTCGGATACAAAGTAATGAGTTTACTCTTTTCAACCAACTTCAAAAAGGAGCAAGCTCTCAGTTCGACGACTTTTTTTTTATGTATACGTCACGTAATATCTTCGCCTGTTCAAAATATATTTTGATGATACATTTTGTCACACTAATACCGTTAAGAGTGGGGGAAAGGGATTGTTAGCAATGCAGTTTAACAGCCCCATTGCTAGCAGTACGTCTTATTAGGTCGATCTCCACGTGGTTTCCCCAAGAAACCATCGTGAACAAATTCTTATTGAATTCGTCACGATGGACTAACTGACCTACTTTATCCTCACCTATCATCCTTCACTGGTGCCTCGCCGGTGTATACAGATAGCGCGGGTGGGGCTACCATTCCATTATTATCCATTAAAAAAAAATACCGTTAAGAGTAGGTATTGTTCCACGTAAGTGAGAATCAAGCACACAATCTGTCTAATGGATTCCACATTGTCGACACTGAAAAAAAATTAGAATGGCAAATAAGCTGACGGCCCACCTGATGGAAAGTGGTAACCGTCGCCTATAGACATGAGCAGTACCATGGACATAACTGAGTGTACTGTTTCGACCATGACACACCGCATGCGTTCCCATTCCTGAGGACTCAGGTGTTATTCCTCTGTACCCTATAAATTCACTGCCATATCCCACCCTTCAAACCGAAACATAGCCATGAAACCACAACTGCTTCACGGTCCACACAACACGAATAGGACAGAGGTGCCCAAGCAAATGCCTTTTGTACAAAGTCTCCCTCTGGTAAACTCACAGTATACTCGTCGATCGTTTTTGTAACCAGGATAACCCATAATATCAGAGATGGGTGGGTTGTAGCGTTGCTTTTAAAATATTTAACGACAACTCTAAAGTAACAGACGTATTTCCTTTTTATTGTATTCACCAAATCGCTCTAGGCGAAAAATAAAGCTTGCACAAAACAATAGGTGAGCCGAGGTTTTGAATCGATTTGCTTACGGTACTCACTCGAACGAAACACAGCCGACTGTCTTTGTTACAAAGAATAAACACACATGCTTTGTGCGACTCGAATTGTGATTCATAGATTTTACATTGGTTTTCGTGACGTACACGACGAGTATCGTGAAATAAAGTTACAATTTACGACAGATGATTTTACTTAGCAATGCGATATTACAGTCGAGTCTTTGTGCCAATTTGTCGAGATGATAGTCGAAGGAGGCCAAAAGATGACTGAGCTTATTGACGTGCTTACTTTACATAAGATGTAAAATGATTATAATACACTGTAGAGGACATTGCTACTATGTGAAATTTGCTACTTTGTTCTCTTTTAAGATCTTCACTTTGAATGCTTGTTGTCTTTTCTTAGTATTGGAATAATGAAACCGTTTAAAAGATGATAGTTGTTTTGTACAATAGCTACTGTTTAACTGTTCAATTACTGTTTGTAATAACAAACAGTAAGTATTGTTTTATGTACAACAACAATGTTATTACTAATTTTGCCATTTTATTATTAAGACAATGCTATATTTATTCTATGAAGACTTGGCCAGTAATCGTAGAAGCGGCTGGGGAGGCCTTCACTCAGCAGTGAGACATCATACGTTATGATTCATTGATTTATTCAAAATTAGAAGCCAAATATTTCTCGTAAAAATAACGCAAGATGAATTCACATTTTCCGATGAATTGTCAGGTAGCTATTTGATTATTGGTCGTACATTAGTGTAATATGTTTATTAGTTTTACTTATAAATCTTGATAACACTACAAATTCAAAGATACATACATAGCTTTATTAAAATTATACGAAGACAGACTTAGTACAGATACACTACTTACGGTATTACCTTGTACTTGCGGTTTACTGTACTTAATCATAAATCTGATTTTGATTTTTCCCAAGTCAATTCTTTTCATAATATTAGAAAGGAAGAAAAATATTTATTATTTATTAGGACCTATTGTATTCTGATAAAGAGTAAATCAAGTAACGTCTAAATAACATTTATAATACGAGAAAAATACTAACGTTCTCTTTGTATTGAGAATTCGACAGCTTGCGCAACTGTTTTGAAGAATCCAACATCCTTACTTATTGGCTCCCGATATTAGTATTTAAAAAGATAAAAGCAGGTAAAACTTATAAAGGCAGACAGGTAATAATACTGTGAACGCCGTAGCAACAAATTGCTGATACTTAATTCATTTTTAGAAAATTATGTGAGGCTTTTAACAATAAACTGCCGAAATCTCTCCCGAACCGGCGGCTCGGGCGGAGATTTAAGAGCTGGCATAAAAACGGCTCTCGGTAAAAAGGCTTATTAAAGGCCAAACTAATATATCAATGATAAGAATGTCGGGCCAAATTAAAACTTCTTCTGACTGTCTATCTCCATAAGTAATTTCTTAGATAAAAGGCTCACTTCTTAGTTAATAAAAATAATAGATAAATACGCTCACGTCTGTAATCCCCGGTGCGGTAGTCAGAGTCGACAACCGCTGTCACGTGTCATCGTTGTGTGGAGCGTGACGTAACATATTAGAATTTAACGCGACAGAAGGCGTGTCCCCCGCTACACTCGGACTTTTTGGATTTTTTTTTGTAATTAGATGACAATGAAATGGTAACTCCGCCTGTACTATCGGTATACGCTGGCAGGACACCAGTGAGGGATGATAGGTGAGCATGAAACGGCAGGCCAGTTAGTCCATCGTGACTAATTAAAGGATAAGTTAGTCACGGTAGTGTCCAGGGGAACCGTGTGGAGGTCGACCTGACAGGGTATATTGATAGCAATGAGGACTAACCTCCCTATTTAGTAACAGTCCCTTCCCCCCTGACTGATTTGGTTTTTTCCCGATGTTTTATGTTCTTTTTTTATAAATAATGAGCACTTGTTTTGGCTTCTATTATTCTTATTAAGATTCCTTGCATCATTTTCTTCACCATATCAGTCTTTAACTGCCCACTGCTAAATATAAGTCTACCCCTTGGTAGCTTTTGCCAGTAGTCGCCATACTTGGCAGGCCAATTAGCAATCGCAGTTAGGCTTTGGAGATGTTTTAAAAAGGACACTGATGCCTTCTACGGGAAAGAAGCGTGTAGCCTATTCTATGCCAGGAGCACACGACCCTTTTTCTTAAATATTTTCTATTTCAGACATCGTCTGGTTACAACTTTATTGTATTAACAAAACAGTCTATTTTCGTTTGTGCAGCATTCTGTTTGCGGACATATGCGGCTTCACGTCCCTGTCGGACCAGTGCACCGCTGAAGAACTGGTCCGCCTTCTCAACGAACTCTTCGCCAGGTATGTATGATCCATTTAAAGGTAGATTTAGACCAAATAAGCGTAGTTTATTTATATTTATAAGTATCAGGTCCACATGAAAAACGCATTATGAAAGTGCTTCCACCGTTCGACTTCTGTCGCGAATAGGCACTTAAACTTTTAGTCTATATGTTAGCTAAGTTAGTTCTTCTAGGCTGATATTCTGCTCTTAATTGCTCTTTTTGGTTTATACAATATATTATATATAATCATGTTATATTATATTAAAATATTTCCTAGCGCCGGCGTCGCACAGTTTCTTTAAAAATAAATAACAGTCCATAAATTCTCTTGCCCGTGACTTCGTCTGCGTAACCGGGGTATGTCTACTGACCGGGTTAGAAAATAGCCTGTATCCGTCTCCATGTAATATAGTACATATATATGAAATTGCACAGAGATCGTTTAAGCCGTTAAGGCTTTATAATATAACAAACAAACTCTTACATTTTTAATATTAATAAAAGATTTTTCTTACAATAATTATTACAAATAAATGTATTCGATATACAAAAACCATATCCTCAACTAACACTTACGACCTACCTTTTAATAATATTAGCTAACAAGCAATATAATGGACTATAAAAATATGTTTTGTGTAGAATAAATAGTGCACATAGATTACTCTCTCAACTCGAGAATTCCTTAATTAAGACAATGGGACTATTATCTTGTTTCAATTAAGACGTGGCGCATGGAACCCGGTGTCCAGTGCTCGCGCTACTATTTATAGAGTCTGTATTCGCTCCCACTAGTAATTGCCTGAAGTCTAGACCAGTTTAAAAAGGTTTTGTCTGGACAGGAAATCATATTGCACTCTACTTACTGGCCACGGCCACTTAGAATTTCATTCTGCTACAAGTGAAACTCGCGCGGGCCACTGATAAAACAGTTGTGAGTTATTAATGTACTTCTTGTTCTTATTTTTATTAATGGCAATCGTTCGCTATTTGTACGACCATTTCTGCCAGCGTCACGTATAAGAGGCTTAGGAGGCTCGTACTGGAAATAGAATAGAATAGAAATTTATTGTTTGACAAAAACACAAAGTTACAAATACAAGATACAATGGGCCCCACACTAGACGAGCCTGTATCGTGGGCACCCGACAAAGATTAACAATACACAATCTGTTATAATCGTAATAACATTCTACATAGTGGACAGGTGTTAATATAAAAGAAAAGGAATATAAAATTAACATAATGATCCTTGGTGATCAAGCAATCCTGAAATATTTTAACCTTAGTAAAATCAGTAATATAAATACACAAGCAATTATAAAACGTAAAAAATATATGGATGCCCTTAAGAGAAGCGAAGTTGTGTAAATGAATGTGGGTGTGTTCGCGAGTATGTGTGAATGTGTGTTGTGCAAACTATGTAAAAGATGTGTACTTTTTTTTAATGAGTGATAACAGAATAGTAGCCGCGCTATCGGTATACACCGGCGGGGCACCAGTGAAGGATGATAGATGATGATGAAGTAGATCAGTTGGCCCATCGTGACGAATTCAACAAGAATTGTTCACGATGGTTTCCAGGGGGAACCACGTGGAGGTCGACCTAATAAGGTATATTGCTAGCAATGGGGCTATCAAACTCAATTGCTAACAATCCCTTTCCCCCCCGAAAGATGTGTACTGTATGTAATATTTTATTGTATGTTATTATTATAAATGGAAATTATATTTAAAGAACTGGCCTAAATTTGAGCTTTTTGGTATAAAAAACTGAATAAAACACAATATGAGTTTGTGATATTTATCAATACGTAATATAACATATATTGTATCAGCCACTAATTGTCCACTGCTAAACATAACCTCCCCCATAAGGAAAGATTTGACAGTAGTTGCCACGCTTGGCAGGCGGGTTAGCAGCCGCAGTTTCGGCTTTGGTGATGCTTTAAGAGGTACGCTGCTACCCGTCCCTCTGCCATAAGCTCTCTAAGTCGCCTATTAAAACATAAAACATCCATGAGAAAGGAGAGGGGGTGGCCCATTCTATGCCGGGACCTACTATATATATATATATATATATATATCCATCTTCTTGACCAGATTTACAAATAGATTTATGTCTAATTCTAAGTTTGTGCAATATACTGGTGAACCACAATGATCAACATATAGTCTATATAATATAGATATAATAGTAGACTTAGGCAGCCTTTTGTGTCTTAAAAACAAAGTTTTAATTGGAATAATTGTTTGGATCAAAGCATAATATGGACCAGTGTTTCTCGAGGTCTCTTATCAAGTATATGTATGTCCACGCATCCCGGAAATCTGTTAGTGGGCATGCTATAAGGTCATTGCAGACGATTTTATGGTGCTTCTGATCTCCACTATTACTGGCTGTGTATTTAGCAAGGGAATCCACGCACTCATTACTTACAATCACTACTAGAACAGGGATCCACATTAAAACTATCTCCAAACCTTCATCCGAACATTTTTTAAATTTTGATTTAATATCTGAATTAGTAATGATATTTCAAGATCCAATTGCAGTAACAATTGGATGTATAACAGACGTGGGTATTCACTAGACATGTTTTGTTTAATGACATGACATGTTTTGTCTCTCGACTCGTTCAACTGCCGATACTCGAAGATTCGTCAGAATTTCCACGCCCTCACATATTAGCTTTCAATCTCTGACCACCGTTTTGTTCATACACCTTTTGCAACACGTGTTTCACAAAACTAGACGTTGCATCTTCAAAGGAATTATTAGGTCGCTGCTCGGAGCCTAGTGTTAACCGTTTGACGGCCAAAATGCGAAAATAAATCGCAATCACGAAGTTGAACAAAAAGCCAGTAGTTTACAAATAAATCAGTCCAGGTCCACTATTATCGTGATACGTGTTAGGTATGTATCAAAATTGAAACGACGCAGCAATAATTCACAATTCCCTAAACATGGCACGAGCTCCGTGGGCTCTAAACAAGATTATATATCATTTTGTCTTGTTCGTGATAAAGTGGCGTGGGGTGGATGTGGCCATCCATCACTGCGAGCCTCGTTAGGGCCCCGTACAGGGGACACCTTCACCTAACAAGTGGACCGCACGCTCCACCAATTATAATAACTACAAACATCAATTATACACATTACATTCACAAACTTTTTCCAAAATCACTGGCACTATATACTTTATATATCTAAACGCAAAATAAAGGTCGTACCGCATAAAAAATATACCTAAAACACGGCGAAATCGAAATGGTTAGCATCTGTTTATAAGGGAGCGTTTTACTTCATTATTTATATAAAACTGAACGTTTTTAAGCAAAGAAACGTTGGGGAAAAAACAATGAAAAATATTAATTGGAAAATACTAAAACGACGCGTCCAGCATTGAATTACTTACTATAGGTGATTAAAATATTGAGCGTTCTATACTAACACGACGCGCCCAGCTGTCGAGTTACTATAGGTGATTTTTTTTTATTCTTAAAATTTCTTTCTATAACATTACGACATAAACGTGAGACAATTTATGAAAATAATTGGAGCAAGAGACGCTTTTGTTACTTATTTCTCTTTGCCTACTTCAGAGTGAACGATGATAAAAATATGTAAATAATAATGCATACAAATTGTAATCGCACACAAAAAGTCTCGCCCTCCGTGCCAAATATTTGTTTCATGAATAATAGGAAGACAGGACGGCATCGCCATTCATTTGCGTCTCTACAATTATTAAATATATATTTATAAAAATTGTATTTAATTGTTGTACAACTCTACTTATATTTACCGTAATATATGTATATTTTACGTATTTGTAGTTAAATGTCCCTGTAAGAAAGCAATTTAGATATGTTACAAGCTCGTCAAGATATAAATCGGGGCCTTACACAAAATTTGCACCTTTAATAGTGATTTTGCTATTTCTCTCTTCAATCGTATACTCTTCACAGAGTGGTCGTGGTTTTATGTATGATGATAGTGCATCGTTAATAAGGCCCTCCTTAGCGATTGAGGTCCTCGCAATGCGTCTCCATCTACTTCTGCTCACAGCCGAGCGAGAGCATACCACAATAGACTGCTGTGTGGCCGTTTTGATGAGGTCAGTCGATCGCTTTGGTGATCTACCCCGAAAACGTTGGCCTTGTACCGACCCTCGAACAATAAGATGTTCCATATAGATTTTATTCCGGATGATATGGCCGAGGTGCCTTTTACAGACTTCCAAAACACTAGCCATCTTATTCGTATTGTTTCAATTATTCCTTTTAAGTTATTGAACAATGTGATAAAATGTTTATGTGAAATAAATACATATATTTATGCACTGTCTGTATTCTGTTCATTTCACAGTTGTATCCAAAGCGTATAACGTATTTTATTTTTAAAACAATTGCCTATAGAATGCATGGATATATTAGACAGCTGATTTGCCGTTGGACTTCTTAATCAAAAGCAACATATAAGGTACGTGTAGCGCGCTCATTCGATGGAACAGGATAAATCAAGGTGGATTGATGTACGCAGAGATCTCGTCCGGAGCGATCGTAAATTTTTCACTGCGCTTTATTGCCGCTTGCAGCTTTTACGGTGCTAGGTGCATTAATGCGACATTTCACGGCGCGTTGGCGACGTGCTCGCTGCCACCTGCCACAAAACCAAGTCCCGTGCCACATCTTACGCGATAAATACCACTGTCTATGTTAATATATACACATCTATTTACCAAAGGAAACTTATTTAGTTCAAATTCAAATAATTAGTATGTCTTTTTATATAATTGAAGTATAGCACATTTTAGAATCCAAAGTGATGTAATGCCCTCAGATTTTTACATGTGAATCTATTATTTTTGCTAATACAAAATATGTTTTTTTTTTTAATGGATGATAATGAAATGGTAGCCCCGTCTGCACTATTGGTATACGCTGGCGGGACACCAGTGAGGGATGATAGATGAGGGTGAAGCAGGTCAGTTAGCCCATCGTAACAAATTCAACAATAAACCAATCACGATGGTTTCCAGGGGGAACCGCGAGGAGGTCGACCTGATAGGGTTTATTGCTAGCAATGGGGTTGCTAATCCCCATTACTAACAATCCCTTCCCCCCATACAAAATATGTTTGCAATTAAATGTGATTAAACTGCGAGTATGAATCGATTAAAGATCAAAATTATTTAATAAAAAAAATTAATATTATTTTTAGTAGAGTACAATAATAAAAACAATTTATTCATAATATTTATTTTTTACATTAATCGTAATACTATTTGATATTTCGTACATAGTTTCTAAAATTTATCAAGAGCCCCCGTTTTAATTGTTCCAATTGCGAAATAAATGTGAATAAATATGTATTTAACTGACATTAGCATGACCGATTGGGCAACGTAAATTTTCAGTAGTATTCTTTAAATATTACATACAAGGTTTTTTCTCAAACATGCTTGGAAATGTTAGCATTATTTTGACAATCTTCTTCGAGATAAATCAAAATTGCCGTACTGGCCAGATACATGCGGGCAGCGGCCGACAAAAGTTGTATGAAAATCCATATCTGTCGTGTTTTGCGACCAGTTAAATTACCATGTAAACTTATATCTGTCCTGTAATTTAAAAATGGAATGACCTTTTACTTCGAAACATGGCTACCAAGGAGGTAACTAATACAAGGTTTTGTTTAAATTTCGAACTGGCTTGCAAATAGAAAGCTGTTTATTGAAAAAAAAAACAAAGGAACATACTATACAAGCCTTGGCCACAACTAGGCGTTGATGGACTTATGTATGTGTGCCTCGGCTACGCCTCGGCCCACATTTGCACGTTCGTCCATCAATGCCTCAGTTGCTGGCCGCGGCAATAATGTACTATTATTGCCTTCACTATCTCACTGTGGAGGTAATCGTAAAATAAATACCTCAAATTGAAACTGAATCATGTTACGTAAACCGAAAATCTTGAAGCTATAGAATCAACGAGATAGGTTATTGCATACTCAAAAAACAGCTTTGAATAGAAAAACATTAGGTACAGTATCCAATGATTTGTTGACGAAAAGTAAATAATTATCGCCACTAACAGTAGGCGTAGTAATTATTACCACATTTAATACATTGTCATTTCATGAAATTATTATATTTATTCCTAATAATATCACCAGTGATAAATCACAAAAGTGATTTTCCCTCGGAATGACTTCATAACGCACTCGCTACTATTTGCTGTGTAAAGTGAAATATGAATTATAGTTTTTAGCAAGTAGATACTTTAAAACAGTGTAGTAAAGTCTCTACTTGTATCCTTAGTTTAGCTTATAGTTAAATAGATGGACCATATGCTCGGTTGTCTAAAACAAACCTTTTTTTTAGATTCGACCGTCTGGCGGCTGAACACCACTGCCTCCGCATCAAGCTCCTCGGGGACTGCTACTATTGCGTGTCAGGACTGCCGGAGGCGCGCGACGACCACGCCAAGTGCTGTGTAGAAATGGGACTCGACATGATAGACGCTATTGCGTGAGTACCACATACCACTCGCATATACAAACCGTGGAAGGAGCTTCATATAAGCTGTACATATAAGAACAGAGGCAGACTTTTTGCATAAATCATTCCCATAAACCCCTGTACCCCTGTCTCGCCTATTTTGCCATCGAGCAAAAATATTTATTTATATATTTATAAATATCTAAATAAATATTATATTATTATATTTTTATTATTAATATATATATATATATATATATATATATATATATATATATATATATATATATATATATATATATATATATATATATATATATATTGATAAATGTTCCCGTCTATCATTATCATATCAGCTTTTAACTGTCCACTGCTGAACATAAGCTTCCCCCTAGGGGGGTTTGCCATTAGTAACTACACTTGGCAGGCGGATTGGCATCCGCAGTTAGGCTTTGGATATGTCTTAGAAGAGACGCTGCTGCCTATCCCTCGCCCTCCCTTAGTCGCCTCTTACGACACCTACGGAAAAGGAAGGGGTGGCCTATTCTATGCCGGGACCACACGGTAAATGTTTTGGTAACTAAGAATAATCAAGGAGCATTGTTATCTTCTGCCTAAGATGATTCTCATCTCTAATAAACCGTATGTAAGTGATGTTCTTTGTGCATTGCAGACTGGTGCGCGAGGTGATGGCGGTAAACGTGAACATGCGCGTGGGCATCCACACGGGCCGCGTGCACTGCGTCGTGCTGGGGCTGCGCAAGTGGCAGTTTGACGTGTGGTCCAACGACGTCACCCTCGCCAACTACATGGAGAGCGGTGGCGTTGCCGGGTGAGACGCTACATACACGTTTATATAGAAATGTGTTTGTGTACGTGCATGTTTGTGTGTATGTGTGTGTGTGTGTGTGTGTGTGTGTGTGTGTGTGTGTGTGTGTGTGTGTGTGTGTGTGTGTGAGCGTAAGAGTGCGTGTTCGTGTGCGTGTGGGTATGCATATGCGTCTGTGTGCGTGTGCGTGTGTGCGCGCGCGTGTGTGTGTGTGTGTGTGTGTGTGTGTGTGTGTGTGTGTGTGTGGGTGTGTACATACGCGCACTCGTGCTATCGCACGCATCTGTGTTTGAATAATTTCAGTTATATTAATTTAAAATTTTAATAAAATACAGCCGCGTTCACATCACAAAGGAAACGCTGCGATGTCTCGGCGATGACTACAAGGTGGAACCAGGGATGGGTGGCCAGCGAAACGCGTACCTCAAGGATCACAACATCGAGACTTACCTCATTGTGCCGGACGATACCAGCCGAGTGGTGAGTCACTGAACATTTATTTGCAACTTCGATAACCTCGTTAGAGCGGTGATCGACACAGGATGCCAAGTTCAATTCTCGATTAGGACGATTTTTAAAACTACCATTCCTCTATGCATTCTGGATAGTGACCTATGATATCCTAACTTACAGACCGGGTATTAGGCATTTTAAAAGTGTTAAAACAATTTTACACACGTCTCGTCGTGTGTGTTGTGATTCTTTTGAATTTGATCGCTAGTCTATACTTATATTATAAAAAGGAAATATTTAAATGTTTATTTGTAATAAATAAACTAAAAAACTACATAACTGATCAAAAAATTCTTTCACCTATAATAAGCTATGTTTTCGCCATGTATATCGTAGTGACTCAAATATATATACATACATATATATATATATATATATATATATATATATATATATATATATATATATATATATATATATATTGGCAAGTAACATTGGCTGCATATTATTTTCGAAACCGGGCGGATTGCTAGTATAGTAATAAAAACCAATACAAAATCTCCTATATTGAATAATGCTATTTACAATGTTATAATACAATACACTGATGACACAGGACAAGAAACCGCAACACACCTTCTCGATCAATGGGAATGTCTCGAAGGAGATGCGCGTCATGGGACACGGCTCACAGCACGGCAAACACTCCACCAAGTAAGTGTACAAATTATTCTTTTCATCTACCGGTTTTTTGTATAAATTTAATTTCCCGCATTACCATAAATCTACTTCTTATCGCATTGGTACCGACAAAACTGCGTCTCAGTTCTATAGGATCCAAAGAGCGGCAACAGTATGCTAAAATTGAATGGCCATAAATCGAACTGTCAATACCAGATACACTAGACATCGATTTATTCGTACAGGCTGACGTTAATTAATTAGAACTGAAAGTTGACATACACATAAATAACTGTTTAATGTTACATTATTTACGAAAACAATTAGAATACAAACAATTCTGAAAATACGCTTTAATACATTTATTTCTCTAAAGATTTCACTTTTACATAAATCACTTGAATGAGAAATTTAAAAGTATGAACATGCCCTTAATATCTACTGTTAGCGAGCGTAATTTATCAAACATCAACTAAAAATAAAACATAATGTGAAACTACCTTCATTTTATAAAAATTAGACACAAATAAGTGGTATAATATTATGAATAGTATTTTTAAAAGGAACAAATCCTATTTTTTATTTGATGTCGCCTTAAAGGTGTACGGTTGACACACACACATACACACACACAAAGACATCAAACGATACCACTTACGTTACAAATACCAGATTACAAGTTTGGATCGCAATTTCCTCGGCCGACTACCCTGCAATAACATTCAGCGTGCCAGTTGGCTGGCGCGAGATCGCGCCGCGCCCTGTCGCCGGATTACAGATGGGCATAACATATATTGTATTTACCTCCAATGTACAATTTCAACTCACTGAACATATTATTGTTCCATTTACCCACTGAAATATATTAAACTAATATAACTTTAAAATTATCATTACACGAATTTAATAATATCATTGTTATCAAATTATATTTAAATCGTTACTAGGTACTTTTTATAGCATAAATTAGCTTTAAATTTACATTGCCTGCCTATCTATTACATAAAGTATCGAACTAAATTCGATGAATGAATGAATGCAAATATTTATTTGCATTTTGCAAGAAATATGGTAAATATAATATAATAATATTAAGTCCACATATTTCGCCACAATTAGGCATGCAAAATTTAAAATATTTAAATATTACATTAACAATTCTTATAAAAAAAAAACAATATGTCAAATACAATTACTTTGTAATATACCTAATCTGAATTCATTTATAAAATCCTCGATTAGTATCTATTTACTTTCAACATTAAATACAGGCACAAAAATCTTTATAGGTACACAGCATCGAAATTATATTTTAAATTAAAAAACAACCTAACTATATACTGAGTATAATAAATAACACTTGATATAAGACCGTTGCAAAAATGAAGCTGTAAAATGAGAAGATAGCAAAATTCAATAACAAAATAGGGAAGCGACTCGACGATATTGAAGTTGGTGCATAAATGTAAAATGTTTGCCACTCACGAAGTCGCAAACGTCCAATTTGCGAATATTCACAATACAGATAGCATCCAATTCAGAAAACTAGCATATTGTGTGCATGGATTGCATGCATGTGCATGAAGTGCATGGATACATAACCAGCTATTACACAGCACAAACTTAATTTGGATTAGGTGGTTGTCTAAAATGTATCCAGGTCAAACTGCACAAAGTCGACAACTGTATGATTTCAATTATGCGCCACGACAATTCCCCAGCCTGTTTCATGGAAATGAAATAGGAAACTCTGGCCACCAACTTCTGAACTACATGTCACGCAACACTTAGGTGTACGATGCAGTTGTTATTGTCACAAGAGCACTCGCCTCTGTTGAGCGAATTGCAGTGAATATTCTATCTGACTTTAGGTCTATATATTCAACAGAACATAAAAAATACTGAGCAAGATTTGCTTAAAATCCTTAGGGCATATTTCTGTTGACAGTATATGATAGACTACAATTTGCGGACTAAAAGTTCATTCAAATCATTTCAACCGCATACAAGCATAAATTGTCAAGTAACGCATTATTATAATAGACTTGATGGAAGCACGTCCATATCTATACACTCCCATAAGCTGGATTTATGAAGAAAAATAAAGTTTTAATTGAAATTGTTGCTGCAAACAAGATTAAAGTAATCAGTGCAGACGGAGAGATTTCTGGCGTGTCTCTTCTTTGTGTGCGCCTTAATTATCTTTCTTAGCTATTCCAGTAATTGATATAAGTTAAATCTTATAAAGGTAAGGCCACGATAACAACACTAGTTTTTTGTTTCTTCCGCCAAAGTCTTACAACCGTGTAATGTAAAAATGCGTTTGTTTTATCATATCAGCCTTTAACAGTCCACTGCTGAACATGAGCCTCCCCGTTGAGGGGTTTTGCCGGTAATTGCTACGCTTGGCAAGCGGATTGACAATTGCAGTAAAACTTTAGAGATGGTTTAAGAGGGACGCTTCTGCCCATAGCTCTCTCTCACTTAGTCGACTCTTACGACGCCTACGGGAAAGGAAGGGCTAGCGTATTCTATGCCAGTACCACACGGCCAAAAATGCGTTTGAAACATATTGGAAATAAATAGTTACTGTCTATAAGTAATGAAATGTTATACTCTCATTACCAGACTGTGAAGCGGCAAGTTGTTCGCGACTTTAAATATAATGAGTCTAATAAGTAATTAAAAATTATATATGCAATGTCTACAAAAGAAAATAGTACAATATTTGTGACGCTAACAAAAAATAATGTTTCAAATATATGTAATAAAATGAAAATAAGTTTCTGTAAATGCATCTCCATAGAAACAAAACCGTCCAGTATCTCGTGTTGAATACGGTTTATTCATTTTATCACTAGGTAGATACATTGTTTTTTTTTTTTAATTTTAGCTTGCCTCTATCCAGGATCGGAGTTGACGCCGGCAATGAGAACAAGAAACCGGAAGATGAAGTCAACGAATACCTGATGAAGGCAATCGACGCGCGTTCCATCGACCGCCTGCGCGCCGAGCACTGCCGCCCCTTCACGCTCACATTCCGCGATCAAATCCTCGAGAGGAAGGTAACTACCATTACACAGATATATATATCACTGAGTATATACTGCTATAGTCTATTGGGACAACCTCGGCAGGAAGCTCATTCCACAACCATGAGTGTTCGTGAGAGAAAAAATCTCTGATACCGCGTTGTACACGACCATTTAGGCTGTAGGGTATGAGGGTGAACTCCCTGCCGATGGTGAGCCACACGATGGTAGAAAATGGCCGTAGGCATCATATTGAATAATTCCTCTGAGCACAATTCGTTGTATGATTTTGTTAGAATCCTTACGTCTAGCAACATTTAATAGCTTTAATTCTTTTGAAAATAGTTTGTTGTTTGGCTGGGAAGTCGTTTTTTTTATTTACGTAGCAAAATTTACTTACTTATTTAATGTACCTATTTGTACATACTCAATTGGCCCAGTAACGATAAACGGTAGACGAGAAAAAGTACTCAATTATGAATTATTGCCTGAAAGCGTTTACATATGGAGCGTTTATTTACATGTGATGATATTAGTTTGCTCAAGAAATTCACCAGCAAAATGCGTATATTTGTAAAGTGGATTTTTTTTATTATTAGAATTATTTAACGTATATAATATATACCAATTTTATTTTAATTTTTCCAAAAAGATTTCTACTCGTCTATTATTGTATCAGACCACTGCAGAACATAGTCTTCCCCATGAGGGGGTCTTGCTAGTAGTTGTTATGTTTGGTAGGTGGGTTGGCAACCACAGTTAAGATTTGGAGATGATTTAAGAGAGACGCTGCTGCCCATCCCTAGCCCACCTTTAGTTGCCTCTAACGACACCCACGTGAAAGGAAAGGGTGGCCTATTCTATACATGCTTATTGCATTAAAAAAGATATTGGATTCTACTCGTAATTATAATATATCCGATAATCTTTAGAAGATTATAAACAATTGAAAATCAATTATCTAACAATATGTATTAAGCAAAAGATACTGGATACATTAATTATCAATTGAGCGTAGTTCGATGCGTGACTAGTGTAGGCTAGTAGCAGTGATCACGTTCCAAATCAAAAGTCTCTGTAGACGCGTACAGACCGTGCTCGAGCCGTGAGCCGAGCTAGGAATGGATTAAAGCGAGATTTACCCATTATCTGTAATTCTATATGTGCTTTGCAAGTTGACAAACATCCGACCGCAAACAAGTCAGTCTACATTAAGCCTGTCTATACGTTTCTACGTATATTTTATGTCTAACTAAGTGTACCTGCTGCTCACACGTTCCCCGAAAGAAAATTGCAAGGCAAGCTGGATTACTCGTTTGTAATAAGAGAAAGGGGAGTATTACAATATTCATTAGAATACTCAAACATTGTACCGTTACCTTCATGTGGCACGAGGTTTATTTTGACATAAATTAAGCCACAATTAGATAAGTAGGTCACGAGGGAATGTACTGGATTTTATAATTGCATATATATCGCCCTTATGTTATAACAGTTTCCCCAATGTACTGACCTTGGTAATTTAAACCACCAGAGGGAGACTTTGTACAAAAGTCAATTGCTGGGGTACCTCTGTCCCATTCGTGTTTCAACCGTGAAGCAGTTTTGTTTGCATGGCTGTGTTTCCGTTTGAAGAGTGGGATATGGCGTGAATTTACTGGGTACAGAGGAATAACACCTGAGTCCTCAGGAATGGCAACGCATGGGGGGTATCATGGGCGAAACAGTATACTCTGTTATGTCCATGGTACTGCTCATGTCTATAGGCGACGGTTACCACTTTACATCAGGTGGGCGTCAGCTTGTTTGCCATTCTAAGTAGCATAAAAAAAAATTAAATATTTCTCTTTCATTAAAATCCGAACCAGCCGAAAGATTTCATTAGATAAAAAAAAATATTATAATGACCATACAGCCAACTTACTATACATACTAATTTTTATTCTCACAACGGATATAAAATTAGATGCACAGATGGTCCTTAACCTATCTTAACAGACGTAGTATACTTTATATGCTAATTAACGCGGGCAAAACTCCGGGTCACAGCTAGTAGTTAAGTTGGATGAGAAAACGAAGACCGTGCGAGTTACTAAAGCATAGAGAGCCTCTAAACACCCCATAGATGAGAATATGCAAATGTTTTGCCCCGTTATTTCGCTTTGTCTGTTTACGATTCTATGGCCATATATTACAATAAACTTTTTTAGTATAAAGCGAGATCAACAAGAAATTTACGAGTTACACCTACGTAATAAAACTTTATTTACTCTATGGTTAAGTCTATAAAAAAATAAAGTGTTATTTCCACGTTGGAAGGAAAAAGTATATATCCATGCTTTGAATAATTACAATAACATTTTACAACCCTGATCTGTGAGCGGCGCGGCGTTTTGCGGTAATAAATGCTAATTCCAATCAGGAAATCTTGTTAAAAAAATGGAGCTTTCTTTCTTTGTCTTAATTCTTACGAATCGCTCAGTCAGCGCGGAACAAATTGCGACCCTTCGCTTATCGCAACCTTTCTACAGAAAGCCCTTTCTCGGCCAGTTTGATATATATTAGGCATATGAATGTATTGAGACATAAAATATAAATATAGAAAGTAATTTTTTTACGCAATTAACACACTTTGCAGATAAAAAGAAATAATAGGTAAGAAACAATTAGATTAATTACATTTTTTTTTCTAAAATAAAAGCCTAGACTTTTTATGTTGCCGCGTCGCTGCCAATTACAAACCGTAACCGTTTAAAATTAATTCTACGACAAACGGCATTTCACCTCAACTGTGTAATTAAAACTATTCATTACATCAGGGTCTTGGAAATAATTTTATTACATTTTCAAATATCACTTTATTCGTGTTAATTTTGCTTCTGCGATTCATTCAAACGAATTACTTTTGTGGAATCATCATGGCCGCTTTGGACTTCAATTGAATTAATGAAAATAACAGTACGTAATTATTATATTTTGTTATTTTCTTTTATAAAATTAAACATAAGTTTTAAAACACAAAAGTCGTCAATAGCTCGGATTTTTGGACTTTTAACATTTTTATGAACAAGTATATATTGCTACGCAAAAAACGACAGCTTAGACAGACTCGACAACCCCATCGATTGCAAAAAGAATTGTGAAAATCGGATTAGAATCAGCTACGCAATCGTGTAGCGTATTCTAAATAAAATTCAGACGAATCGGGTACCTGCCACATCTGTGCTCACGCGTATAATCCCAATATTTATTATAAACGTGAGCGTATATTAAATAAAAATATACTCTTAAAATTATGACTGAATCATAAATATAGCGTGCAAAGTTATAAGTAAATTATAAAATAAAATATATACTCTGAAAACTCCATCCATAATGAAATAAATACTACATACTGTATATTACTGTGTATTGAAACATAATACCCTTTTTGTTATTTGCGTACGTATTTACGTCATTAATAAGCGGAAATCAAATACATTTATAATTTTACTAAAATCGCATTCATGTTCATATATATTTTGTGCTTGTATTCTACCTGTGTATAGCCCTATATATGATAGCCATATTATTTTCACTGGGTCGACGAAACTTGCTGTTAATAGGAGAATTTCATGGACATTCAACTCATAACTTTGTATATCAATCAATCTGAAGGCGACTGCCACGAGAACTCGCGAGCAATTTAAGACTATCGCGAAATACTTGCGTAACACGGCACACCATGTTCTTGTCATATACATCATAAAAACACGGATACTGTAAGGAAACTAAGTACCTTCTTAGTATAAAATAATCTGTCTTTATAGACTTATAGAATATACTTATGTATATTAATAATATACTACTATACTGTAATGATTTAGTTACTAATAACGAGAATATATCACATAGTTATGGTAGTAAAAAATTTGACAATCGTCAAAAATATTATACTTTAAAAATTTAAAATTAATTAAACAAATGTTAGCTAAAAAATCTACTGAAACAACATTAAATCGAGTAGACGCTAAAATTGACTTATTAAGCGACGCTTTTGTTAAAAACCAGTTATAAATAAGTCTATCACTAAAATTGATTATATCAAATAAACAGAGTTTTTAATGTCAATATACTAAACGGGTCACAAGTTGCTCTGACTACTTTCTTTGCAATTAAAACTTACTGACCGGATAAAAGTTACCAAATTAATATAAATACCTGATAAGAGATATCTTGACCGAGTGGAAGACATCAATATCCTTGGAATTATCCTCAAAAACCGCTTCGTATTTTGTTAAAATCTTATAGAAACTTTTGGTTCAGAAATTTCTTAAGCAGACATTCGGTGCTATTTCTATTTCACACGTATTTAAATATTTTTTACTGTCTATATTATTACTACCATAATACATTCGAGAAACCATCAACTGAATATTATCTTTTTTTCAGCAAAGAACAATTCATGACTTAAAATATAGTGCTAATAATCTGGGGGCACAGCAGTGCCCTGATCAAGTGATCAGTACCATTCTTTTCTCTAAAGGTCTCATGATACTTTTGACCCACTTTTAACTTTACTGTGGATAAAGCAAGAAGTTTAAATCTTTAATGATTAGGAGAGCATACTATAGCTGGCTATATCACTAATATACATATTGGGGGGAAAGGGATTGTTAGTAATGGAGACTGAGAATCCCATTACTAGCAATATACCCAACCAGGTCGACCTCCTCGTGGTTCCCCCTGGAAACTATAATGGTTAATTCCTGATGAATTCATCGTGATGGGCTAACTGGCCTGTTTTCATTCTCATCTATCACCCTTCACTGGTGCTCCGCCAGCGTATCCCGTTAGCGCAGGCGGGGTTACCATACCATTTTCACCCATCAAAAAAAAAAAATATACATATTAATTATATCTTGTAATATTCAGTGAATTATCGCTAGTCAAAATTCTATTATTTTAACATTGACACACTCACAGATCATCAAAATTGTAAGATATATTTAGTTATCTCAGAAGGCTCAAATTTTAAATTATAATTAGGATTTAGTCTAAAAAGAAAGAAAAATATGAAAAATACCAAATTTATGTAATTCGTTTTAATTAAATGAAAAATAATAATTATTAGAAACGTTCACTCATTCAAATAACACATCGCGCTTGTTGCTAAAAGATATAATTTATATATGTAAATTTATCCGAGAAGAAAAAGGAGTTTGACCTGCAAACAACTATAATAATTATAATGACTTGGCAACTACACGTATCAACATTATTCCTTATATAACATACATAAGAGGAGGAGCAACTATGATAATTATGACAGAAATCCTAAATTAATCTTGTACGTGTATACGGTGAATTTCCGCAGTACACGGCCGAGCGTGATCGCATGCTGAAAGTATACTTCATCTGCTCCCTGGTGGTCTACATCGCTGTCCTGATCGTGCAAATGCTCGCCTTCCACATGTAAGTACTCACCATCTTCAGCTCATCGCAGTCCACTACTTCACTATGACAATTTTGCCTTGAAAACATTGATTTCAGCATTAAGAACTATTATCGTGTTTCTTTTATTCTTTATACATAGAGGTTTTATTCTTTATACATATACTCAGTCGTTCGACTTTCACGATTCTCCTCCAGTCATTCTTACCGCTTTCAAGATGTAAATTCGTTACTTATCCAGTGCTCATCAAATACTCTTTGATTTTTGATGGATTGACTGCTGATAATAGCATCACTCTAGTAGTAGTTTCATTCTCTCTTTGGCATATAAGACATGTTTAACTTCATTACAACGTATTCACTGCAATGAATTTTAATTTACAATTTTTCCATATGCAGCACTCTCCTGGGATTTATCACGATTGCAGCGTGTGGTTTCATTCTGGTCACAGTCACTTACGTCATCATCTGCGTGGATTTCAAGGTTATTTATTAACTTATATCTACACAGTACTGAAAAGAAAGTATTATCTTCAAACGTTCGTCTTTAATGCATATTTAAAAATGGAACATTTTAAATTCTGGAAACCACTATACCAGCAAATCTACAGTTGTAGTCAATTGTCAAAGTGCTTGTTCCAGTTCACGGGGCCGTGCCTGCGTCGGTTCTCGGAGCGCGTGCACAACAACCGTACACTCGCGCAGGCCTTTTCGTTCCTGGTGGTCGGCGCGCTCATCGTGCAGATACAAGTCATCATGGTCGGTATTCTGCATCTCTCCGTCCACCGACCCTCCTTGATGATTAACAAACGAAGTTATTTATCATTTCAGGCATTCTTTATCCACTGCTGGATATAAGCCTCTCCCACAGACTGCTATAAACCATCTGCATTCACTGACTCCCTGCAATGCATTTTAGATCGTCACTCCATTTAGTGAGGGGTTATCGATAGATAATTTTTTTATTTGCGTACGCATGAAAAAAGATACGGCGCCAGATATAGCTGTCTTATCCTATCTTATGCATGCAGTAACTAAAATAATAACTAAGTAATAATAAAGATAATCTATCCCATCTAAGTCCGCAATATTATAGTTTACCTAGAATATTTGCAATCAGACTCGAAACAAAAAAGCATGTTTTAACACATCAATAAACCTATTTTTTTTTACTTACTTATTAGGAACTAAAAATATAATTTATTGGTCAGAAACGAACGATGTTAAAAATAATAGGTACAGAAAAATATTCAAAATCAGTACATAATGTAATTGCCTCTTTTACTAAATTTACATTTTTTAATTTCTGTACAGGTGCAGAGCATGTACAAAGGGGTTAATCGTAAGGAACTAGTAACAGACAATGATGGAAGTGCATTCTGCCCGTATGACATGAACGAGGTACGCCATACACGTTTATATCTTTCATACCGTTCCTTATTAGAGGCATGAAATCATTAAAGTCTAAAATCGCAACTTTATCGGTTGTTACTCAATAGGGATTTCGTAATCCTCTAAGATTTCTAAGCTAGGAGGTGTGATTTCGAGCTGACAGTACCTATTATGTCTTCCGTATTGTCTTTCTTAATAAAATAATCTTTAAGTTCTAAATCCTGCACTTTACAAATAATTAAATATTAGGTATTTATAATTTATTTTTGTAAATATTAACAAGTCGTCACATTATGTTCGCTGCAGTACTACCTACAGCTAACTTTGATGGCGATGTTCCTCTGCGCGGTGCACCAGATCCTGATTACCATGGTGAAGACGTTGCTGCTACTGGTCATTTCTATCACCTACATTATTATCACCACACAAGAGCATCTCTACTACCGCAACTATTTCTTCAACTTCGAGTAAGAAACACTTTAACATTTTGAATTGTAATTAATAAAAAAAAATACTTCTGATACAATAAGAATTTTAGTATTCCAAAATTATGCCCGACAAATCTTCAAACTAAATTCTGTATTTTGTATATTCGTATTCAAGTCAAGTTAAACTGCAAAAGCGACGAATATTGTGTTATCGCTAAAAAATATTTAGAATTCGTAATGTATGTAAATTTGTAATGTACCACTTGACCATTTAGGTAACTTTGGAATCAATTTGAATATAAATTAGTGACTATAAGCAGATCTTATGATTGATTTCTAAAACATCTGAAATACGTTTCTTTTTTACAGACACAGATGTGGCCTCGACTGGAACCAGCAATGGATGAATATTGTGATCGCCTTGGGTGCTACCGTTGCCTTGATTTTGCATTCCCAACAGACAGAGAGCACTTACCGTCTGGACTTCATCTGGAAACTGCAGGCAAACAGTGAGTCTTCTTGACATCACCGAATGTATATCTTTGGTATAACCAGTAATGATGAGTAACTGTAATGTGTCTGTTTAGATGAGAAAGAAGAGATGGAACATTTGGAGGCCTACAATCGCAAGCTCCTGGCAAATATTTTACCGGAACATGTCGCCCAACATTTCCTCGGCAGCGATAAAAATATTGATGTATGTTGTTACAACATTGTATTATTTATTATTATTCTCATAATGTTTTAAGAGCTTTAATGATTAAATCCAAATTATCGTTTTGTAAGTTCGAACTATCTATGACACTGTATTTCGGTTTGGACGTTTTGAGTCCTTGTGGTGGCACCGTATGGTACCGTAGTCTTCAGAAATAAGAGATGACCATCACATTGTATTCTTTTATCCCCATTTTGCCTAAATTCATCATCTCAGCTATTGTCAGTCCACTGCTACCTACATAGATCTAAAATAATGCCCCTTTGACCTATAATAAGGCTGTTTAAATCTATAGGTAACAGTTACTACTTCCTGGATCGTCAGTTTAATTAATATCACAAATTATATAAAAGCATATTTTATTCTACTAAGAATCTAATTTTAATTGTCTCCATGAAAGGTCCCTTTGAGATTAGGTATACATATCTTTCCAAAACCTTCCAATCTCTTAATGTAACTCTTACAAATTTTATCCTTGGACTATTTACTGCTTTATAATACTTACTACATTAAACAAATGAAACTTTAATTTCATACTTGTAAATTTTTACCACATTCCTTCCGTAGGAACTATATCACGAGCAATGTGAGTCAGTGTGCGTAATGTTCGCATCGATCCCGAATTTCTCCGAGTTCTACGTGGAGTTGGAGGGGAACAACGAGGGGGTCGAGTGTCTGCGGCTGCTCAACGAGATCATCGCTGACTTCGACGAGATACTCGCCGAGGAGCAGTTCAAGTACATCGAGAAGATCAAGAGCACCGGCGCCACCTACATGGCTGCTTCTGGTCAGTTTTAGTTTGATATGGTCAACTATACAGGTACTTGACTATGCTCCGTATTGATTAAATATAATAACTCCTTTCAAATGGCTTCAATGTATTTTATTCCTGTTTAACTTCTTTATTTTCCCCTTTTTCATTAAAAAATAAACTACTCCATTACCAGTATGCTCTAACTTATAAATGTATGTTCCATTAACTTAATACATTGCTACCCTCGGTTCCGCTCCCGTGATCTCCCTTTTTCCTGTTTCATTGGAATTACACAAAGAACCTCTCTCAGTGCATGTGTACACTGCAAAAGAAATTAACCTGCCAAAATTCAACTTCATGTTACTGAGTAGTGTAGTTTGAAACTGTGCAATTAGTCAATCAGTATTTCGAAATAGCTTAACTAAGTGACTATCTTAGTTATAGATATATGTTTAGCAAATTTTATTCTCTACAGATATACTATTATTATTTAAATCCGTATTTAATATAATTACTGTTTATCGAAATAAACTGTTGTGATTATAAATGAGCAGGCTTAACGGCGAGCACACGCGACCTCCGCGGCTACCGCCACGTGACAGCGATGGCGGACTACGCGCTGCGCCTACGTGAGCAGCTGCAGTATGTCAACGAGCACTCGTTCAACAGCTTCCGCATCCGTATAGGTGAGTAACCATGGCCCGTCAACTTGGTGCGTGGCGAGCGGTACGCCTTAGCGAGGCGGCAATGTAAAACGTCTACGGCATTGGCTCGCGGGTTTTCCATGCACAAGTTAACGGGCTATAACCAACTGTTAGTAACTATCGTAGGTGAGTTAGTATATAGATTTCCTTTACCGTTTGTACGCTTTGCAAAGCGACGTTGCATCAGCGAATGAGTTTAATTATTTAGTATATGTGACGAACGATAAGTACAAAATAGGTATGAAGAAAATATTGTGAACAGGCATTAACATCGGACCGGTGGTGGCTGGTGTGATCGGCGCTCGCAAGCCGCAGTACGACATTTGGGGGAATGCGGTCAACGTTGCGTCTCGAATGGACTCCACTGGGCTCCTCGATCATATCCAGGTATTTACATCGTATACCGCCTCTAAATTGTATTATCATATACATAAATCTATGTCGACTATATTGTACTCGATATAGTCATTATTTTTATATTCGTAAAGTTCAAAATCCGAATTAATTTTAATAACTATCGCTCTGCGATTGTGGTACCACAATTGACCAATTACTTAAAGATTGCACCTGCGAATTCTGTTGAATCAGCAAATTTCCCATTTGCTACTAATATCACATTTGTGAGAACACTTGTAATCTTTCGCAGGTTATTTTTTGTTTTAATATTTGTTCCTATTCAGATATATTTAATTTCATTTTGGTCATCAGTGGGTTATGATGAAATGTAATCAATTATTCCTCTGCATCCTACCTGAAAGTGATTTAGCAATAAGGCCGCCCATCCTTACCTTGCTTCTTGTAATTATGATTTGAATTTTTTTTATACATATATATATATATATATATATATATATATATATATATATATATATATATATATATATATATATATATATATATGTATGTATGTTTATGTATTTGTGTATCTTTCTTTAATAGGAAAATAAAACTTTTCAGTTATTTGTTCTAATTTGGAAGTCTTCCTTACTAGTGCAAACTTTTTAGTACACTTAATTTTAATTTTGAAATAGGAGATTTGAAATATTCTCTTCCCAAAAATATGTTGTAGAAAAAGAGTTAAAGTATTGTAATTTCAAAATATGAATTCCAAATTATACCAAGTACGAACGATCACTAATGTAAACATAGATTTTTTTTTTTGTCTTAATTCTTACCAGTTTTGCTTCGCACATTTAGACAAGGTACAATCAGCATTAAAAGTTGATGTACGTATAAATTTTCGAACTCTCTATCGATCGTTACATACGTCATATGGTCGCTATGTTCAACTGGTATTGTCTATTTGATAATCTAATGTTATTTGATCAATGACGTTTAACGATTTGGAAAATCTAAATGTAATTGTTGACTTTCGGTGCTATCTGTGCTTTTAAAACTTGTTGCACCGCTTGTGTTCCGTGCTCGACGTGTGCGCGTTGTGGCGTTGAATGTCTGTGAATGATATGGTGTGTCGTGTACCGTGCGCAGGTGACGCAGGAGGTGTACGACATCCTGTCGACGCGGGGGTACCGCCTACGCTGCCGCGGCACCGTCGACGTGAAGGGCAAGGGGAACATGGTCACCTTCTTCTTGGACGGCGTTGGAGACACCGCTGAGCCCGGCGCCAGGGATATTTACAACGTATGTGAATTCAATATGTTATAAATCATTATGGATCATGTATTAGAGCACGCAAACAAGAGAAAAAAGTAATAGGATTTAATTTTTTTTTTATACAACTTAGAATGGCAAACAAGCTAACGGATCACCCGATGGAAAGTGGTAACCGCCGCCTATAGACATGAGCAGTACCATGGAAATAACAGAGTATACTGTTTTGCCCATGATAACCCCCATGCGTTGCCATTCCTGAGGACTCAGGTGTTATTCCTCCGTACCCAGTAAATTCACGCCATATCCCACCCTTCAAACCGAAACACAGCCATGCAAACACAACTGCTTCACGGTTGAAACACGAATGGGACAGAGGTACCCAAGCAATCGGCTTTTGTACAAAGTCTCCCTCTGGTGACAGATCAATGGTAATAAAAAAAGCCAGTTGTTGCTTGGCTGTTTTAGAAGAACGCTTCTGCCTATCACTCATTTATCCCCATTTAGTTTTAATCGCCTCCTACGATATCCACGGGAAAGGCAGGAATGACCTACTCTAGCATCACTCGACAAAATTATTTATTTATTACTAATAAACATTTATTTACAGAAGGGTTAAATAGCTAGAGCGGTATGTACGATTTATAACATACAATACATACATGAGAAACTCGGCGTCCATTTCAGAATCCCACACCGTCGACATCCGCGGAGGGTGACGAGAACGGCAACGAGCCTGAAGGCAATGGCTCACGACCTGAACACCGCCCGCTGGAGACGCTTTCAGAGGGTTGCACCGATGAAGATGCAGGACCGTCGCCGAGAGCATCCATCCCTAGAGGTACACCGGACATTCTAATGACGTGTTAAAGCGTGTCCAGCCTTGTGTTTGTTGATGCGTATTACGTTAGTTTGAGATATTTGAAGGTACTTACATAGGCTTTAAAGCTATGATTTCTTTTTTTATTTGTATTAAAACAGCAGACAATCTTACGATTCGTCAGACAGTAAGCAGTTATTTAATTAACTAAAAAATAATTAATAAAACTTAATTATTATTTATGTATTTATGTAATAATTTATTTTATGTTAGTTTGTTTTTCTAATTGCTTGTTTTTGTAATTATATATATTTGTTCAAGTATTGAGTACATATTTACCATATATGTTTAGATTTGTATGTTGTTGTATTTACCCGAGGGAGACTTTGTACAAAAGTCGTTTGCTTGGGTACCTCTGTCCTATTCGTGTTTCGACCGTGAAGCAGTTGTGTTTGCATGGCTGTGTTTCGGTTTGAAGGGTGGGATATGGCGTGAATTTACTGGGTACAGAGGAATAACACCTGAGTCCTCAGAAATGGCAACGCATAGGGAGTATCATGGACGAAAGAGTATACTCTGTTATGTCCATGGTACTGCTCATGTATATAGGCGACGGTTACCACTTTACATCAGGTGGGCCGTCAGCTTGTTCGCCATTCTAAGTTGTATAAAAAAAAAATGCAAAAAAAGCATAACTACTCATTCATTCATTTTTTTACTTTCACATTTCCTCCTTTAAACTGAAATGCCAACATAACTTTTAATAATAAAACTAAGTGATACAGTGGCATCCATGTAAAGCACTGAGTATTTGAAACTATGTTTCTTTTTTTATCTTGCACGCTATGTAATCGCTCCATCCTGAACAAACACAGAGAAAACACGGTCCTTAAATGCAATCAACCGAAAAGAGAATGTACTACTCTCAAGGGTCGATTCTTTCTGATTATCATTTTAGTAACGTCTCACATCGACCTGCGATATAGTGCAGTAAATAACTAATTATATTATAACTGCATTGCAGAAAATCAAAATGGCACAGTGAGCCCACGGCTCACCAACGGCGGCTCATCGTCCCGCGAGAGCGTCGCGAGCGCGGTCCGAGCGCGGGTGCTCCGGCGCCTGGAGCGGCCGCGGTCGCTGGCCGACGCCGCCACCCTACCGGCCATGCTGTCCCAGTTGCACAACCGTACGTATTCCACCGAGTTACACTACCGCGACCAGAAGAACAATTCACTCCGAGATGTGAAAACAGCAGTGGTGGAGTCGCGCAGCAGTGGCGAGATCGAAGCGCTGCTAGAGGGCCACGGGCCACGCCGCGCCGCCAGCCTCGCCGACATACTCTTCAGGAAGAAACAGAACAGGATGGGCACTGTCAGTATCATCGAAAATCCCATGAACGCTATGTACGATTTCAACTCGAAGCTCACGCCGGAGGAAACATCTACTGGCTAAACTCCAGACGTTACTCGTAATACGGCCGATCCGTAAACGGCCGATTTGAATTGCTTTAAGACAACGTGATCACTTATTGTTCTTTTCTAAAAACAAGTATTTGTAGAAAGTATTCAATTATTAAAATTAATTCAATTGTTTAAATGGTCTTTTTGAAGAGAATTTCAAGTGATAAACTCTTGATAGGATTAACATAAGTATTGTAAACACCTATGTATGAAAGCGTGTGTTAAGTATATAAATACTTGCCATAACAAAATAAGGAAACGTAGATACGTACTAGATGTCTAGTGAATAGGACTCTGACTCTGCAGAGACAACATTACTCGGCCAGACCCCGACCAGACAAGACTGAACATGACCGCCGACAATGAACATACAACGGAACGTGACGGTCACGCTTCTAAGATAATCGATGTGCTTACGAATTTATTGATATTACATGTATAGACGTAGTTGTACGCGGTGTGAGTCTGATGCATTCACATGTACATGATTGTGATAGGGTTGAGCGCGAGCGTAAACTGAGCGCAGGTCGAGCGGCGAACGAACGGCCGAGCGCACGTTGAGCGTCGACTGAGCTTGATTAGTTGTCGAGCGGCCGCTGGATACAGGTTGAGCATCGACTGAGCGCCAGCGCAGCGTCAACCTACAATTATTATTAGTGCCAAGTAGCGGATGCGCCCTACGTCGTAATTCTAATATAAATAGTTAAGTCGAATATGGAAACGTTTTGAATTATTGGAATGATTTATTTAGTATATAACTATTATACTTGTAATTAATTGATGTATTTAGTTCATAGTTTATTAATAAGGTGATATTATACTATCTCATATATGTACTTATGATTCGATTGAGACTTTAGTTTGCTGATATCGAGTGCTCTCACAGTACTCATTATGTAGGTACGTATATTGTTGATTATCCAAATGTGTATTTGCTTATTTAACTGCTGTTAACATTATTTCGCTACATAATTGAACGAGAATTCCTCGCTGTTCCACTTCGAAAACTATACTCTTTTATTGCATCTATACTACGTTTTAATTTATATATATCACTGTATAAAGCTTACAACAATATCCAAAGAATAGTTATTCACTTTATTGTAGTATTATTGTGTAAATAGCGCGTCACTGCGGTGTCCGACGGGATCCGGATTGTTACAAATACAGTGCACATTTTAAGAGGACTGTGCGTTTATTTTTTCCTTATAAATTTTTAATATTATCAATTGCTATTCAAAGTCATGCGTATTTAACTCCGCACACAGGATTATCCCGCAAGTATGAAAATTGGCGGGTCACATGTAAAACATATCACATGCTTGCTCTCCGTGTCCGGGATTACTCGCGAAGCGATACGAGGATGATATAGGTAACAATATGACCCGTGGAGCTTGATAACATCCTGACACTGTAAACTCTGTATTTCGGTTTACGTGTCAGCTATGAAAACCGTGCTGTTTATAATTTGCATGTAAAAAATCACGTCCAAGTGACTCGTTTGGACACCTCTCCGCGTAGCCAAATGTAATCCTTAGAATTACAATTTATTATAACAAATATGTATACGATTATTGTAGTGTAACTAAAAGTGGATTATCGTTCATGCACGTCTCTCGTCCGTGGCCCCGCTCTCCGTTCCTCCCTATGAGTTCAGGAGAAGCAGCACAGCACGCATAGTCAATATAAGGTAAAATTAGATAGGTCACATGTAGAAAACAATGAGCTTTCTCAGTCTTTAAAAGACTTACTCTATCTATATAGTACGTACGTCTGATCTTTCGAACGTGTGGAGGTCTCCACGGTCTTATTTCCAGCCCCCGTTGCCCTTTGCATCACCTGATCCTGCATGAAATGCTCAAGACCAAATCCTCGGGTCCAAATATTAGATAATATATATTTTATTTGTTGAATTATAGCTGATATAATATATCCTATATATTGAAAAGTTTATAAATTAATATATGTAGTTGGTCACGAATACACGAAAATGTCGAGACAGAAGGTGCAGCGAGAATTGGTCGTGCATGCAGTACTATATACAGATGCAGATATACCATGCAAATATATTAAACTACCAGTCGTGGCATTATAAAAGCTATACAGTGACACCACTCACCCCCATATGAAAAAGCCAACTTTTTTTCTTGTCATTTCTCAAAACTCGAATGGAATATTTAACCAAAGTCAAGGCTAATTGGGGCAGAAAAATTACACTTAAAGTACCTACAATTACAGCATCTAAATTAATATTTGTGCTCAGTGATATTTTGGCACCAGTTTCCAGTATTCAATTGTTTTCGATACTTTCAATATGTGACGCGTATACTGGTAGTTTGGCCTCCTTTTATTAAACTGAGGATCTCTATCCAAACATCAGTGTGGTGCAAGAGAGAATCTCTGGATCCAATCCATAGATATCTTATAGAGTATTGGATACACTCACTCACGCTTCCGTCGTGACAGTCCCGCGTGTATTCACATTGTGTGTTTTTGTTAATATATACGTGACTATTTAATATTAACAACTTTTAGCATCCATTATTTACAGTTCCCGTACCTAGTATTATACGACGTAGTCGATATGGAATTATAAAAAGAGTTGTAAACCCTTACATTGTGATGTTAAGATTACGTTTAGCTTGCCTCCCGTCGCAGATGTGCTTGTCGTGATAGCAGTACGCCGGTACGTCGGTATATTGTTGCTAAAAATTTATTCATATCGTCTACATATAATAATAACCTGCTGTTGTAATATATATATATACATATATATATACTGTTTGTACATAGTTGTAATCATGTAATTTATCCACCTAGTTACGAATTGAGACCTTAACCTATCGAGTCAAGTGCTAAATAAATTGGGCACCGCGCTCGTTAATTTTACGATATTTTGATTAACATAATCTGAAGCTAAGTATTTTTCGATGTTCTATACGTATTAATAAGTTATCGTGCCAAAGTCGGCAGCCAGCGACAGTATTATTGTAAGATGTTCTACCAATACCTCTGTACTCTTTATAACCATCGGTACCTTATCCCCCCCCCCATCCCCCACCAGTCAATTCCCTTCCCCTTGTTCACGATTATCTATAAAAATATAAGATTTATTTACAAATATATAACATTCTATGTTAGTGTTTAAATGAACAAATATCAATATATTTTAAATGTACCAAATAACGATCCAAATAACTTTTACATATACATATGTACAGTATTATGGGCTTATTAAATGTTCACATATCATAACGGACTGTAAATGCTTTTATCGAAAACGAAACGTTAGCGGCGCTACTCGCCTACACTAGAATTTTTAACTCGCTCTATTATAAAAGAAATATAGTCGATAATAGTTAAAATATAACTCTTACAGCTAACATTTCAATAAAACCAGAGGGCCTACCATGTGATATTTTTCGAAATTTCGGCGACGAACGAAACAGACGTTTGATGTTAAGACTACATGATACATAAATAATTTAAAATTATTAAAAATGTTAAAATATCGTTTATCTAGACCAGTGATTCTCAACCACTGTGCCGCGACACTTTTGTGTGCCGTCAAATTTTAAAAGTGTGCCGCCAAATTTAGCAAATATTTAAAATTTTTGTCATAAACTATTTATGCAGTGTGTTGTAGTAAGTAAATAATTTTTATCTTTTCCTTTGTGTGCCGCCAAATTTTTAAATCGTTAAATATGTGCCGCAACAAAAAAAAGTTTGAGAATCACTGATCTAGACTATTATGGTAGGATTTTTGATGAATGGAATGTTAAGCTCCATTTAGTCATTTACTGGGCCGATTTCGGTACGAACAAAGACACGAAATTGAGCTCGAAAATTCGGAATTTCAAATCACGATAGACCCCAGGTGTACGATGACGTTTGCGGCTCTGTGATTACGTCGTTATTTAATCAATATTTCATGGTTGCAACCCTAAAATTACTAAAGAATGACGACTTTATAAAGTCATAGAACTCACCTTACTATTCGGCATGTAAAGTTTTTCAAAATAGTTATAATAATTTTAATTGTTATTATTAACTACATGCTTACTAAATTGAACATTGGAACAGTATGGAAACTGAATTAGAATTTATTGTGCACGTGAAAGGGTAATTCGATCTTGCCTATTAACTTGTTAATTAATAAGGACTCCAAAGATCAGCTCTATCCCAACTGTGACTCTAATATCGAAGACGCTCGTTTCGTAGACAGTTTGTAAATTATTGTCTTAATAGTCCACCAATTTTATTATAGAATTTGTAATAATAAAGAAAAACATTAGTATCGCAGTTTCCATATTGAACGCTTTATGGATACCCAAATGATATCAGATACTGCTAACAGATCCATTAGCTCGGTATCTTTTGTGTATTATTTTATTGCAACTATTTATAATGCCGTTTACATAACATGTGATGAGTTATATATTCTAGCAGGTAGGCACGTGGGTAGCGCGTGTCAACAGCGCGGCAGCGGCACGTGACAGTATCGGTAACTGCAACATGTACCATATATGTTAGATAATAATAATTGTCTATTAATGGAATAAGAAACTGTACAAATTATTTCAACACAAATCTGGATCTTCCATTGTAGGCCCGTTATATAAAGTTGTCGTATACATTGCACTACACTGTATATTTAGCGGGCAATATGCAAGTGGGACGCTGCAATATTATAATATTTACATAAGACATACTGTTATTATACGTCGGTGTTGTGTGCTCGGTCGTGTTACAGCGGCGCTGGGCCGCGCGGACGGCGCCGCGCCGCCGCCGTGACACCCGTACCGTACTGCTACTCGTAATAAACAATTAGTTTATTAAATTAAATAAACACGCAGATGTATACTTAATGTATCTACACTTCAAACCAGGTTCAGAGTCGCACTAATCACAAACAAAAAATACAATACAAAACAAGATAAATTTATTAAAAAATTAAATAACCCCCGACACAAAAAAATACCTATAAGAAGTAAATGCCCTGATCATTACGTCTCTGACACGTACTCATTGAGACTAGATGACTTCAAAAACACTATATCTGCTGTAAATTGTATGAGAGTTGGGAGTCCTGCAGACGCCTTGATGCTATACTATCAGGCCAAGATTACTATGGCATGGAAATAGCGTGAAACTAACGGTACAACCAATTTTAAATTAATCTAACTTGTGAAAATTGGGGTAATCCCTTCGTCGAGTACAAAATAAGTTATATATTTTCATAAATTATAGCCAAGAACCATCTCAAACACATCAGTTTTATATGAAAAACGCATCAAAACTAACCATCTGTTTGGAAGTTATGATGCCACAGACAAACACATAGATATACAGACACGTTACACTTACAACACAACTCTTTCGGATCGGGGGTTAATAACTGAGTAATATTATAAAATCGGTGCTTGAAATACATAAAAAAAACATGTTAACCCAGGACCTGATTTAGATGAGGCGCCAGAGAATGGGGAAATGCTCAGAGCGGGAAAATGAATTGATTGCCAAATAATATTATAAAAGGTGTCAAAATTCATTTTTAATCGAAGCAGCGGAACAGCTAAATTGGGCACTGTGTTAACCCCTCTGCCAGACTCTGGACGCTGGCCCTTCAACTGTACGTACGCTCAAACGCACTAACATATCCCACTCGCTTCTGTGTATAACAATTGTAAGAGCCAATCATTTCACACGGACGACAACAAAATAGCTCGAGTGAGTGGTTGTGCTCAACTCATAAGAATTTTATTAGATAATTTCTGATTGTTATTCTTTGTTAGCACCGAGTCACTGAAGTAGTTCAATATTACATACTATTATATATACCAGAGGGAGACTTTGTACAAAAGTCGATTGCTTGGGTACCTCTGTCCCATTCGTGTTTCAACCGTGAAGCAGTTGTGTTTGCATGGCTGTGTTTCGGTTTAAAGGGTGGGATATGACGTGAATTTACTGGGTACAGAGGAATAACATCTAAGTCCTTAAGAATGGCAACGCATGGGGGTTATCATGGGCGAAACAGTATGTGTGTGTACTGTTATGTCCATGGTACTGCTCATGTCTATAGGCGACGGTTACCACTTTCCATCAGGTAGGCCGTCAGCTTGTTTGCCATTCTAAGTTGTATTAAAAAAAAAATCTCGTTTGCAAATAGCCCAAGAGACGTATTCAGTGACTCGACATTATCAAAGGAACAATGTTAATGTAAATTTTGAATTAATTCCATAATTTAAATATACGGATCAGTATGTCAATATATGTAACTGACGCCTAAATCCACTAATACAGTAAACGAACGAACTGTTGTTCTCAATATGTCATAGTGTACCAATAGTGTATGTTACCATAATTATCCAGCGCACAGTTTTTAATATTTTCGATGTCCCCTGCCCACATATCGTCCCATAAATTTGCAAGGACATACTGTACTAGTTAATAATGTTAATGATATAATTATATGTGTTCTCTCGAATAGGTTCCAGACTGTCGGTGACATCCCATGTTGTGTCGAGCGTGGTACTATATTCTATACGAGTATTGTTACTGTCACTCTGTGAGTGTCTCTGGCGGCACAATTAATTTAATAGAAATACGTATTTAAATATAGTTATTAGTGTCTCTTAAAAACCTGTAGATAAATATGTGTTCCATGTACCTACGGACCAAAAAAATAACTTCAAAATGAACTAACGTACAATTTATTAGTTATTAATTTACTTTCAACTTGTACCTAAGTGATGTTTACAGATTATTTTAATTTAAAAACTACAATATCCATGTACGACGGTGACGTCTAAGCCATTTCATGGCTTGGCTACGTCTCCATGGGACGCTATTTATTGGTTTTTAAGATCACACCTCTAAATGGACGTCGTTGTATAGTCATTTTATAGTTATGACTCTAAAAAACAAAACAGTGACGTATTTTTGGAGTTGCCCACGTCGCCATGCTACCTAGGTATACGATTATTGTTTTGCTCTTCGCATTGTAAATTTGTAAAAAAAAAGATATCCAAAATAATGTTTACAGATTGTTTTACTACCACTACTAGTTGAATTGTATACTTTATTGTTTAAAATTAATTCCAACACAAATGATGAAATAAACATAATCCTTTCTCCCACATAATCGAGTGTTCACACACGGTGCAAATACTGTATAATTGTGTATGTGAATATCTCTGTATCTGGTAGGAGATACTTTAACACGTATATATTCATTACATCCCACAATCTATCTGTATCAGTTTAATAACAAATTATCGTTAAATATATATTTAGTGACGTTATTTGTAGTGTTGTGATATCGTCAACGTGCAAGACAGTCTTCTTTCTTGCCAACTACTTTGACAATATCGTCCGGCCGTCGATCTGGTTTACAGTCTGCCTAGTATTCTATACAGATCTTTGTCAATTTGTCAATGTTGGCATCATTGCGACATAATCTTTACCCAACTTCTTTCAAGTTGTCTAAGTGGCCAGCCCATCTCCATTGTAGCTTCCTAAATTCAATATTTGGAACATGATCAGACAGTCTTATTGCCTCAGATACAGATATCTTAATAAATTTCTGTGTTCACTGCGCCGTGTGTTGTAACTATATTATGACTTTTATATTATTTAACATATTTATAAAAAATAAGCTACAGTTTTGACCGCTCTATATAAAATCTGTAGCTTTTTTTATAATATAAAATTAATTGTAAATATTTTTAAGAAATTAATTGTAATTAGTTTGAATATTGTAGCTCTCATGACCCAATCTCTCGAGTTTGACCGCCACACTTTTATTTATACATTTATTAAACTATGTGATAGTCATAACCGGATCATGATCTAAATGGTACGATAAGTACCATATCTGAGGTGTGGCCTACATGCGATCTCATCATGTATTCCCGTAATAAATTTAGAAATGAAATCTATGTCAATCTGCTGTTATATATATAATATAAAACTTCAAATTACAAGATCTAAACGTTGCATGTAACTGCAACTTAATATTATTGGATTTGTGAGACTTGTGTGCATTATACAGTCTCAATAGACTTTTAATAAGAGGCATAAGGCCACACTTAAGACGACCTGCAGTTAACCTATATTTCGATCTCTTAGGAGCTTCCTTTGCCTCTTTATAAATAAGTGTTACTATTGTCTAAAATTACAATTTGTGCCGGGAGATACTGACATATAGTATAAGTTGTGTAAACTGTCCTCACTCGAAGGCCTAACGTAGAGTCGAGTGTGTACCAAAGTACCTTACCTACCTCATACAACAAAAACGTTGACTGGTATATTGTCAGCCGACTTCAAAAAGTGAGAGGCTCTCGATTGTATTATTTTTTTATTTATATTTCCTCCTAACTCCGTTAATTGTAAAACCATTTTGTAAAATTATTTTGTTATGTGAAAGGATATGCTTGCAGATTGGTCCCATTTATCAAAATTGGTAGAAAATTAACGAAATCCATTCAGTAGTGTTGCCATAATTGAAGTCGGTTTTTAATGTGAGACACAATTTTTATTTTATATGTCAGAAGTAGTACCAACAGACTAAAAAAAAAACAGTGGATAAAATAATAAAAACTACACCGCACCATTTACCATATACTCACATTATTATTTCAACTTGTTACCATCGCTGTGGCAAATAATACATTTTTTTTTAAATAGCTTATCATGATTTTAATGGTAATTTACGGGTATCCCTAGCCCATAAACAGCCCATAGACAGGTATATAGAGAATTCCCAGAACTATTAAATGTCTTGAGAGACGTTAAGATATTAGTAATCTGTTAAAATATCTGACGTCAAAACGATATGAAACAGATTTTAATTATTTATAAATGTTACTGTTATAAAAAATACTTTATAGTTTTAAGATAATATAAATTAGAATATCTATGTTTTTATTTTCATAGTTATTTTGACGAGTGATTTTTTTTAAACTGCACACGTGGATTTCAAGACCTAAATTGATTACTACTAAATAATAACGTGTTTCAATAACCATTGCAGTATTATATGACTCTTGTGTAATAAATGACTTGTTTATATTTAAATTTGTACATTGGGCAAAATTTTGTATTTCACATATTATACGGCCCGCCTGATACAAACCGCAATACATTCAGTATACAGAAAGTTAATAAAGGGGCACCTATCAACGTTATTGTTGTGTGTCTATAATCTAAAAAGATTACCTAGTAGGTTACATTACTTTATTCGTGCTAACTATGGAATAAAGAATTTTCACTCTTAACTTGAACGGCACTAAAGCAGGAGAGTTGTCGGCAGCGCGGTGCTTCTGTAGAGACCTCATTGTATCCCACTTTAATAACAATTAAGCTTAATAAATTATTAATAAATTATATAATAAAGGCCAGACAGGCGTTAAAAAAGATCCAAGAAAGATAAATCGGATTTTAATTACAATAAAAAACGAATGAGGTTGAATATTGTAAGCACATGAAGTTAATCACGCATTGCGAATTTTCCCGCGCATTTTTTTCGCACACAATTCTAAGTGAATTTATCACACAGTCTCGCATAAATAATAGTGCAAATAAATAAATATTAATTATACGATTCAATCTGCCGGAAAAAATTAAATGCACGGGGACAATTTTAAAATATCAAATGCATTACTAAATGAGTAATTAAGACTGCGCAACTTGCTGACCGCTCCCTGCGATAGTCTCTGGCTAAATTCTGTACAAATGTTGCATATTGTTAATTCCTAGAAATCAATAATCTGTACTGATGTTACCTATCACACAGAATTTAGCCACGATTTCTTTAGAGTTTACTTCTATTTTTAATAAAATAAATAGTACTGTCTCGATTTTATTACTTACAAATGTATGTACCACGCCTTCTTTCTATGATAAACTGTCAAAATATTTGTAATAAATGGTGTTACGTGTAGTGTCTGTTGCGTTTCATTTCATTCCGCTTCACCTTGTTACTTTTACCTCTCTCTATCTAGTATTTTTGTTATCACGGAATATTTACCTACTGTCAACGACCTGCTTCATCCTCACTGGTGTCCCGCCAGTGTATACCGATAGCGCAGGCGGAGGTACCATTCCGTTACCATCCATAAAAAAATGGAGTACCGTTAAGAATCTTCAGGAATTTTAGTGAAATTGCTTACATAATTACATTTTGTTTTAATTTACCTACTCACAAACATCTGCGCCCGACGCGTCGCTTATTCAAGCTATCAGTGATATTCGAATTCATACGCCAGAGGAACGTAGATTTACTTTGCAAACTGAATAAGTAGATATTATTATTTATAATAAGTTTATCAAATTTGCTACCAAACAAGCTGTCTAACACTGAAGTAATTGTCTAATCTCTGCCGACTGTAGAAAGAATTATCTAAATCGGACCAGAATTCAGTAGATATTGCTTAACAGTAAAATTTCATATAGAAAATTTCACCAAATACAATATTTGAAACAGAGCTAATAACTGTTATATAGTATGTGTTAACTGTGATCTCTTTTCGATAACTGTTTGTAAAGTCGGCGAAGATTATTTTATTTTACACACCCAGAATCAAGAGCCAAGCTAGTATCTAAACAACTTATACTAAACACTAGACAAGTTAGCTGTGTGATCCCGGCGTAGAACGGGTCACTTGTACCTTCCCCGTGGGTGTCGTAAGACACCACTAAGGGAACTTATCGTTGAGAAATACGCAGAAGCGTTCCTCTTTAAACATCACCAAAACGTAACAAGCATAGCAGTTATTAGCAAACTCCTTGTGAGGGCAGTTAACGCCTGATATGGTAAAATGAAATGATATTAATTTGCTAAAAACATTGTAGATAAAGTGTTGCATTTGTGAAGTTTATAAGATGTCCATTATGTTTCGCTACATCAAATGGCATGCAAATATTAACTATTGAATGTACCTACTGATAGGTTATTTTATACTGGTACATTATATATTTAATTCTCAGTTATTTACTACATTATACAATACACAAATCACTACTAGTACCAAGTACACACTGTGGTCATGCATTATAAGCAGTCAATAAAGCTATTATAAATAATAAAATTATAGATATGTCAAATAAAAATAAAATTACAATTTAAGCTATCATATCATACTAAGTCAATGTCACAACATTAATATATACATTTATAGCTTACAAAAATTCATTAATATTATAAAAATTATTTTCTATTAACCATGTTTTTAGTTTCAATTTAAAATAATTTAACGGCAATTCTCTTATTTTTTCGGTATTCTATTATAAATTCGAATAGCCATTACACCGCACTTTCGTTGATGCAGCGTTGATTTACAGGTGGGTAGTTTCAGTTTTGTGGGGTCTCTGAGTGTGAATTTATTATATTCTATCTTTGTTGTAAATAAATACAAATTATTAAATTAATACAAATTGTTATGGTATTAAAAAGTAATCTTTAGTCTCTCTTACAGCCACTAGTAAAGTTGATTTACGAGGTCAGAAATTTGAATCAATTATACTTTTATAACACAGTACCCATAGATAGGGATTAGACTGCATTGACGTTAATCTACAACGCTACAACTAAATTTGGAGCAAACTGACGCTTGTGTGAACATGACTCAATATGAAATTGGAATTCACATTATGGCAACTGGCAACACTGTGGTGTAAGCTGTCAATCAGTCATTTTCAGTCAGCTATCAGTAAGTGTAGGTCGGCCTAGGAATTAAAATTCTGAATAAAATTCATTGGTAAGTTAGCAACGAATTAAAAAAAAAATCAATTGAGATACGTTTTTTATATATGAAGTGTTCTAAAGTTGTAGATTCTATTGCAAAAAAATTCTTTATCGATTGTTAACAGTGCAACCATGGAGTGGACGGTACCAGTAAATGAGGTATTAAGGGAAGAAATAACTAAAGTGAACTACACCCTCATACCACCAGGGTTCCAGGGGGATGTGCGGAGCATTCGGTGAGCATTACTTTGTTATACCATCACCATCACGTGGCACTAGTCACTCTAGTAGACACACCTACATATTCAAGGTTTTCAACCATTCACGGAGATGACCATTTCTTATGGTGAACGGCAATTACTGGCAGCTCAAGTATGTGTTTAATTGTAATATAAAACTCAGGACACAATCATATATAATGAATATTACTTTTATTAATAGATAGATACTCTTTATTGTTTCCTCCAAAAGATTACAATAGTAAACTTATTATAAATATAAATAATTACAAGAAATATTCACAATGAGAAAACAATAGGCGACCTTATCGCTAAAAGCGATCTCTTCCAGACAACCTTTGGATAGAGAGGAATAATTATAAACAATTTGATGGGAGGCATGATGAAAAATTTTGTTAGTTCTAAATATGGGAGATGTGATACATATTATATATATATATATATATATATATATATATATATATATATATATATATATATATATATATATATATATATATATATATATATATACACACCCACAAATATATAAACATACTAACACATATACAAATACATATACATACATACATATGTATATATATTTTATATGATAATAAAGAGGGTATTTCTTGCTAAAATTAATATAATTATCCATTGGATGACATCAAAATCTCAACAAAGACTGCTTTTTGCTACATCCTTTTTTATGCTATAAGTCTAATTAATGAATCTATTACATCTACATTTTCTACTTCACAGTTACCCTCCTTCTAATCTTATAAAGATTATATCTCATTTTTACTCCTTATTGCAGCTTTATTAACTTCCTAACTTATTATTATAATACCTACATAAGTTTGTCTTTTATGTCTAATTATATGAAGAGTTATTATACATAGGTATCTCTATGATACTATGATCATTACTTATTTTTTGCTGTGTACCTACCCTCATCGTACCACTTGAACATGGAGTGAATTTTACAAAGTATTACTAGGTTTCATTCTATTACAGTCTACCTACACATATCATAAGTAACTGTACAGCACACAGCTATTCTGATTGATTAGTTATTTATAAGGTTTGAAACTGATTTCTGAAAATAATTCATTTTGCAATTAATATCGTTTACTCCTATGTTGGATGGATATTAATTTTTTTACATTGGAAGCATTTCAATGTGCAAGCGTTTTTGTCAGGCATAATTTTTAATTATTTTTACTCTATTTAGTTATTATAAGGAGAACCTTTGACATGACACAACATGTTTTAACTGAATGTAATTTCTCTAATTAGGTCACTCATTCTTTGTAACTCCAATAAGATTCTCCTTGTATTAGGAACTATAATAGTTGGTTCCATCCTATCGTGTCGTGTCACTTGCACCATTACTTGCATTGATTACATTCAATACTTTTGTGAGGACTTCAACTGATTGGAAAACTAATGTATTAAATTTCAAACCAATTGTCAGGGCTTATTGATGGACAAACATATCTATTGTGATGTTCATTTGTTGTGTACATTTGTTAACACCAGTGTGTAGTACAATAAATGTCAAGGTGAAGTTATTATATTGAATAACAGTGGAGTAGGTAAGTAGGTTAGGAATACAACAATTACAACAAGTGATACGATGATGATGATGATGATGATAAAGAATTTTAGAACTTTTTGATTACTTTAGAAGCATCATACAAGTATCATGATCTTCTCAGATTATTGAGACTTGAGGGTATTTTGAGAAGTCAATTTTCTGTAGTCTGTTTCAATAGAATTTAAAGAGTGAAAAGCTTACCAGCAGTACAATATATTCATACAAAATAATTATTTCAAAATTTAATTTTTTATAAATTTAAATGTAATACAAATTTGAACCAAGTTTTATTGACATTACCACTGGAACAATCTCTTTATGAAATTATTAACAAATTCAAACATTTTAATATATATATATATATATATATATATATATATATATATATATATATATATATATATATATATATATATATATATATATATATATATATATATTCTTTATTGTACTTATAAGTTACATATAAAATAATCTATTTATAAATGTTGTGAGCAAGGGTGGACTTATCTCTGACAGAGATCTCTTCCAGTCATCACGATACAGTGAGAAAGCATGTCCTTGATGGGTAGCTGAAGTGCTACAACTATTAATATTTAGAATACATAAACAAATATACAGTTAAATATTGAAATTTTTAACTATAACATTTAAGTCGATTGGTACACATGTATGTCAGTTTTCTCATATTGAGTTTGCTGGAAGAAATCTCTATTGGAGATGAGCTCGCCTTTGTGCACTATAATGTTTGTTTTTACATTTCAATAACCTTTTTGTGTTCAATAAAAAATAAAATTTATAATAAAATATTACATAAATACATTCAATCAATTAAACAAAATTTATTTATACTTAGATTGTCCTAAGTGGAGTTTATTGATTTATGCCAATGAATTGCATTTACATTGGTGCTTATGTTGCAGGGTGATGCAGGATAGCCTGTCAAAGTTAATCGACGTGCTCGGTGAGCAGTCCGCATCAGCGCAGGCGCTCAACAAAATTATAACTACCGCCGACAAGCTGCGCAACTCGCCCGCGCACACGCTCTACCTGCTGAAAGATGCTAATGCAAACAGGTCAGTAATCAGTATAGTTTGCTATATACTTGCTTTTCATTGTGGCGGTCAGTTGTACAATTATGCAGCTAAATATTCAATTATTGTTATGCTTTCGCGTGTTTACTCATATTAAAATTTATCGTCTGGATCGAACGCAATGCGATTTCAAATAAATGTACATACTTGATTTTATTTATACATTGTTAAAAAATATATATCCAATTGTAGTGTTGGACGTGAGTGTTGCGTTTGTTTTTACAGGAGGTGAACTTCTCTGTTGTGTTTGTGATATTGACAGTCACTTCACTACTAAGTAAATTATTTTTCATGTAACCATCTTTTTAACTGTATTTTAGTCCAACTATTATTATAGAATTTATGTTGATGTCTAGATGTTTGTTTTGTTCGGGAGATTTTTAAAACTGAACGGATTTTAATGAAATTTTGAACATGCAACACAACATGACATTAAAACGTAGGTTACTACATTTTTTTTTATGGGTGAAAATAGCATGATAACCCCGTCTGCGCTATCGGTATACACTGGCAGCGTACCAGTGAGCGGTGATAGGTGAGGATAAAAAGGCAGGATTTTTTTCCCCTGATACTACATATTTATCCTATACCACGCGATAGGGGCAACGGGATACAACAATTATAATATATATACCCAACCAGGTCGACCTCCTCACGGTTCCCCCTGGAAACTATCGTGGTTAATTCCTGATGAATTGATGAATTCTCATCTGGATTGGATGGATGAATTTGGACACCTTATCATCTGGTGCAGTGTACTTATACCGGATTTGATTGCTTATATTTTATTTGTTTGTTAAAATTAATACAAATAGAAGTGACATTATGGTAACTATGTGAAACGAAGGCACCGATAGTACCTACCACAAAAGCGAACGCCGTTGGCGGCGCGTCGCGCTCTGTCGACTGTAAACACATTTTTTGTACGAAATGCGATCACCGTTAGGCCGCGTCGTAGGGATCGGGCCAAACAGGTCATTGCCTGACAATTTTTCCGTCCACATTATAAATTCTAGTAAATCGCTAGCCTAGTAGATTGCTTTGCGAATCTAATTATTTACTGCTGCGCTCGTACATGTAATGAAATATGTATTTTATAAACGTTATAAGGACTGTTCCTTTTTTGAAATATAACGCAAGTGACAAACAAGCGAACGGCCCGTCTGATCACAAAAGTTTACCGCAATCTATTGCAACACCTTTGCCGTCCGGTCCCGGCATAGAAAGGCCACTCTTTCCTTTCTCGTTGGTGTCGTAAGAGGCGACTAAGGGAACTTTATGTTATTAAACATCTCCAAAGCCTAACTGCGGTTGCTAATCCGTGTGCCAAGCGTGGCAATTACTGGCAACCCCCCCCCCCCTGTTGAATGGCTGATATGATATAATAGCAACGCCAATGAGTCACTCCCAAAAAACCTTTATTCACGGTATCCAACAGTTTTACTGTTTCCTGTAAAAAAAAAATATGCAAATCGGTACAGAGTTGGCAAAAGTATAGAGAAACAAAAAAACAAGCGATCGATCCACCTTATTCGAGCTATTTAAGAAATAATCAAAATCGTTTCATAATTGCCGAAGCATCCACATAACCGATACAAACAATATATAATTTATTACCTGCTCGAACTGTACCAATTTTGGATGATCAACATGATTTGCATTAAGAATGTTGTGTGCACCGTTCCACGCGGTAGATGCCGCCAGTGAAAGCTGCATGAGCGAAGCGAGCGTTCCATTTTCTCCACAAATTATATCCAAGTACATCGATTGTGCGCGTAGCTCGTAGCGCGCCCTGTTTACGACGCTTTTACTGTAAAGTCCGTGGTGTCTAGACTGGGGGAACGGTGCGATGGCATTTTTAACAATTGCCCGCACATACATGCCCTGTATATATTTATATATCAAGAATGGTAACATGTAATGTTTATGGTGTTATCCATGTCTATAGAGGAACGTTACCATTTTCTGTCATGACCTGAGTTCGTCAGCTTATTTACCATTGCAAGTTACATAAACTAGTGGATTTTGTTCTTAAAAGAAACAACTTAATATAATAATCGTAATAAATCGTGAGAAAACCATTTTTTTTTATTTCAAATCTACTGAACCGATTCTTATAACATTTCCATGCAACCAGTTTGGAAGTATATCCTTTGAGATTAAAAAAATTTAATTAATGATGGAGTTCTAACAAAACAAATATAAAAAAAATACAATTGAATCGTTAACGTCCGCAAACGACTTCAATAAATGAAGAGGTTTGAAAATGTCTGCATTAACGTCAAAGGAGATCGTTATTTTAATGTTTTTAAACCAATTAATTAAACCAGAGGGAGACTTTGTACAAAAGTCGATTGCTTGGGTGCCTCTGTCCCATTCGTGTTTCAACCGTGAAGCAGCTGTTTTTGAATGGCTGTGTTTCGGTTTGAAGGGTGGGATATGGCGTGAATTTACTGGGTACAGAGGAATAATATCTGAGTCCTCAGGAGTGGCAACGTACGGGGGGTATCATGGGCGAAACAGTATACTCTGTTATGTCCATGGTACTGCTCATGTCTATAGGCGACGGTTACCACTTTCCATCAGGTGGGCCGTCAGCTTGTTGTTCATCACAACGCCAATAATCTATAAATGCCTCTGACTACCCCGTCTTTGAATACAGTCATAATCGTGTCTACCCCTAAAGCGATACAATATATTCCCCTAATGCAAGTTGTGAATCCTATGGGCATGACACACGACGGGCACGCGATGCACGCGCCCCCTTCCGCGGTGCAATACTGCCAGCTATTTGTTACAATGTGAATGTGTCTGTTCATGTCTTTACCAATAACATTTAATTTGCGAATTTTATTGTTATCCAAATATGGGTTACTAAGTAGGTACATTGCCCCTTGCCTTAAACTGCGTTTTTAATAATAGAGTGTATGGTTGAGTTTTACTGCAAACTTAGATGTTAAAAGTATTTGTCTGTCATTTATTTTATTAATAACTTCTAAAGTCTATTAGCACACCTGCAATGCCGCTGGTGTTGTGGGTGATCATGGGCGGCGGTAGTCACTTACCATCAGGTGAGCCGCATGCTCGTTTGCCCCCTGTGTTGTAAAAAAAAAAAAAGTGGTTTGACTCTCACTCATCACACACTTTCTAGAATTCAATTGATGTCTAATAACTGTTTATTTAAATAACTAATATTGAAATAAATAAATAAATTCTTTTTTTTTTATTTATACCACTATAGAGAGGACTATAGAGGCGTGAATTTACTGGGTACAGAGGAATAACACCTGAGTCCTCAGGAATGGCAACACATGGGGGGTATCATGGGCGAAACAGTATACTCTGTTATGTCCACGGTACTGCTCATGTCTATAGGCGACGGTTATTACCGCTTTCCATCAGGTGGGCCGTCAGATTGTTTGCCATTCTAAGTTGTATAGAAAAAAATCTATAAATAAACCGTATAATCCATTGAATGTTTCGATTTGTCACTCGTTCCGTTCAGAGATTATTGTTATAGAGTTTTTATTATGGATGATAATGGAATAGTGACCCCGCCTGCGCTATAGGTACACACTGGCGGGGCACCAGTGAGGTATGATAGGTGAAGATGAAGCAGGTCAGCCAGCCCATAATGACAAATTTTACCAATGAATCAATCACGATAATCCAGAGGGAACCGCGAGGAGGTCGACCTGATAGGGTATATTGCTGGCAATAGGGTCGCTAATCCCCATTTCTAACAATTCCTTTCCCCTCCGTTGCCATAGAATTGTATTGCGACAGTCGGTGCTGGTGGTACGAGAGTGTGGTGTGTAGAGCGCCGCTGTTCTGTTGCAGTGGCAAGGGCGAGCTGATCGGGATGCTGAAGGTGGGCCGCAAGCACCTGTTCCTGTTCGACGAGCGCGACAAGGTGTGCGAGGTGGAGCCGCTGTGCGTGCTCGACTTCTACGTGGTGCCCGACCGCCAGCGGCACGGGCTCGGCAAGATGCTCTTCGACCACATGCTGAAGGTGTGCGCGCCTCTCAACCTCACAACACAATATTTACTTACTAATGTTATCAAATTTTAACAAAACAATATCTGTAAATAGGAGATATTTAAGCAATAGAAGTCGAAACGGTAATTTTTAGAACTCTTATGTCTGTCTGTATGTTTGTTGTGACGTCATGCGGAAACTAATGCATTAAACTAATGATGTGAAACTTAGATTCTGATATTTGTTTCATTCTAATACGCCGTCTAAAAGTAATTATAACATACAAAATGTATATTTGTGGCAAAAGGTAGTTTAGTATAACAATTGGCATACGAATTGTCACAACACAAAGCTATTGTTTGGTTATTTGTTATTTGGCAAGCAATATTCATTCTATGTGCAAGCAAAGCAACGGTATAATAGAATGTTTAATTCTAGTACAGTTCACTGCGTGTGTTCACACACACTATAAGGCGACACGAGCGCTAGAGTTACTCTGGAAATAAATTCCAATAGATGGATATTGAAATTGAGACGTTTCGCACTCTCGACTCGCAACACTAGCGACATAATGGCTCCATATTGTTCTGATAGGCGCATATTAGTGTAAATTGTCAATGCAAATCCATCCTAATTCTTTCCTAATCCCTAACTGTTGTTCCATGAGTATAGTTTTACCAGAGGGAGACTGTACAAAAGTCGATTGCTTTGGTACCTCTGTCCCATTCGTGTTTCAACCGTGAAGCAGTTGTGTTCGCATGGCTGTGTTACGGTTTGAAGGGTGGGATATGGCGTGAATTTACTGGGTACAGAGGAATAACACCTGAGTCCTCAGGAATGGCAACGCATGGGGGGTATCATGGGTGAAACAGTATACAGTTATGTCAATGGTACTGCTCATGTCTATAGGCGACGGTTACCACATTCCATCAGGTGGGCCGTCAGCTTGTTTGCCATTCTAAGTTGTATAAGATTGTCATTGGCAATAGGTTGGATGGATATCGATATTGGAGTAAAGAGTACATCTGCAGGTCGGTAGAAATCATCACTATACCTACGCAGAGTATCGTTACAAACGATGACGGGACTGAGTGTTTAAAAATAAATACATCTAAATAAGTAAATATCTACTTAAACTATAATACATATTTTCGAATTGTTCCCTGAATAAATCTTTAAACACAACCTTCGATGAGGATAACTAGCAGCTTTTGTTGTATTTACCATTTTTTTAAATTACGAATTATATTTTGACTTTTGCTATATGTATATATATATATATATATATATACATATATATATATATATATGTATACTGTCACTCTGCTCAGGCCCCATAAACGAAAAACCCCCTTTTGATTACTATAATATTAATCTAGATCTGGTTATGATTTTTGAAATATTCTCCTTTTCTAACGAACAATAAGAAAAATCTTCAAATTTTTTTTTATGTTATTTATTTTAGTTACAGTTACTTATATTTTTAAATTATTTCATACACGTGACAATATGACTAGGCATATTAATTACATTCAATATTATCAAAAAAGTTTATCGTCTCATTTGTAAGTGTCACTAATCTGAGACACCACCTTGCAGGACATGGAGTGTTCGCCGCTGGAGATGGCGATAGACGGGCCGTCGGCCAAGATGGAGAGCTTCCTGGCGAAGAATTACGGCGTGGAGCGGCTCGTGCGCCAAAACAACAACTTCGCCGTCGCGCCCCAGTTCTTCTCCAACGCCGTCGATGTCAGGTACTAGATTTTTCACCAGCGGTATAAATCACACAGCTGAGAAGTGCACACGTGTCTCCTTGTATGAGGATGACCAGGGGAACAGGAGATTGGTAGAAATGAGGACTAGCGGCCCTAATACTAGCAATGTACCGTGTCAGGTCGACCTACACGCGGTCGCCCCTGGAAACCAATATACTTAATACTTCATGAATTCGTCGCAATGAGCTAACTGAGGTGCTTTCATCCTCACCTATCATCCCTCACTGGTGCCCCGCCAGCGTATACCGATAGTGCAGGCGGGGTCACCATTCCATTATCATTCAAGCCACTAAATACATCTAAGAATAATGTTTTGGACCCGATCATGTGTAAAATAATCAAAGCGTATTCCAATAAAAACCATAAGAGTGCACGTTACCACTGTCTATCAGGCGTGTCCACTGTCTTGTTTGCCATTCTAAAATGGCGGCACCATTTTAAACAAGCTGACAGCCCACCTGATGGAAAGTGGTAACCGTCGCCTATAGACATGAGCAGTACCATGGACATAACAGAGTATACTGTTTCGTCCATGATACCCCCCATGCGTTGCCATTCCTAAGGACTCAGACGCAAACAAGCATACGACCCGTCTGATTGTGAACTGAAACTGCATCCTAAGGATGCCTACAATATCAGGGGTATCATGCGCGCGTTGTCGACCCTAACTTCAATGTAGACAATGTAGAGAGTATACCACGATGGGAGCTGGTTGCTGACCGTGTAGCCCATGTTTTGTGCCTGTAATTGTGTGAGTAATGTGTGTGTGTGTGTGTGTGTATGTGTGCGCAGTAAGTCCGGCCGCAGCACGCCGGTGGTGCAGCCCGCCGTCGGCAGGTTCGCGGCTCACAAGCCACCTTCGGCCATCGCTACGGTAAGAGTACTTCTTGACTGTTTCAATCTAAGAACAATGAATTACATAGAAGGAATGATAAAATAAAAACTTCATAGCAGGCTAGTGCATAGAAAATGTTATACGGCCGTATAACCCTACCAAATTCAGAAACAACCTGCTCGCATACTTTCAACATAAACTGTGTCCAATATATAATCTAGTAATGTAAAATTTGTTTTTGACAAATAATTGACATATCAAACATTTTCTATACACTAGCCTGCTATGAATTGAGAAAAATAGCAACTGATGGTGTATCTTTCGTCCTCTTTTTACTTATTTACATAAGAAGAAATGAGGCAACCATATGATTTACAGTTTTTATTTTATCATCCTTTCTATGTAATTCCTTCGTCATAGATTTCAATAATATGTTATGGTAACTGTGAGTCTGTTGGCTCTTATATTTATAGTACCACCGCATACTCGGTCCATTCTCACCGGGCTAACGAAATTTTGTAAAACAATACACTTTTGTGTTAAAATCGGTTGAGCAGTTTCGCAGATTACTTGAACAAACATAGTGACTCGACATTCTTAAGCAATTTAAAGGCTTGTCTCGTAATGCGAAGCAAAGTTCCCACTCACCCACTTCGTATTTAACTCTTTAATTGTCCTTCTGATTACTAATTTTTGTTTCACAATCACTCAGTAAGGGGAATCGTCATGAATTAAATCGTAGTAAATTATACAATGAGATGTACACGGCGTACAACAAAAGGCTCTCAAGCTACCTACTGTGATAGCAGTGATGGGCGACGGGACATATGAACTGTTAGTGAATGTGGCGAGTCCTGGAAGACAATCAGAGCTGGATTACGAAATAACAGTAGGCTCACTGTGCGTTCACTTACAACCGACACCGCCGGCCTTAGCGGACACGTTTAGATTTCGACAGAGGAGGCAAACAACGGAATATATATACTACTATATTAGGAAAATAGAACTTTGAAAAAAGGATGCGACTTTATATTTTATATGATTAATTTAAAAAAAAGTATCAAAGAACAATCTTATATACATATATTGAAGAGTGAGACGCAGATTTTGTAATAAAGTATTTAAACTTAGCCCAGACTCTGTAACAGAAATTACAAAACGAAATCAACAAGTATTAGAAGAGTACTGACATCTAAATAATAAACCAAATAATATTAACGACAAGAAAAATAAAAACTGCGATAACAAATCGGAGTATAAGCAAGTTGCTGCCCGCGCCTTATAATTATGCAGAACTGCAACGGAATATCAATAATGGATATCTAATAGGCAGAATACGAAATTGACATGAACAAGTGTTTGGATAAATATTTCACCAGATTATACAAACCTAAAATAACAGAAAACAAAATACAAAAAGATAAAATTATAAAAAACACTTATAAAAAAGAGCAATATGCACAACTAGTTTTTTCGAAGGGAAGTGCATACTAACAATTTTTCATCAAATAATCAGCTCAGTCAGATTGCATTGTTCAGAACTTATGTCTTAGATCGTTGTAAACCATTGTTTAAAGAAAAAAAGTCTCTTTACATGTATAAAAATTGCTTGTGTGTCCGAAAACATATTGAAATATAATATTTGTAGTTAAATTTACAAGCAATAATCAAAGGCTTATCACATATTTCATTTTTCTTCAAGAATTACATTTCTCCAAATATTTCACGATCAGAGAATTTTTTTCCCATAATTGCGAAAAAATATACAATCTGGCAACATTAGCCGCAGCATTGCTTTGATATTTGACAGTGACAACGAAATACATAAAACGTTTCGTTACAAAACGTATACTCGTACGTACAGTTTGTATTATAAAAATGACAAAATCATTGGTAATATAAATAAATATTTATAATTATACATAAATTAATTTTGCTGTTTATCATTATAAAACAAAAAATATTTTAGGTGACTATTACATTATAAAAAGTGCATTCAGTTTATGCAGTTAATTTGAAACAGAACGTAATACTAATATTGGCTGTACACTATTATGGGACAGAAGTATGCCTGTTTTTAGTTTGTTTTTTTTTTATTTTAGCATAGAACTGCATATAATAAAAAAAAGCAATGAAGATTGTATTCCCGGTTAAAAAAAAAGACAAATCCTCTATCTTTAAGGTTTTGGTCATTTGTCCATTTCGGTTAAAATTCCCTTTAAAAAAACACTGCTGAGTATATGTCAATTAGTTACTTTGATGTTTAAGATACTGGTTGGATGATTGTAAAACACAAATTGAACTAACAGGAGGGTGAAAGTAATTTGTTCGTGAAATAACTAGGAACTTGTAGCTTTACTTATACATTGTGAAACAAGCCTTAGAATCGTAATGAGGAATGTCAAGTTCAATTTTGTCTATTCTATCTGTATTAAGAATAGTACATTACTGCAGCGGCCAGCAACTGAGGCATTGATGGACGAACGTGCAAATGTGGGCCTACCTGAGTCCATCAATGCCTAGTTGTAGCCAACGCTTGTATAGTACTTTTCTCAAACAATGCGCGGAAATCAAAAACACAATTTTACTTTTTAAGTTCAATGACGAATAACGAACAATAATAATTTTTCACGCGCCATAATGTTCCTTTGTTTTTGTTTTTTTTTTTTTAATAAACAGCTTTCTATTTGCAAGCCAGTACGAAATTTAAATAAAACCTTTTATTAGTTACCTCCTCGGTAGCCATGTATCGAAGTAAAAGGTCATTCCATTTTTAAATTACAGGACAGATATGAGTTTACATAGTAATTTATCTGGCCGCAAAACACGACAGATATGGATTTTCATACAACTTTTGTCGGCCGCTGGCCGCATGTATCTGGCCAGTACGGCAATTTTGATTTATCTCTAAGAAGATTGTCAAAATAATGTTCACATTTCCAAGCATGTTTGAGAAAAATATATTGTATATAATGAGGGTGGTAAACGAGTATTAAAATTCTATGAAACGTCAATTAAGATTGCAGCAGAAATATGAATTATATTGTTTGTCGTTGCAGTTATTACAGTGGCAATAGAAGAGACGCGCCACGCAAATACATTTAACAGTATCCATATGCACTGCGGCGGTAACGTTATACAACAGTTATACCTATCATTCTGCTTATAGTTGAACCTTGTTTGGGATGCCGGTACTCATTGGAGCTATAATAATACTATTAACTTGAATGTCGCAAATATTACCTACATGCCTTATACATTATGCTTAGATTATATACACAGTGTCTCCATACAAAATCTTCGAGAAAAGCGGCTCAACTTTTTCATACAATTTTGCGTAATAGTTACGAGTGGACTCCTTTATAACTTGTATATTTATTTTGTCTTATAAATTCTGCACTCTTTTGACGTGTAAATACACTCATTTTATTTATTTTTATTTTATTTATACGTCAAGATACATTGTGTAAGTATATAGAACGTTATTAAAAAATAAAAAAGTTAAAGTTGATCTGTTTTTAAGCTCAAATCTCTTATCTATACAATCTAAAATGTCATGTATATATTGTATAATCCACTATTCTTGGTATAGTTTAGTAAAGACTTGGTATTTCCTTTTCCAATACAAACAGTATTAGGTTTGTCGTCTCTTGACTCGGGGCTGCATGTAGTACTTGCGATTGAGACGGTACAGGTCGCTTTCTATCTCAATGTGTTCCGGTCGCGCGACAAAGTCACCGGTAAACACTAGTGTGTGTGTGTGTATATTAAAATACAAAACGTATTTACTTATTATTATATATTGTACAATATTACATGTACAGGTAGGAGTATGAAACAAATGAATAAATAAAAGAAAAGAATTCATATTTAAGTAAATTTTATAATAAGTATTTTTAAATAGTCTGACGATCCTATCGCCCATTTCGGAATGCAATATATAGAGAATGAGATATATATATATATATATATATATATATATATATATATATATATATATATATATATATATATATATAGAGGCAAGGAACACAGCTGTTGCCTTTTTTTCAAATAAGAGTCAAGTGTACAATAAACAAATGTACAATAAAAAAATATATATGACCGGATAAAATGACTGTCACTAACTTGATATTGGATAAATGAAAGAAAAAGCTACAATCAATCAGAGTATGAACAGAGCAGTGCATGCTAGAAGCACCCGTCCATGAGTGTTAATACAAAAATAACAATACACTACCACTACTACATTGGTTGTGCCTATGACACGCTCACATGTCACTGTTTACTAACTGGTCCAAATATACAAAGATAAATTATTATATACTAGTTCGCTATTACTTAACATAGATGTAATTTCATTCATAATTCTGCTACATACGTAATAAGCGTCGCTACTACAACTAAGCTATGGAAGTTTTACTAATGGTATTGTGACGTGCCACTTGCAGGTGATCCACGGCGGCGGCAACGGCTACAAAGGGAAAAATAACGAGTACGTATACTGTCAATGCACGCACACGCACGCACGCACGCACGCACGCACGCACGCACACACGCACGCACACGCGCCCTCACGTCCGCGCTTATATGTAGCCTATAGTTTATTTTTTATTATGTTATATATATCTCGCATACAACACATGCGCGCTTTGTTACTTGTTTTTTTATTATTTCAACCATTAACTGCCCACTGCTGAATATGAGCCTTCCCCATAAGGGGAAGCCAGTAGTTGCCACGCTTGGCAGGCGGGTTGGCAAGCGCAGTTAGGCTGCAGAGATGTTTTAATAGGAACGCTGCTGCCCATCCGTCGCCCTCCTTAGTCGCCTCTTACGACACCCACACGGCGAGATTACGCGCTTACAATTACTCCACGCGTTGCTACGTACTCGCTGTTAGTTTTCGTATACATAGTGTTGGTCGAAGAAGGGTACACCAAGTTGAAATATGAAATTCATGAGAGCGAATGGTGTTTCTGTAAACATTGCTAGTTATACTGGTAGTAGAAAAATATATTAATAGTTGTCTTAAGTATTTTTTTTATACAACTTAGAATGGCAAACAAGCTGACGGCCCACCTGATGGAAAGTGGTAACCGTCGCCTATAGACATGAGCAGTACCATGGACATAACAGAGTATACTGTTTCGCTCTAGATACCTTCCATGCGTTGCCATTCCTGAGGACTCAGATGTTATTCCTCTGTACCCAGTAAATTCACGCCATATGTGGGATATTTAAACCAAAACACAGCCATGCAAACACAGCTGTTTCACGGTTGAAACACGAATGAGACAGAGGTACCCAAGCAATCGACTTTTGTACAAAGTCTCCCTCTAGTAATGATTATTTTCTCGTAAAACAAACCGTTTAATTATTATTGTAGTTGTTATGCCGTTTAAAAAAAAAGAAACAATTATATTTCCCTTTTAATATATTAAGATTAATGCTGGGTGTCGAAAAACTTAATACACTGCAGTTTTACAATCCGAATTTCCCGAGAAATATAATTTGTCATAAATATTTAAATTTGTCATAAATTGTTGAAATATTAATTTATTTATTCATTAGTACAAATATGTGTACATGGCGGACTTAATGCTAAAAGCATTCTCTCCCAGTCAACCATAGGGAAGTGTCAGAATACTCGAATGCGGTACTACTAATTATTGATATACATACATACTAAAATTACATATATACACGAATAAATATATATGAATAACAAATATTCTATAGAATTAGATCGTGGATCGTAAATAGATCGATTTTACATAAGTAACCTGTTCTCTAACGTAAGTAGGCTTACCTTCCCTTTACGGTTACAACAATCGTCTCTTCACCATTGTAAAATAATAGATGAATACTCGGTTACAGATATTTTGTCGAGATATCATAGATAGATAGATAGATACTCTTTACTGTTTCCTCCAAAAGATTACAATAGTAAACTTATTATAAATATAAAAAATTACAAGAAATAATCACAATGAGAAAACAATGGGCGACCTTATCGCTAAGAGCGATCTCTTCCAGGCAACCTTTGGATGGAGAGGAGTAATTATAAACACTTTGATGGGAGGCACAATTAAGATCCGATCATTTCTAAATATGGAGATGTAATACATGTAATAATGTAAATATACATATATTCCTACTTATATATATATATATGTATGATGTGTATATATATATACACATCATACATATATATATATATATATATATATATATATATATATATATATACATTATATATATATATATATATATACACATCATACATTGAAAAAGCCGCGTCACCTTAAATTTAATACTATGTACGGCTACATGGAAACCATTCTGGTTCTTGAATACCTAACATAACAAGTAGTTTTGGCTCGGTGCACCCTTGCCGCCTCACGCTGTGTGTACAGCTGTACAGGTACTGTAATGTGTAGTAATCTAATACATGGAAATTAGCTTTATAAAAAACATATATAAATCATTATGCGCGATAGTTGCCTATTATTATTATCGTGTTCTTGTTGTATTTGTTTATAAGTTTATTGCGTTTTATTTTGCTTTTTTTTCTTTCTTTTTATTTGCATTTATGTTAATTTGTTTCCGTTGATTTTGGTTGCTTGCAGTTTCCTGCGGCGTCCCAGAAATGGCTTATGATCGGCGGTTGCACGGTATTTTTTTTTTTATTTTTAATTTAAATATATTTTTTATATAATAAAATAAAACACTTTTATTTATTTATTTATTATTATAATGCATTCGTGTACATAATATAGAGTTGTTACGATGTTTTTACGATGATTAAGTGCATGAAACCGTGTTTGAGTGTAGCAAAATTATATTGATAGGTAGCTAATATACATGCGTTAATGTCAATGATTTGATGCGGTGCGATGCAAATGCATTTAGTGAAACTAGTGTTTGTTGTACTGTAATGTTGAAGCCCCGCGGCGGCGTCTCCGCCGGGCAGCCCGGTTGCCGAGATGGCGCCGCCGGCCGCGGAGGTGGAGGCGGAGGCGGAGGCGGAGGAGCCGCCGCCGCTCGAGCTGGCGACCAGGCCGAGCCCGGAGCGGCCGTGCACGCTGCAAGTGGAGGCGGCCGCCGCGCCCGCGCCGCTGGCGACACCTACGGCGGCCGGCGCAAGCGCACCCATGTCGCCCGCCGGATCCACCATCTCGCGCCGCGATTCGCAGCTCACCGACCGCGGCTTTTTCGATGTCAAGTTCTACCATAACAAGCTGTGGTAGATACCACCGCTGCCGCCGCCGCCGCCGCCGCCGCCGCCGCCGCCGCCACGCGACGCGCAAACGCTCAAACTCCGTGTGGTATTTATAGAAGTTTATACAACGCCTGCGCGGTATTATTATTGCTAGGGAAAATAAGACAGTAACGCATTAAAAATTTTACGCTTCACATGGCCGTACCGCCGCGCCTGGGCACCCGAGCACGACAGTGGCGCCACCGCACGTCCACGTCCTGCAGCGGATAGGACACAGTTTATTTAATTAATTAATTTATTTATTTATTTGTAACAATTATTAATTTATTTGCTCGAAATGAAGTAACAATAATGATCTTAAATATCACTGATCTACACATTTCGCGTTATAGGCATGCAAATTTAATATTATAATTTATAGGATTACCAACATAAGATACAGCTAAACATTTCAATACAATACACTGGCAGATTAGATCTAACTGTCCTTACATTTATAGGCGACCACAGCATGCCTTGTGTTTGATAAACATTAAAATGGAATTAAATTATTAAATGTCATTATATGAGTAAAGATATTAACAATATGAATAATAATATAATATAAATAATGGAAATTATGTTTAAATTATTATAAATTATAAATAAATATAATGAAAGCACAGCAGTACGTGATGTAATCAATGTATGGTTTTGTTCGACTCGTGCACACCAATATATGTAGTATACGAAAACCGTCTTAAAAACCAATGCAATAAAGTCAGAATTGTATGTAAACGTTCTTTTTATGAGTGTATTCAGTGTGAGCATACGCAGGGGCGCGGTGAAAGAGAACACCATGCTTAATGGATCGTAGGCACGGATGAGTGGCGGCATCTATAGTATTTCACCAGAGGGAGACTTTGTACAAAATTAGATTGCTTGGGTACCTCTGTCCCATTCGTGTTTCCACCGTGAAGCAGTCGTGTTTGCATGGCTGTATTTCGGTTTGAAGGATGGGATATGGCGTGAATTTACTGGGTACAGAGGAATAACATCGGAGTTCTCAGGAATGGCAACGCATGGGGGGTATCATGGGCGAAACAGTATACTCTGTTATGTCCATGGTACTGCTCATGTCTATAGGCGACGGTTACCACTTTCCATCAGGTGGGCCGTCAGCTTGTTTGCCATTCTAAGTTGCATAAAAAAATCTATAGTATCACAATTTACGAGTGTCTAGAACGGATACGTTAACTTACTCTTGGCCTTCTTGTCCTTCCTAAATATATGAATGCACGATGCGGACGTAGCCAGAGTGTCTATTTTAAAAGAACATTAACGTCTGTCGCTGGTACAAGTGGCGGCCGCTCCGTGGCTACGACCTCGCGAGCCGAGACCACTCGCCACTCACAAACCAAATATTGTTATGCCACTATTGTATTGATTAATTGTTATGGTTTTGTTAAATATTTATAATATTGTAGATAGTACATTATACACTGGCAGGCGGCTCGCTCGCGACCGACCACCACGCCCTCTATACACGACAGCCTCGTAATAACCTGAAAGTATTATGTAATAGTTAGTATGAACTGCGACCGAATCATGTTTCGTTTTGTACTTTTAGTCTCGTTAGGTATATTTATTGTTTTTGTGTTCTGAGTTAGCTAGTTGGTTTTTTTTTTTTTTGATGGGTGAAAATGGTATGGTAACCCCGCACGCGCTAACGGAATACGCTGGCGGAGCACCAATGAAGGGTGATAGATGAGAATGAAAACAGGCCAGTTAGCCCATCATGATGAATTCATCAGGACTTAAACATGATAGTTTCCAGGGGGAACCGCGAGGAGGTCGACCTGGTTGGATATATTGCTAGCAAAACTAGCTAGTTGGTTCTTCTATTTGACTGCGCAGCACTCGTTTATTATAATTAACTACTTACAATAGTTTTTAAGAGAGATAATTGTAACGTTTGCACAGCAAATTGATCAAGTGATAGCGTTGCATTTGCGAGCTCGTGGTATTCGACACACGGCCTCGTTGATTTTCTATAGACGTAATCTCATTCCCTACACTTGCATTTACCGTTTGCTTTAGCGATACTTAGCATAGGAATATAACTCGAACCTGTATAATATAACATGTTTCTCGTAACGAACGGTTCAATGGATTGTATTTTTTAATCATGATTTACCGTTTTGCTCTTATAATAAAATAATGTTATAGTAAAAATGTTGTTTTTGTATCGACCCGTTCCAACGTCCTATTTTAGAACACGCTAAAACCAAATGCCATTATTCTGCATTTTTTTTTTAACTTTTTTTGTGTTATCAAAGGAAGTACTTTTTAATAGAAAAGTGCACCTACAGTACTACACAGACAGTAATATTCGATAATTTTTTTTTTAACTGAAATGGCAACCCCACCTAATGGAATGTGGCAACCGTCGCGTATACACATGAGCAATATTATGGACATAAGAGAGTACCTATGCTGTTTCGCCCATGATACCCCCCATGCGTTGCCTTCCCATTCCATTCTTTTAAAAAACTCGACCTTAACCTGATTTCTATTTATTTATTTCGAATTACTTAGATTATATAGATAGTCTTCATACAAAATCTTCCAAAATAGATGGTCAATTTGTTCAGACAGGGTTACCAGGTTAGAAATAATTACTTTATATTAAGGTTAAACAGGTGAAGGTCGTAACTTAAAATGTTATTAGGATTAAATATTAAACCTTATTACAGTAGATAGAAGCTTATAATTCTTTGATATTATTTTAAAATTAGTATCAGGAAATCGGTATTTGTGAATCCATATCTACTATAAATATGGACGGATAATGCCACTAAAAGTGTCGACATTATTGAACTTTTTTTTCTTTGAATACGAATATATGGGAATGTTTGTAAATTTAAAACATATACTGGTGTTGAAATTAATTGAAGCGGCAGCTAACGAAAGAAAAAGAAACGAAATATATAAATTGTATTTCATCTTAAGTTTAAATTCTTAACACTATTTTGTTAATTCTTATCCAAATAAATACTTTTATCACTTTAATAAAAATAGTGACTATTTTGATTAATGCTAACACCGAATCCGTATTTAAAGTGAATACTCAGATATCGATTAAAAACCAATCGGTGAGACAATAAATAAAAAATTCGACCGTCATCCGATATTATTTGAATGCATCTGTCCTTCATAGATAGTATATCAAAATATATGAATATTCAAGTTATGCCTTATTCAGGAACAGCTATCAGGCACATAGTTTCTGAAAGTTACTAGCTTCTATTGCTCTCATTTTTTTAATGGATGATAATAGAATGGTATCCCCGCCTGCGCTATCCGTATACGCTCATCATACGCATATAATCACTTACTGGTGCGCCACCAGTGAGGGGTGATAGGTGAGAAATGAAAAGGCAGGTCTGTCAGCCTATCATGATGAATATGAATACACCTGGAATACAGCGACAGCTGACAGCAATGGGACTACAATCCTATCCTCCTATTGCTGATAGCAAAGTCTCCACATATATTTTTTCTCACATCTCCAATGTACAGACATAATCTAGTTCCAATTTCATAATATTAGTGAGGCAGGGATCGCACCGCGGGTAATCAATAAAAGTACAAAGCATCTTTCATAAAGAAAACGTTTTATTTCCATTACAATTGGACATTTGTATGTATCTTTGGATTCTATTACTTATAATATCGTCGAGGGAAACGAGGCGGCGGTTCGGGGCTGGCGCTGAAGCGGAAACAGGAACGCTCCAGTGGCTAGCCAGAGGGCGCCGCGACATTGCTACGACAGCGCCCGCGCACCGCGGACCGAACGTACGGCAACACGTCACTAGCGGGGCACCGTCTCCACTCGGCGCCGTCTACCTAAGCACTAAGTTATTCACTTAAGTTAGCACTCTTATTTGCTCCTTGGGGACTATATTTACATATAAAAAAAAAAAACTCTACATCATTTATTCCAATCTCAGAAGCATCCATAACGCGGAGTACTTCAAATATACATACATTCAAACTTGGAAGTTCTATACTTAAAGTAAACTAGAAACATAATAAAGTATACAGGTAAGTAAAAATTTAAATAACAAATTATTTAATAGTGAAGGAAACTGAAGACTGCCACAGTAGACTTATAGGTAAGAAAAAAATAGTTTATTAAAGGCCCTAGCAAAAAAATGCTAAATAGTAGATACTAACTACGTCTGAACACATTAGAGAGGAAATACAATATGTCTATCACTTCATGATTATGTAAGTAAATAATGAATCCTAGTTTATTATGAGAACAAATTGCATCAGAGCCTGCTGATAACAAACAGTCAAGGGGCGGCGTGGCCCGCAACAGTCAACACAATATAGTTTTGTTTCAGCGCTCCTATAACATGCTCTAAAATATACATAAAACATCGAGAGAACATGTACAGCACGCCAGAAATACAGGCGCCGCCGAGTGGAGGGGTGATATCGCTTTGAACGTCAGAGACAACTAGTGATTAAACATTATTGCTAATAGATATGGAAATGTATTTTCAAACGTAGGTGTCGCTCTGAACGCAGTTTTAACCAAACTCCTTTAGAAACAGATTGTTGTACACTATCCTGCTGGCTGAATGTTCAGGGCTCATTCCCCGGGCGTACTAGTGCGCACGCGACCACACACCGCCGACACCTCCGCCAGACAACACTTCGCCTCGCTCCTACCGCCCTCTAATAAATTCGTCAAGTTGAGCTTCGCCCGTTAGAGTCGGCGGTGGTGGCCGCGCGCCTCACCATGTCCAGAGCGACGCCGGGTTGCACTAGTTCATTGCACGTCCGGTTGGTACGTGGCGGCACGGGGTGGGGAGAGGAGAGTGGGGGGGCTCGTACCACGCCTCCCCACTTCCTAGTACAAAATTCTTAAAGATATCACGGTTATTATTATTGATAATGGATCCATGCTTGTACGTAAATTAATTCAAAGACCTTACGTATTTACGTAGTTTACTCTTAAAACGAAATACATGTATCATTACAATAAAGACTAGCATACAATCAGTATTATACTTATAATTTCAATATAAATGTCACGTGTTCGATCACGGCGACCGTTCCAATAGTATATGTATAGATACACTTTATTAAAATACCCTAATATTTTTGATTAATACAAGTAAAGAGAAAAAGAAAATATTGAGCATAATTGTTGATCGAAACAAACTAGACTCGCACTGCAAATAACATATAATAATAGTTCATATACGGCGCCACTGACGCGGCTCGTACGCGTCACGTGAACTACTCGTGCGTGCGATGCTCACGCAACTGTGCGGCTCCGGCAACAAGCGTGCTAATAAATAAAACAAGCGCGCGCGCAGCGCAGTCCGCTGTTCATGGCGTAGTTTGCTTCGACCACATACTACGTTTTTATAAGCCGTATCACAGTACGCTAACTTAAATAATACATTTGTCTCATGATATCTCACAAATAATATCAACTATACAAGACCAGAGACGCATTAGTTGTGACGCGTAACTATAATTAAATTTCATAGTCATATAAATAGGCCCAAAACAAACCGATCGTTACTGACAGTCTTTAAATGCAAAGGCGGGCCGGGGCCCATAGCAAGCGTCGCCGGGGTCCGGTGCATGTATGCGGTGATTGGTGTCGAGGAGGAAGGGAAGAAGGGAGTCGGACATCGACAAGAAATGCCATCGCTCATACAAAGTCGCCGACCATTTAACGTCTCTGGACGCCACCACCGAGGTAATAATGGCTCGGCATCAACAACGACAACGACATCTGATGGACGTCGCCAGTCACTTACGAGTATCACCCCAAAATATACAACTGTTTTTTTTTTAATTTGCATCAGTTGTAAGCAATCTCGAAATAACAATTGGCTAGAAAAAAATATATTATAAATATTAATTTTGTATCTTAATTTAAAATGATCAATTTCGAAAATAGATATGCGTACTAAATATGACAATTATAAAAAAAAATTAATGATGTCCGTTGCACAACTAAGTCCGTTTGATTCGTCGGTCTGTCGGTCACGGCGCAACATCTCGCTCAACTACCAACGCCATCGACTTGAAAGCTATCCAGATTTCAAGTCGACAGCACTAGCTATCTAGCGTTACACGTTATCGAGGCGAGGAACGACTACGAGGCGATGCGGAGGCAAGTAGGTCTCGTGATGAACGGTTAAATGGAAGACAGTTAATCAGACATATTGTTCAAGAAATTCTCGATTGTGGACATCAGTCAATCGGGAGGAACGGCTAGCCACGAGACAGTGCGACGTCAGTGGGAGCGGGCGCTAGACCGCTGCTAGCGGGCCACTGTCGCCGGCCTCTTACTGAACTCTCTCTCTTACTGAAATTGAACGTCTACACTAGTCAAATGTTACAATTATTGAAACAGGGTAAATGTAGTGGGTTTTGGAGTCGAGAAAAAAATCCAACCGCTAACAGCATTGGTACAACAGCGCTTGGCGTTTGCATTTAGACATTTACACGTATTCTGTCACTGGATCACGTTACCAGACTAGCAACACTGTTTAATAACAATACTTGCCAATGCATCGGCATTTTTAAAATATAATTTTGACAACTCAAATTCTGCTAAAGTAAAAAAACCTTATTTAACCGACATAAAAAAATAGCTTTTTGCCTCAACTGCAGATGGTGTGAAACAGTGATCGGTGGAAGCGCTCCGTGATACAGTGATGGAACGTGCTGTGCTGTACGGTGTACACGTCGGCCCGGGCAGCGGGAGTGTGATGTGATGTGAGTCGGGAGAGTGATGGACCGCGTTGTTTTGGTGCGTCATTCGTTTTCAACCATACCTACCTATAGATAGAGGAGCACATGCAATCTCGAGGAATACCTGTTCGTCAGTCTTCACACATAACCGAGTGGACTCGTGCCGGGTCCGCCCGGGCATGCGTCACCACAACTACGCGACACACGCACACGCACACGCACACACGCACACGTACACACACACACACACACACACACACGCACACACTCGTAATACTTGTACAAATTATATACGGAAGCCAGATTGTAGTCGCCGGCGGGCCGCTGCCGCATCGTTTGTACACCGTTTGTACTGCGAGCCTGGCCCGTCCACGCGAACCGTCCTCACTTACAACTAAGCAGAGTATTCGTTGGTATGCCAGCGGCGGCGGCGGCTCGGCCGCGCCACCCTGCGGCTATATCACGCTGCCAAACATACAGCGCTCACCATTACATGGCAACACAGGCGGTGCGTGGAGTTGTCCATGTCCATAGGCGACGTTTACCACTTTCTATGTACTATTTCAAGTTGCAGAAAAATAATACTTAAATTTAAATTAAAATTAAAACAATCTCACTAGTTTAATCCTAAACTGTACATGTAACACACTATATAGTAGAAATCCATCAATAGTATGTTGCCACTGCCCGTATATTTGACAGCGCAATACACATCTCATGATTATCTTTATTATAAATTATACAATATGAGCAGCTTTCCCCAAATTGCGAGTGACAAACAGTCCGAGTTACATAATTCCGTTATATACACAACTCTCCTGATATACATATCATCGTCATCATATAAATATGTCGTATATGTAATAGTTTCTATACAAAATACTTATCTCAGTGACGATCCGCTCTATATTTTTTTTATTGCTCGGCACATTAAGTAAATAATCTTTTATAATACGAAGCATACAGTTAGCAAACGAACTATTTGCTAACTTTATGCTTATAAAAAGTTTGTTGTTTGAATTGATGTTGTATATTTTTTATTTTATTTTATAAATTTTAATAAAACGATCAAGATTTTTACTAAATAAGCCAAGTATATGAATAGATTGTGAACGTTGCAACATCGTATTCGGGTATCTTTGGTTTATTGCAGACGTATTACGTAGTTATAGATAATATAGTAAGCGGACACTAGAGCGTTATCGAATATTCTAATGAGACCACGTACACATTAGTTACATAGTGTGGTCCGATCCAGTGGTTATTATATGTATATTGCACAGCGATAGTTGTACGAATATTTCAGAGAATTTTAAAAAAAGTAGCTCTTTATACAAATTATGTGGTATTCATTGTTTATGTATGTATATATTATGCAAGTGTTGGCAACGTGGCGACACGGATGTATCGATGGAGCGCTATATGTATCGACTAGTGTACCGCGGCGAGTGTGGTGCGATAGTGGCGCGTGTGGCGCGACCGTCGCGGTGGTAGTGGGCGTGGGCGTGGGCGTGGGCGTGGGCGTGGGCGGGCGACCACGCGGCAGCACGCGCCGGACTCGTAGCAGCGGCGTGCGGCGTGCGGCGTTTACCTGCCGTGCAAAAAGTTTATAGTGTATATAGGCATACATATGTTTTGTATGTAATATTGAAATGTATTGTGATTGTGTTAGTGTTGTCTAGTGGATACACAGAAGGTGTGGATCGGCTCTATGGTTTAGTGATGTATTGGTGTGGCCAGTGTGTGGGGCGTTCGTCACCTGTTGACGATTTTGGCGAGTTCCCGCAGCGCAAACTCGATGTCGTCGTGCGGAGAGCGTGCGGCTGGCGGCGCGGGCGACGCTAGTGCAAGCGCCTCGGACTCGAGGCGGGCGGCAGCGGCGCGGAACTGTATTCGCAGCTGCGGCTTGGAGCGACAGGCGGCGGCCGCGTCCGCGCACCGCAGCGACAGCTGCGCCAGCCGCTCCGACATCTGCAGCCGCCACAGCGAGTCACGCCCCCCGCCCCCGCTCCCGCCCCCGCCACCTCCGCCGCCGCCACCGCCGCCCGCGCGCCGCATCTCGCTCGTGCACAACTCCAGGCCCGCACGCACACTCGCCAGCACGTCCAGCTTCTCCGCCTCCTCGCCCGCCGCTGCACCACCTCCACCGGCGGTCCCGAGCGGAGTCGCGTATATCCCGCCCTTGCCAACAGGCTTGCTCTTCACGGCCGGCTTGCTGGGCACGGCGGGCTTCTCATCGCGCCGACAGTCGACACTGCCACTGCGCCCGATGCTAACCCCACCGCCGCGCTCCTCGGACGACGTCTCCTCACCATCCACCTCACCCTTCGCTCTCATTTTAGGACTGAGCCGCTCCTCCGTGTCCTTGTTCTCCCACAACTTTTTCAAACTACTAATGCTACCAGTGCTCCGCCTCTTGTCCTCCTCGTCACCGCCGCTCGCATCTAACGAACCACTCTCGGACCGTTTCCTTTCACAGTCCTCAGTTTTACGCGAATTCAATTCTTTGTCATCAGGCGAAGTCTGCTCTGGCTTCTTCACGCTACCGTTAGTGGCCACCGTACCACTATCGACTTTTCGTAGTCGCGACTTGAAATCTATTATAGAGCGGCCCGACTCTTCAGGCTCCTTACTACAATTATTAATTTTCTTATTCGTGTCTACTTTCTTCAATTGCGATTTAAAGTCTGTATTAGATTTAGACTCCAAATTACTTTTCTTTTGATCGATATTGTTATTATACACCGTCTTCCTGAGACTCGCTTTCAAATCTATGGGCGACACGGTTTCCTTACCATTGTCCATAGTTTTAATAGTGCTGTCCACTTTTTTATCTGACTTGCGTAACGCCTCCATATTAAGACTGGCCGACAGCTCAGTGACGAGTCGCGCCGCGGGGTCGCCGTACGACGTGTGCATTTCTATCAGTTCATGGGGGGGAGGAGACTCTTTAAGCTGTTTCTTCTTATCCGCGCGCTCCTTGATTTCAGCTACCAATTTCAACTCGAGCATTTCCTTCATAGTCTGCTTGGTGAGTTTGAGTTCCGGGTCGATGCGGTCAGCGCTAGCGGATGTGTCATCGACGGCTGTGTCGGTGCCGGCGTCGCGGCAACAGTCCGGCGGGGGTGGCGGCGGCGGCGGCGGTTGCGGCTCTTCCGGTGGCGGTGGTAGATCAGCGGGTGGCGGCGGGAACTCCAGCTCGGCGAGTCGCGGCCGAGGTTTCGCTGGACTGTTGGTGAAGGAGCGCAGCGGGGGTGCGGCGCGGGCGGTGCGCGGGGAGGCCGGCGCGGGGGCGGTGACCCCGCCGGACGAGTTGGACCGGATCATATGCGGCTGCGTGCGCGCCGTGCGAGGCGACAACGACCGCGCTTCGTCTTGCGGCGGCTCGCGACGCGTTGCCGCACTCACGCCGCCCACCACGTTTCCGCCCCCGCCCCCGCCCCCGCTACCGCTACCACTCGCGCTGCCGCTCTGTCGCAAGGACTCCAAAAACGCACCGATACGAGCTCCCTTCGGTAGTGTTCCGTAGCGGTGAATAGCTCTCTTTACATTCTGCACTTCTAAGGCGGCCACTTGTACTTCTTGCTATAATAATATAAAAAATAAACACTAATTAATACAATTATTACGAATGTTTAACGAGATGGTCGCACCTAGACCTCATCATGGTGCAGACACGCGGTAATGATTATGAACGAGCGGACTGGCTGTCTACCTTGGGCTGGAGGTTGTGCTGGCCGCCGCCGCCGCCGCCACCCCCACCGGAGGAGGCGTGGTGCTGGTGGGCGTGGGCGTGGTGTAGATGCTGGTGCGCGTGGTGGCGTCGCTTGGCGCGGTGGCGATGCTCGCCGCCGCCCGCCGACTCGTCCGTGTCGGGCGTCGCCTCCGCCAGCGAGCCCTCGGACGACGCCTCCCGCGCCCCACCACCACCCCCACCCCCGCCACCGCCACCGCCACCGCCGCGGGCCCCGCCTGCACACAACACGCACACCGTACACTGGCGCCGTCACATAACTGATAAACATATGTAAAAAACAAAATGCATATGAATCATAACCCGCGACTTCACTCGCACGGTGTCGGTATCAACACACTGAATGAATTATTCAAACATTTTTTAAGTACAGTAGATACATACGGTTTGAACGTACATGATAGACAGCTATATATACTAATAACAATAAAATAACTGCACTAAAAGGAGTCAATATAATAAATACATTACCCGCGTCTCACTCATACATATAACAGTACTCCATTACATATGATGAAATACAAACAAAATTAAGCATTATACATTAATTAAGGACCATAAAAAAATTACTTAGAATTTATAAATAGAGACTGGGAGGGATGAAGGGGGGAGGGGCTATCGAGGCCGACAGGCGTCATGTAACGTGCTCTGCGGGCCCAAATTGCATTGCAACCAATAACCGAGCCCGACATATTAAATACTACATGATCTACGAAGCGGAAACTTGGCAGGGTGTAGCATTCATTAGAGAAGAATTTCACGAAGTTCCCGATAATGGTTGGGAATAGAAGATAATGGATTTCGCGTCGTAAAGGCCAAAAAAGTATTTTATGTAAGACATGTATATTAAATTATAGATTTTTTTTTTCACGCATAAAACTACACGCACAATAAAAAAAAAACACGCCGTGAGAAGTGCTACGTTATTGGACATTTATTTTTTAAATATCAATATCGAAGCTTTGAAGCGTGATGTAATAACGAATCATTTTTATTTATCATTCAACATCTAACACCGCACCGCATTTACCGTTTACCATTTGTGAATAATGCCCAACCCAAGGTCGTCCGTAATGTACAAATCTGAATTCGGTCACGGGGAATCAGGATTGTTAGTAATGGGGTCAAACTGCCTCGTTGTTAGCAATACAGGATGTATTGTATCAAGTGGACCTCCACCTTCACGGGATTTCGTCACGATGGGCTAACTGACCCACTTTCATCGTCGCCTATCATCGCTCACTGGTCACATCACAGCCGCACCCACAGTGTACACCGATAGCAAAATATCGCTATTCATTATTACCCATCAAAAGAAACATCCCGATGGATACTGACTGGTCTGACGATGGTATTAAACCACAACACTGTTTTTATATTAATATTGTTCAAGGCATATTGCCAATCTTTTTACACGAGCAGCCTGTGTGTTGACTATACACGGCGGGCATACAGCGGTCTGCGTGTTCAATACAATAATGTTTTCAGGGTGTTGTTGCGGCTGCCACGTTTTTGTAGTGCATCCACAATGTTTGCAGCGGCATGGGCAGATGACTTCTATGCCATCAGACGCAAACGGATCGCATCTCTTTTATACCGACTGCGTGGCAGCAGTGACAGCATTCTGTGGGCATTGTATAATAGATACGATAGCCCGAAATTGTGGCTCAAAATTGTTATAGAGGCCATTTTTTGCTACTAACATAGTTTAAGTCAATTGTTACTAACAAAAATGGATCTTAATTATCTGTAATGAAGAAATATTATTATTATTATTATTGATTCAGTAAATGTCTTTCGGTAACTAACTACTGGTTGCCAATATCGACTGCTCGAGGACGACGATGGTACGTACGTGCGGCGCTCGCGAGGCGGCATGCGCCACGTGACTGTTTCCCTTTAGGTCATAGTGTAAACAACGCATCACATATCTTACGGGTACGTACTAATCAATAATCGGGATTCAAACGCATTACATATATAGATAGATAGATAGACAGATAGATAGATATAAGTGTAGTGGTAGGGGCAGAGGGCCTCTACCTACATACTTCATATACTTACAAAATGTTCGTATCTATTGCTATACACCTGAGAGAGCGGACAAACAGACAAAAAACTAGTTGAAATGAATGCATTATATCACATCAGAATATACAAATACAAATATACAAAACATGAATATACCGCCGAATACATTGGTGTGTATGTAAAGGCAGAACTAACTCGTGTGTGTGTGTGTGTGTGTGTGTGTGTGTGTGTCGAGATGCAGTTACAAGTGAGCGAGCGCACTTGACATTGCAATCAAACTAAACAAAATAATGAACTAAGTCAAAAGGCCGACTTCACGATAGTAATTAATCGACATATTAATTCACGCTCACAATTCTTCCGCTCTGGAATACGAGTCAGTAATATAAACCTTTAAGTATATTCTCATAATATGAATTACATTACAAATGAATAGATATTGTATAATAATATTATGGAATGCAGACTAATATGTGTATGTGTGTGTGTGTGTGTGCGCGTTGTGTGTGAGCGCGCGCTTGTGTGCGTGTGCGTGTGCGTGTGTGCGTGTGCGTGAGTGTGTGCGTGCGTGCGTGCGTGCGTGCACGCGTGATCGGTACGTACCATTGAGCGACGCGAGCGAGTCGTCGTGCGGCGAGTGCTCTTCGGCCGCGTACTGCGACTCGCGGAACGAGCTGCACGACGACAGCAGACTGCCGGCACACAACGTACATTAGCTTTCAATTTTAATTACGTATGATTGATACTTTACTATATGTGCATTATCATATTGCCAAACATTTATTGTATAGTTGTAATTTATTGTATAGTTGTCCTGTGGTTAAAATCACACTACTTTTATCCGGTCACGACGTGGGCCCGGAGGGTTGTACAATAGTACAAAACAATTTTTATTTGGTTGTACCTGGTCCGTTTGGGCGGTGTGGGCGCCTGCTTGCCGCGCCGGTTGGTCGGCCGCCGCATCTGCACGCCGCGCTCGCCTCCCGCGCTGCCGCCGCCGCCGCCGCCGCCGCCGCCGCCGCTCTTCTTCAGCGACATCTGCGGCGTGCCGCCCGAGCCGGAACACCCGCCCTCTTGTAACTGCTTCTCGACCTCTACATTTCACAAATTAATATTAGTTCTACAAATCAATCTTCGTCAGTCACACAAACCCGAAGGGTCACATGTGACGCTTCGGGATTGTATGTCCTTTTCCTAGATACGATTTCTACCTGATCCTGACCACACTCTAGCGCCTCAAAGAAGTGCTGATTTTGGGAGGTCTAAGGGAGGTCATGACATCAGCATCTGTGTTGAAAATCATGACACCCTCAATGCCAGTGTGTTCCTATTCTTTACTTCTTCTACATTAATTTCCTAACAACTTTCCAATTTTTCCCTTATTTTTGTTTCTTCCTTCTTTGTGCGACAACTAATTATTATTTTTTTCATCTTTGACCCCTCTTATCTTCTTTACCTTCATACAGTCTTCTTTCGCTCTCATCGTCTTTCTTATCTTATCTATCACTATATCCCCGGTGTTCAGGTTATTGGTTGACGCAAAACCACACGTGAGTAATGCACTTGTTTTGCGTTCGCTTGGTCCCGGGGATTTCCATTCTCTGCCTTTGCGTACGTCATCTTTGTCTCTTTTTCTTTTATTTCCCCTAAGTTTTCTCTAAATAATTTCTTTATTTCTTCATCTCTTTCTTCCTTTATTCTTTCCCTATTCTCTCTTTTCCTATCCAATACTTCCTGTATCTTTTCTGTGTATTATCTTTAATCTGTATTCTTTCCCTTCTTTCCTTACTTATTTCCTCCTTTAGTTCCTTTATTTCTTTCAGATATCTTTTTTGTTCTTCCTTAGCCACTTTTCTACTTCTAACTTCACTTTCTACTATTTGTTGCAACTTTTTATTTTCTCCCCAGATTTATTTCCCTTTCCCTTTTTCAATCCTATTATCATTTCTTTCATTTACTTTACTACTTTACTGTTTTTTTTTCCCTTTAGTTCTGTTATTTGCCTTCTCAATTCCCCGACTATTTCCTCCCTTTCCTTCCTTTCCCTATTTACTATGTCCTATAGCTTTTTTATATTTTCATTTCCCTCTATATTACTTTTCTGTTTTATATTTGTTTCACGCATTTCCTCACACTTTCATTCAACATCTTTCATCTAACACATCACTTTGCACTCCCGTCCTTTTTATTTGTTCCATTTTAGATTCTATCAATCTAGACAACTCACCCATTTTTCTATTGCTTTCCTGTGTTGCCTTTATGCTTTTTCATTTACTGCTAGGGCTCGTTCTATTTGTTCCTTTTTATAATTTTTCCTATTTTCTTTTACTAACCTCACGATTTCATCCTTTATTTCCTTTATATTTTTCATCAATAATATATTCTTTTCATCCTTTTTCTTATCCTTTTCCTCTATTAGTTCTTTAATTTCTCTCATCCATTCCCCATTTATATCTACCACTCTTACTCTGTCCTCATTTTATCCAGTGCTTCCCCTAATATCCTAAATTTTTCGTTTAGCCTCTATTCGAGCTTTCCTATTTCCATCTCAATAAAATCCGTCATCCTATCTACTCCCTTTTCCGTCTCTTCGCCCTCAGCGTCCCTACTTAATACCATACAGTTACAGTAATTTTCGGGCTGATTTGATTGGGGTCTTTTTTAGAGTATTTATATGCGGCGGAGACTCCCCCCTTCAACGTCACACACATGCACCCCTTCTATATTTTTATTTAAGGGGGAACCAGTCCTCTCCTGTTCCTCGTTGTCTAGTAAGTATTGTAAGTCTCAAAACTATTTTGTGGCCACAGTCGATACCCAGTTTTCGGCAAGAAATCGGCGCGTCACGCCCGACCCTCAACCGATAGAGCAATTCTGCCGGAGCAGAAAGCTAGGGCTCCGCACGACGAAACAAACAAGCCGTCGCACGTGTCTGTAGCTCAACAGCTGGTAATTGGGTAATACAATAGAAATAATATTTATTTAAATAAATTCCAAGCTCTTTTAAATCGTAATTTCTTTTAAATATACTACTGGGTTCGGAATGCTGTTAACTGCTGTTTTCAGCAGTTAACAGCATTCCGAACCCAGTTTTTACCCCCACAAAAAACTCAATAGTTGCTCGTATAGTTGTTAGTTAATTGGTTTAAGACAATTTTATATTTACAATTGTAATCAGTGTGGAGCTCTATTTGTGTATCATTCAATGTGCAAACAAACAATGTTAATGAATGTAAGCAAAATAAATATAGTAAGATTAAATTATCCACGTGTGTTCTCTCGGTGCTAATTAATTTGACAAGTTAGAGACTGGCGCCAATTTTAATGATCGTCTTACATCATCTTGAGTCTCCCATCCGGGAAATAGGTATTGGCGACCCGCACGCATGCTAAAGGTAAAGGAGTTAAGGGGCCGCCTGAAAATCACCGCTATATAGATACATCTCGCTGGAGCTGTACATATATAGCAACAGCTGAGGCGGTTCCTATTACCAGCAACATTAATTGTTCTTTTTTTCTTTTTGTTGTTTTAATTTTTTACTTTCTTAATACTGGTAATAAAGGTTATCTATCTATCTATATTTTCATAAAAACTAATATTCAACTACTGTAACTTGCTTGTTTAAGTTACATAAAATAACTAAAACATTGGTGGTTGTATATTAAGTAGTCTATAGAGCTGGTCCCCGGCAGCGGTGTGGCGGTCTGCGTGTACTCACCCTCGGTGATGGAGTTGTCCTGGAACATGTGCTCGAGCGCGTGGTGTATGTCGCGGAAGCTGGGCCGGTCGGCGGGGCTCCACTGCCAGCAGCCGCGCATGAGCTCGTACACCGGCCCCGGGCAGCCCGGCGGACACTCCATGCGGTAGCCCTGCGCCCATACAACAACACGACGCTTCATTGTTACTAGCTCTACAAACTAATGAGCCACTGCCTACCACCTACGAACACTTCTATGAGGCAAAATATATCTTACTGCAGAAATTAATTTTAATTATAAAAAATACAATAGCATCCGATCTAATACAGTAGTTTTAGCAAGATTCCGAAATCAACACACAAACAGACAGACGAAAATTCTAAAATTATTGTTTTAGTTTCTATTACAGGTCTTGCGTTTTTTTAACACCTCTTATATACAGACATCGTTTAGTAAAACTTTATTACATATATTTTATAGATTAGTACATAACTCAATAATGATATATACCAAATATCAAAACTATATTTATAAGAATTACAAGAGAAAAGAAACTAGAGAGAAACTATGTACAAAAGTCGCTTGCTTGGGCACCTCTGTCCCATTCGTGTTTCTACCGTGAAGGGGTTGTGTTTGCACGGATGTGTTTCGGTTTGAAGGGTGGGATATGGCAGTGAATTTACAGGGTGCAGAAAAAAAAATTGTAAAAGAAACTGTTATGACAGTGTGAAATCATTATTGGTATCATCATCATTAACTTCCAAAGTGTTCAAAAGCCCGAGGCCCGACTGCCGCGAGTGCCTGACCTCCTGCTACTGGCGGCGGCACGGCAAGCAACTTGTACATACAACGTCGCTCGCGCCATTGTTTTATGTTTAAAGAGTGATACATGAGGGCGATTAACAAGAATTGCATGCAACCGTTCTATTCATAGACACTGTGCGAGGCGAAACGGAACAATACAACTACATATGTACTGACACTAACTACTGCTGTTGCACACATGTACGTATGTACGGTGATTACATTTATCAATTAATTTGTATTATCGAAAAAAAAAATTCATTGTCTACAAACGTACGCGAGAAAACGGTTAGCGTAGCGTAACAACGGATGCAAAAAGTTGCCCGCTGTGATACGCACACGACCTTTGATGACCTTTTAAGAACCCACATCAAGAGATAGTCTCGGCAGAGGCTCCGCGAGAGCACATCCAATGCATAACAAAACTATATGTAAACTCTACATTTAAGTCTTATGATGGCAACGCAAAAATATATAGTCTCACCCTTGTAACTGCAATCTCTCGTTAACTTTTTTTATAATATTCACTAAATGTATATTTGTTTAGTCGAATAATGAATGAAGTACTTGATCAAAGCCACCGGCATGCGCCACGACGGCCAGCACTGTAACATTGTGGCACAAAGTAATGGCGGCTTCGTTCCTGCGACGGCACTGGAATAGCGCAAGTGTGCGTAAGCAAACAGTGTAGCCGCATTCCCGGCGCGAGCGCGAGCACGAGCGCGGTACAATAACAATATTTGTATACAAATAATTGATGAATTACTAGTGCGCAGGTCGAAACGCAACCCCCCCCCCCCTCCTCCCCTCCCCACCCGCCACGCATCGCACCTCCGCCCACAACGAAAACATAATAATGGGATGATTAGCATGCAGCCTCTTGCTACAGGCCGCTACAATAAACGTACATTACAAATGCAATTTATTAGCTGACGGCTGGCCATATGATGGGAAATGATAAACATCAATAAATAACAACTGCATAAATACATCACAGAGCACACTTTAATGCACCTTATGAGGTCAAAGGTGATTACGACTCTATACCCAGAAATCGAACTGCCACGTCCCACGCTTCAAATACGGGGGGAGGGATTGTTAGTAATGCGGGCCACCAGTCCCACTGCTAACAATATACTCTATCAGGTCGAGCTCGCCGTGGTCCACTCTGGAAACTATCGTGCTAAATTCCACGTGTATTCATCACGATGGGCTAACTGACCTGCCCTTTCATCTCACCCATCATTCCTCACTGGTGCCCCGCCAGCGTATACAGTTATCCATTAAAAATGTGCTCTGATTACGGCCCATATAAGATTATTAGCGTACTTCCACCTCGCTGATCACGTGGCAAAGATGATGCAATGCATTTTGCTTTATTAGCGTTCAACATTAAATTATTAGTTGTATACCAATGCGAGAGACGCAGCATACCACTATTTACATCGTCATAACTTTTGGTCAATCAGTTAACATTAAGGAATATCATCTACGAATAATTCTATGCCACATCTATCCTGCACTACAAAAGCGAGATCATTAAATAACTCAAAATAGTTATGGCCCAAGAATTGATCCTTGGGGAACACCCGTTCGTACAAGCGACCCGTTGAATGTAACTTTATTTAAACGTTGTTAAATAAATAAAACTAATAAAACACACAGCGGTAACAGTCAGTGCAAATGCCTGACCACCACATTAGGGATTAAAACTGTGAGCATATTTAATAAATATTAAACGCGACATAACATCAGCCTGTGCAGCGCGTAACGGGCGCGGGCGGCGCGGGCGGCGTATAAACGCAATGCAACAGCGCACCGTGCCGTCAATCGCTGTGTGCATCACGACCGACCACCACGCCCTGAACAGCACGCAACGCTATGGCCGAGCTGACGAGGACCGTCCTCCTCGTGCTTATACTGTCTGTCGCTGTGCTCGGTACGTACTACAGCCACTCTAAATTTTATACTTCCTCTTCCTTAAAATTTCCTACTGTAAACGGTAAGACGGAATTTTGTATCTATACTTGTGTATTTTTTGCCATTTTTTTTTTTTGTGGAAATTTATTATATTTTTCATTTGTCATATGATCTGTGTAACTTAACGGTTTTACCATGCACAGTAATATCGTTTCATATTTTATATTAAATAAACATTTCAACTGATTAGATATTGCGTTAATACTTTAATACAGAATTTATTTAACATCTTACTCTAAAACAACCGACTTCAATCGTAACGAAATTAATATGGGAATAAGTCCAAAACTGTATAGATTTTAAAAACACATAACACGTAAAATAAACGAATTGAAAATGTTTTGGAGACGTTTATAATATAAATGTTGTTTATAAGCAGGCAAGCACAAAAAAGTGAAGCCGAAAAAGTTGGTGTCGGCGACGACCAAGGGCATCCAGTGCTACAACTGTCTGTCGTTCGACCACCCGGGCTGCTGGGACCCCGACCACCCGTACTACGCCAACATCACGGTCGGTATTATCGCCCGCCTCCGCCCTATCACACACACTGCACCTTATATACCCTTTGATAACAAACTATATAACTCGCTCCCCGGATAATTAAATGTAATTTTATAGGTTCCCCAGGTAAAGGCTCGACCCATACGGGGACGATAGTTATTATGTATCTTTCTAAGTACTATTCAAATACAAATACACTTATACAGAAAAGTAGATTTTCACTTCAGAGACTCACACTAGGATGTTTGGGGAAGGCAACAATAGAGTTACATAGTGGAACGGTGCTAGGAGACGAAGACACGCACCGCGAATATTTAAAAAATATTCATATTAAAAATAGTAGGTCCCCAATGAGGGCATCCTGTTATCCAAACATACGATTACATATGTTTGCCTCTTCTAATCGGCTCTACAACTTTAGGTTCCCAACATCGACTGTTACATCCCCGGCATGGCGTTCTTGTGTATCGTCATCACCTCCGAGTCGGCCAAACTAGGTGAGTTACGCAATTTGTATGTCCACGCCCTGTTACCCTGCTTCTGCCATACAATCCCAAAATATGTAAGTGCATGGTGTGCACAGTGGACAGCGGCCAGGAGATCGGTCCAGTACGCGCGCGCACCTGCGTGCCCGCCAAGGACTTCTCCAAGAAGACGGTGTCGTACTCCATGTGCAGCAAGCTGAGCAACGAGCTGTCCGCCTCCGAGATCTTCTCGCGCATCCACGTCAGCCGGCCGCAATGCACGCTCTGCAAGAAGCACCTGTGCACCGACGCGGCCCGCTGCTAGTCCGCCGCCCCTCTCCAACTCCTCAACTGTTAACACCCGGACTTATATCGACAGTCAGCGCCTGACTTTAATCTTTGTCGCCAAGTTCGGCCCCTCATATCTCGCCCGACGTGTAAATACGCAATTAAAATTGTTGTCGTTCGGCTGCCGCAGTTGTAATGTAGTGAGAGCTGTTATCGCTTTGTTTGGGAGTCGCGGCGGTTTACGCAACCCGCCGAGTTCGGTACACAATGCTGTAAAACGCAGCTGCACCTAGCAGACGCTGTACCTACGCGGCTGCAGGCCACCGCCGCCGCCGCGGCTCCTTGTTACTATTTGTTTTTATAATTAATTATTATACATAATACATATTTATAATGTTATTATTTACGTAAAAGTACGATCCATGTTAAATTTATTTTCATCTTATTAAATTAATATTAAACGCTCAAGATTTTTAAATTTAAAAAATAATATGGGTCAATTTTCCTAATTCTTTTAAAGATTGTAATAGTTTTTTTTTGTTTTACATAAAAACAAAAAGCTGCCCGACTAAGGACATGGAAATCAAATGAGATATAAAATTCCATATATGGACAGGGCAAAGCGTATCGCGTAGCGAGCTATTCACGTTACGAGTATCAAGGTATGCACTTACGATCAATTACAGCATTTTATGTTTATAAACACAAAATGCCTTATTAATACTGCAAGATAATAAACACGGCTTGCTAGTGCGGTTTACAGTTGCGAGTAGTTCACTGCTAAACAAACGCAACCGGAAGCGTAATGTTAAACATGCGCTCTTATATTTGAGGCAACATTAGATACATTTTACTTTCAATTTATATTCTTGACTTGTAGAAAACAGACCATTAGAGAATACATTTCATGATTTGTTATTAAAATATTTAAACTTTATATTTCAAAACGTATATTTAATTTGTAAACAATCGACACTGAATATGATTGCACACTGTGGCTATGATTCGCATAATAATATCAGTAAGGTTATGTCACCGTCCTCTGTACCTGCGCCTTTTCCCGCGTGACTCGGTGTACAAGGTATCCAATGCCGCTTGTGTTAAGTTACGACTTATCACTATACAATACTTCTTTGTAATCCTTTCAGTTGTTTTCACGTGATATCGTCACCCCCACGTGACACGTTTATGACCTGCGTGCGCGCGTGTGTGTATCTACGCGTGCGTACCTTCTCGAGCATGTGGTAGACGTCGGCGAGGTCGACGCCCGGGTAGGGCGACATGCCGTAGGTGGCGATCTCCCACAGCAGGATGCCGAAGGCCCACACGTCCGACTTGGTGCTGAAGGTGTTGTAGGCGAGCCCCTCGGGCGCGGTCCACTTAATGGGGAACTTGGCGCCCGCGTGCGCGGTGTACGTGTCATCGCGCATCAGCCGCGCCAACCCGAAGTCCGCCACCTTCACCAGGTGGTTCTCGCCCACCAGGCAGTTGCGCGCCGCCAGATCTCTGCGCATACATTTTTTTTAGTTAGAACACATTATAATTTTAAAAATTGCAGCTTCTGCATTTAAATTTAATTGTAAATTGTCAGTGTGGAACGAGTTACGTAGTAAATTAGTGACGTAAACTTTACTTATAATTTAGTGATACTGTTAAATTGAGTGGAATGTTTCTAATTAAAGAATTACAAAATTGTTGCAAAATAACACTCGGCAAGTGCTGGCTACCGACGTAGATTTCCAACACAAATTTAATAGATTTTTTGCGTTAAAATAGAATACAAAATATTTATTGCCAGTAAAACACATAGTTACAATCAGAAAATACAAAAATATTACATATATAAGAAGTGTCACAGGCTAAACGATCTGGCCCAGCTGACGCTGTGAGTGTCCCAGAGCAGTGTGTACAGCTGCACAGCGCTGGTTTTCAGCCACGTCCTCTCTTAACATAACTAGCGTTCACATAAATAATAACATAGTAGTCCTAATCGCATTATCATATATATATTATTATTATTAATATTTATATCTTTATAGACATGAATCATTATTGAATACGTATACAAATTTGTCCAAACTATGACAGCCCACATTTGAACTGGCCGGTGCGCGTGCGTGCGTGTGCGCGTGCGTGCGTGTGCGTGTGCGTGTGCGTGTGCGTGTGGTGTGCGTGTGCGTGCGCGTGCGCGTGTCCGTACCTGTGTATGAAGGAGCGGCTCTCGAGGTAGCTCATGCCGGACGCGATCTGCGTGGCCATGTACATGAGCACGACGGCGTCGGGCGCGGCGGCGGCGGCGGCGGCGCGCAGGTACTCCAGCAGGTTGCCGCGCGACATGAACTCCGTGATGATGTAGAAGGGCGGCTCGCGCGTGCACACGCCCAGCAGCTGCACCAGGTTGCGGTGCCGCATCTCCTTCATTATCGCCGCCTCCTCCAGGAAGTCCTTCAGCGCCATCGTGTCGTCCTTCAGCGTTTTCACCGCCACCTATCGTTCACCACCATGATGTTCATAGAGCTTCTAGTTTATAATAGTAACTAATAGGATTTTATACAAAATAAATGAAAAAGAAATGCTGGAACTTTTATTCGGATTCTTCTAATTCAGAATAAATACAAATAAAATAAAATAACACAAAATAAAATACTAATGAAAACATTCATTACTTTAACAGAACTTAAAGTGCATACAGTTAACTTGAGCAATGTACAATAATACAATATACAAATAGCACAGAACTCTGTCCGTGTTTACCTAGTAGTTGCCTGGTGAAGAATTGCATACGGCATTAAACTAGCTAATTATACAAAATTTTTTTTTGCAATAAAGAATAAATAAACAATTACTCTAGCAGAAGTTACAGAACAACACTTTCATGTGTAAGTGTGTAGTGTTGTCACACATTTACAAGCACCTAAACACCCTCTTTTATATTATGTACATATTGATTTTGAATTCATTGTTAATTCAAAATCTTTATATATATATATATATATATATATATATATATATATATATAAAACCATGCTGATTGACTCACTGACTGCTCCATATATTAATACAAAGTCGAAAAGGCTGAATCTAGAATCTTAAAATTTTGCAGATACGAGTCCATTGTGTGTATAGCTCAAGTGAACAATACAAAAGGCATTTTGAAAATTCACCACCCAAGCCAGTAGAATGGGGCTTGAGCTTGTATGGAGTTTCGTCAGTTTCAAAACTAGACAGGAAATTTTAAACTTAGGCTCACAGCTCAAAACAAAAATGAACATCTCTATTAACATTTGAAGAATTCACCCCTAAAGAGATGAAACGAGGGATGAAATTTTGTTATAATTGAATCTAGAAGTACAACATAAAAATATTAACTGGTCATGGCTGGAAAGAAGCCATATAGTATATTTAAAAAATGAAAAAGAATGATTTGAATTTTTGCATACCATTCTTGTATCTCTTCGTGTAATGTTTTGTAACTATAATTTTGTTATGTAAATGAATATAAAAAACACTAGTGGAACTATAAAAGTGGTATCATTTTGGAGCACTTCGTCTATTAACAATATGCTTTAAGAAGCGTGCCTTTATTATTTATAAAAAAAATTGGCCGGGATCATTTGTAAATGACGATAATATGAATTTAAGACCACGAACATTGCACGTCACTGGAGTTCAGTATTAATTTTATTCAAATGCGCATAAACTAATTCATTGCAAAACTATTACTAAAAAGGATGCTGAAAGTAGGCACAAATATGCCCTAGAAAATAATATTTGTTTCGTATGTTTGACAAATAATCATTCTGCTAAGTTCCGTATATACAGAACAACATGTCGCGTGTAAAAGGTACCATCATTGGTTACTTCATCCAAATAATATAACTAAGTGTAACTGTGATCTGACTGATGGGCCAATAATGCAGACACGTTCATCTACATGTAACGTAAGGCTTCTGCTGACTTTTGCCAACATCAGTTTAAACTCATTTTTCTTTAGATAAAGTGAATTCTCAAGTTTTACTAGCTACGGCATTTGTGCATACTTAATCAAAATATGGTCAGGTTAATCCGACAGTCTCAATTAATTAAGGTGCTCGAGCTTCATTTATAACTGAGGATATTATTTGTACATTGGGACTTAAAAAGAAGTCCATCCAAGGTATTAAGTTGCCGTGTGGTGTCCCGGCATAGAATAGGCCGCCCCTTCCTTTCCCGTTGATGTCGTAAGAGGCGACTAAGGGAGCGCGAGGGATGAGCATCAGCGTCCCTCTGAAAACATCTACAAAGCCTAACTGCGATTGCCAAACCACCTGCCAAACGTAGCAACTACGAGCAAAAGCCCCCGAGAAGGAGGCTTATGTTCAGCAGTGGACAGTTAAAGGCTGATATGATGATGATGATGATGATTAGGAATAGAAAACGAAACTTATATTACTTCTAATTCGGCAAATGAACTAAAAAGTCGCTCAAGAATTGACTTGAATATTGTGATCAATGTAACTGCTCATGTAATAAAAAAAAAGGTTGCCGATTTGTCGCCAGTAAAGAGAGTAATAGATTTGGATTGGTTACAAGAAGCTAGAACTGTATTAGCTGATTCTAAATGTCGCATTCCTCACAGGTTTGACATTCTATTAAGCACTGATATTCATGGACAAATTACTCAACAAGGGATCAACAAGGTATCAAAAACTCACAAGAATTACATACAAGTAAAGTAGAAATTTATGAGATTCGCTTGGCTTTGGTAGCAATGAGCCGATTTTGTGATAAACTTTATCTTGGATTTCGCACGTGGCATTAAATTTCCGCCAGTTTGCAACAATATTTTCAACTATTTCTGTTGCTCTGAAAGATGTCACTCAGAAACATGAATTGAAGGTGTGAATTGACTTTCAGAACAGGATATAATCTGGATCCGTACCAATAAGCAAGCCGTGCAATGGTTCAGGCGGTGTTTCAATTTCCGTTAGTTGCACTTTCCTAAAGAGCAACACATCTTGACTGGCATATTTTTTAATGACAATCCGGGCATTCCTTGTCCTTGAACAAACATCGCAACGCGAGAATTTTATATATTAGATTATTTAACAAGGGATTATCAAAACTCACAAGCATTACAAGCAGTGAGTGGTATGTTGAAGTACTGATAGATATAATTTGTCAATACTGGCCACATGTAATTATTATATTTTTCTGTTTGTGTCAAATTGCTGCTGGCTTTGTTTAAGGATATTAAATGTACAATATTTTCACATCGTTCATATACTTTTAAATATCATTACTTAACTCGGTTTATTCAACATATCACATCAGTTTTTGGAAATTCTACCCCTAAGGAAGTGAGATAGGGAATGTTTGGTTTATAAGAAAACTTGTTAATTTTTAGATAGGGAGGTGATATTTTAAATTGTCTTTTACTAAGAAAGTATTTTATTATCTTCGAAAACCGCACGTGAGCAAAGTTGTGGAGAAAGTGACGGGAAAATTACAAATATTCTTGTCTAATTACACCTAAAGATGTTAATGTAAAAATTGCTAGTACACAATAAGTAAGGGCCGCCTCTTAGGGTGGTGGCGGCGGTGACTGACCGTGATGTTGCACCTCTTCCAGGTGGCCTCGTACACGTCGCCGTACTGGCCGCCGCCGAGCTTGTGCTTCATGACGATGTCGGTGCGGTCGATCTCCCACTCGTCGGGCGGCGCCAGCGGGAACACGGTGGGCTTGTTCCGCTTGGGCGCCGGGTACAGCAGCTGCGTGATGAGCCCGTCGCCCAGCACCGAGTGGTGGTGCACCAGCTCCGCCAGCGTGCCGAACTTCGACTCCGACGTCACGTACACCTGCCCACACACACACACAGTCAGTCAGAGCAGCTAGCCAGTGTACACGGTGAAACTTAATATTATACCTAATGAAAAACAACGTAACGGAAAACAAATTGTAACTAACATGACACACAGTAAGTACTACTATCATAGAATGAGAAACTCGACAATTCTTGTTGTTTTTCGAGCCGAACGTTCTTCTAGGAAAATTATTCACTTTCACATCACACACTAGAACATTCCAGGCCGTCTTCAAAAGGATTTTTTTTTTATACAACTTAGAATGGCAAACAAGCTGACAGCCCACCTGATGGAAAGTGGTAATATAGTCGTCTATAGACATGAGCAGTACCATGGACGTAACAGAGTATACTGTTTCGCCCATAATACCCCCCATGCGTTGCCATTCCTGAGGACTCAGGTGTTATTCCTCTGTACCCTGTAAATTCACACCTACCAATTTCAAGTTGACGCTGTATATAAGATAAATAGTGTCGCTCGTGTTCAATAATTCAATGAACCGTCATTCTATGTTCGGGACACAAGTAACCAAATCATTCGATCACAATGGTTTCTTTGTGTCACAGCATGCAGAGCGCAATTACCCTTACACAGTACACAACGAGTACAATTTATTTCTGGACAGTCCCAACGGAACGAAAACAAAATATAACGCTTTTGTTGTCACTGCCATAGTTTTATTACAGTCCTATTTTGCACATATATTCAGCAAATCAATGTCCACCTGTCTATCACTCTCTAACACACAGATTTATATTGTTTCTCTTGTACAATGCCAATCTGTATACTTCATAATCTAAGATACTGATAATCCATTTGCTCGTTTGGACAATATGTGACAGTTATCACTAATGACGTAATCAGGGGTATCCGTCTACTTTATAGTCGATCAATATTCCGAAAGGGTAGTTCCTTATGGTGTATAAACCTCTTGGGATGCCCTCCATTTACCATGCATATTAAAATTAGACTTGGCAGGAGGCGAGTCTGTAGCCGTCACTCATTAATTTGGTCTTTTTAACTGGCGAATTAAATCCGAAATATAAATTGTCACGCCATGTTTTCGTATCGGTCTAATGTGAGCTCCCAACCATAGACACCTCGGTCTCAAACAGTCTATATACACCTGTGACACTGGTTTCTGCCTATACAGACTCGCACAAATGTTATATTGTTACAATATACTTGTCTCTATCTAAACTTTTCCATAAACACAAGTTATAATATATGGTAATGAACGATATTCTAAAAAAAATTATTTGTAACCCTGACAATAGCTGTGTATGTGTAAGCACTTACGTATTTTGCTAAAATACTAATTTGATATAAAAATCCCCAATTAAAAGTATATTTGGACACGCGCCCCTTTGTGCAAGTTGTTAATATTCATGAAATGTTCCACAACTTTCCTTAATTCTGCCAAGCCGTTACTCTCGTTGTATATAAAAGCGCGGCACGTATGTACCTTCCCGTCGGAGTCCTCGTTGATGCGGTAGTGGTACACGCGCCCCTCGAACCGCAGCGATATGCTCCTCTGGCCGGGACTAGACTCGGACTCGCGCACCTACAAGCCGACAACACAACATAACACTCGTATTCCTAATAGTATTCGTCCAGGGAATTCACACGAGTCACCTGCCATTAGCACATTTTCATCATTGTGTCTTAATGATACAAATGGGCCAAAGCTCGATGATTGGTTTGCTAAAAACAAAACTGATTTTTAATTAAAATGTAATCAAGGTTGTGATGACTAGCTACATCCCTGGTTTGTCAAACATTACATATCCACGTAGTTGGAGTAGTACAACAATGGTATGGCATAGACCATACCACACCATACAATACCATATCAGCCATTAACTGACTATTGCTCAACATAGACCTTCGTCTATTGGGAGTACTGCCAGTAGTCGTCATGGTTGGCGGCCGGGTCGGACATGGCAGTAAATCTTTGGTGATGTTTAAAGAGGGATACTGCTACCCATCCGTCGACCATCAAGTTCCCTTAGTCGCCTCTACACACACACAGACACACCACACCACCCACGAGACAGGAAGCGACGGCCCACTCTATGCCGGGACCACACAATATAGTGCAATGCAATTGTAATGGCAGTGCGGTAGCGGTACTGACCAAGAAGCTGCCGTTGATGCCCGAGGAGAGCAGGTACTCGGCGGCGTTCCGCGAGATGGGCCCGTGGTACCACGAGTGCTTCTCGAGCGAGTTGACGGGCGTGACGTAGTTGCTGGGCACCCAGCCCACGCCGCCGCCGAGCGTGTGCGCCTCGCACCACTCGCCGCTCTTGTTGTAGCTCATTATGCGCACCTGCTCACCTGCAAACACCACGCGCCACTCCGTCAACCGCCTCTCAACACTCGCACACGTGACAACTGATCACATCCTAATCACTCATATATACACAGGACACAGGACAAATAAAAAGTGGAACTTCATTACACGGGCTCAGATATACTCACACACACAGATCCATCTGACAAATATCTTATTTTTTTTTTTAATTGAGTAATAAAAATTTAACATATCCGTCACATGGCTTTCGCCCAGATAATTATGAGTATTCTTATATAAATCAGTATGCTGTGTATGCTGTTACCTTTTTTGAGACTGAGCTGGTTCTCGCCGCCCGCTTGGAAGTCGTACAGCGCCACAAACAGCTGCGGGTCCTCGTCCTCATGGTGAGCCAGCAGATTCTCCTTCGACGTCCATCTGCAACATGACTGAGAACATGACCAATGTTGTCCAATAAGGTCTCGCTTACTATCTAACTACACTAGCCAGGCAGCTTAGATACATTTCGAGATTTCCTTGAGTCGTACTGATGAGAGTCAAATGTAAGGAGATAGTCGAGGTAAACCTTCACCAGTTAGACATCAACTAATTGTTGATCTCTAACTGATCTAAATGATCAGCATACAGCAACGAGTGAAATCTGAAATATCTAACTATGAGTTGAAGCGCTCAGGTGTCCGACGAGTACTCAACTCCTGGGTGTATCGGTGATGATCGATGGAACACAATGTACGCACCCGCCACTGTAGACTATTATGTTGCGTCTGCTCAATATAGTCGTTTGTGGGTTTATTATAATTGCAGTAGTGACCTGTTGGCGGTGTCGAGCGGCTGCGGCGTACTGGGCGCGGCGGAGGCGGCAGCGGCGGCTGCGGCGGCAGCGGCTGCGGCGGAGGCGGCGGCGCCCTCGCCGTCCGGCAGGTCGGGGATGTGCGGCAACGGGCGGCTCTGCAGCAATGCCTCTGCACACGCACATACAACACATTCATGAGCATTCTATCAAGACAAACTTCATATTCAATATAAAGAGACATTGTACTAAGTCATGGGTAGATGGACGTTACCGCCTGTCTCACCCTTTGCTGCCGCGCCATCTAATTGACTACTATATTGTGATTAAGGTTATAACAGGCAGTAAAATTACGCATTACGGAGGCATCGGAAGCATAGCATCTTAGCCTTTACGATTGGCACCACTCAATATTATCATATGGAATTCATTATACTTTAAATATTTGTTTCATGATCAACTACTGGTTACTTCGATTAATTTAGTTACTAACTAGTCCAGCGGTGACGCACGACACGCGTAATGCAAGCACGACGCGTCGCGGCCTTCCCGAACGGTGAGCGAATCGTTTCCATTGAGTATATTGTATGTTAATACGCTAACGAGCCTCATCGCTGTTCACAATCGGTGCGGTGCGGTGCGGTGCGCTGTCCAGCGAACACACTGGCACAAACAAGGATAGTGTACAATTATGGAGTGGCGGACGGCCGCATACGGCGCGAGCGAGCCACCAGCCACCGGGCGCGACGCTGATTCACATTGCGGCCGCGGCCGCGGCGGTGCCGAGTGTAAGGATGCCGCGCGCGTATCGCGGCGGGAGAGCGAGCGACCGCTGCGTACGCGTGTCGTCACATTGATGTACCTACACAACAATCATTTTGTAGGAGACAGATATCTACCTACGACAGGAGCATATTGTAAACTTATACGCATAGGATTACTATTTATAAATCGCACAGTGGGTCATAATTATATGCACACACGTGCTACTTACCACCGTCCGAAATTTTACCAAAACAAGTAGTTCAATAATAAAACTATTAACGAGTCTATTTCGGAACGATGACTTTTTATTTTTATTTTATATTTATTTGTACTACTAGACAGAATATGTTCATTCCTGGAAGCGCGTATATAATAAAACGAATCCCGTGTCCTACAGGGCAGACTCAGCCTAGTGTAGGAATCAATGGTGAATATAATACTTACACATATGTATCAACATAATAATAAAAAAGAAATATCAGAATACAGACGCATGCTATATAATAAAGTATTCCTCGCTTTAGATAGTACGGTGATACGTTGTACTAGATACATATCGAGACTGCGGAGTCCGCCCCGTGCTCCACATGCCGGCCAGCGGCTCGTCCTGCCGCCACCCACGTGGCCGGGCCCGCGCTATAAAAACTCCTGCCTGGTGATTAGCGCGCAAGCAGGACGCCGCACGGAACACAGTAATTACCTACGATTTTTTCTCAGACTGATTTCAATTTACAATCGACGCCGGTGTGTGATCGCTCCGCACTGTACGTACTGTAGCTACACGAGAGCGACTCTACCCTAATTGGCCACGGTTTCACTTTTGATGATCTTGACTACTTAATTCTTGTGCTTATTACAATCACATCAAAGGTTTTAAGTGTCTTCCAAAAGGAGCTTCTCGACTATATTTTTAATAACCTTTACCTGCAACTTCATCCGCGTAACCGGGATAAGAATAAGTCCATATCCCTCTCCATCCCTGTATACGTGTGTACTGGGGGAAAATAGATTGTTAGTAATGGGGTTTAACTGATCCATTACTAGCAGCTATTAAGTCGACTTACACGCAGTTCTTCCTGAAAACCATTCTTGTTGAATTCGTCACGATGGTCTAACTGATCTGCTTTCATCCTCACCTATCATCCCTCAGCTGGTGCCCCGCCAGCGTATACCGATAGCGCAGACGGGGTTACCATTCCATTATCATCCATTAAAAAAAAGACTTCGACTCTGGAGGTAAACATCTTGCAAAAGTAGTAAGAACGTATAATATTTTGAACAAGACAGAGCTTGAGAAAATCAATTAGTCTTCCGTACAATACAGTGCATACGTAAAGTACAGAACATACCACTCATAGGGAGGCTTTGTACAAAAGCCGTTTGCTTGGATACCTCTGTCCCATTCGTGTTCCAACCGTGAAGCAGTTGTATTTGCATGGCTGTGTTTCGGTTTGAAGGGCATTGCATTTACAGGGTACAGAGGCATAATACCTAATTCCTTAGAAAAGGCAACGCATGGGGTAACATGGGTGAAACAAAATATTCAGTTATGTTATGATATTGCTCATGGCTATAGGCGACGGTTACCGCTTTACATTAGGTGGACTGTCAGCTCGTTCGCCATTCAAAGGTGTATAAAAAAATTAGAAAAATAACAAAACGAGATTTACAAATTATAAAATACTACACAGATGTAGTGCAAGCACCCTCTAAGAACGTGTTTGTACAAATTCCCTTGGGAACGGATACCAGTCAGCGAAACTTGTGGCGCTGATATAGTCGCCAACTTTGTATCAGCTGTGCACGCGAGACAGACCGCTAGCGAGCTCACTTTATAGCCGTGGTTATTATCTACGGCCTGCGCAACACCTACGTGTGGCATTGAATCGGCCCGTGTACCTACATTGTTTGTATGTTGTGCTGAAGATGCGAATACATTTCACGTCCACAGACACTAGCCGACCCAGCAAACTTTTTATCTCTGTTCACTACCCACGGGATCCTTTTTTTCTAAACAGAATAAAAAATATCCTATCTCTCAAGTCGAAGTAAACAATACACGTCTATAAAAAATTGATTAAAATCGGTTGAGCGGTTTCAGATATTAGTAACGTAAATTAATATCCTGATGCGTATTTTCATATATATTTAAATTCGTCTACTAAAAATCCCAAGATGAAACTTCCTGCCGACGCGTAAGTTGCACTGCAACTGCATCTCAGCATTTTCGAGTTCTTTTTACACATTTCATTCCATTATCCGTATCTCCCACTGCATGGATATATATTTTTTATAACTTTAGCACGATGCCTTTACACATTCTGATTAAAGATTGTGTAAAGAACCCCACAAAAAAAAAAACCTATTTCGATTTAAATACTAAATTTGTGAAGCGACTTAGATAAAATGTCTATGGGACCAATCTGTAAATACTTATATCCTTACAAATAAAAAAATAATTATCTAAATCTGTTTAGAGCTGACGGAGTTTTGAAGTAACAAACATAAAAACAACGAGATCCTCTTTCTTTTAAAGTCGGTTGAAAATCCTTTAACAGAAAAATAAATAAGTGACAAAAGACCAATAATAAAGAATATTTTGTGTATGCCTCGGCATAGAATGGGCCGCCCCTTCCTTTTCCGTGAGTGTCGTAAGAGGCGACTAAAGGAGCTCGTGGGATGGGCACCAGCGTTCCTCTTAAAACATCTTTAAAAGCCTAACTGCGTTTGCTAAGCGTGGCAACTACAAGCAAAACTCCCCTTATGAGGAAGGCTCATGGTCAGCAGTGGACATTTTGATAATTCCCTTCTAAATAACATTTTTTATTTGTGTTCATAATTGCAATTAATTGTTCTTGAGTAAAACACGGAGCAAAAATACTTTAGTATTTCGAGTGCGTAACAAATTAAGAATTAAAAAATAGTTGAATTCAGTAATATGCTTATTCGTCAGGATTTGAAAAAGAAGCTTGCATGCGATAAATGTATCGAGTACTTAATGCTAACCTCGTTGTCACAATTTACGTAGTCAGTAAGTAATATAAGATATTAGATTATACAATAATGAAATAATGTAAAGGAAAACAGAGACGTGTTCGCTAATAGTTTACTAGATAGGATTACGACCACATCTGGTGCGGATTCGAGTCATCAAATACGTTCAAGTAAACGGGCTCCGGAATACAATATATTGGACAATCCTAGTTCGGTGCGGAGCCCCCCCGCCAGCACAGAAGAGTGCACTTAAAGCATAAAAAGACAAAAAGAGGCGCATCTACATTAGATAAGTATATGCCCAGCAGTGGACAGTTGGGCTGAAGACAGTTAAGACGCTAATAGTGTTAACACGTTCAGTCGACATTAATCTGCCCCCTAAACTATATGACACCGTAGCGCTCTCCTTTCTAATATTGCAGTTTACCATTATCATAAGGCTATACGTAAGGCATTCATGCTAAACTTGTGCCGAGAGTATAAGTAGGCAATATAAGGAATCATATTGGCGGGCCGGAGGAGCGCTCCACTGATTCATCCACGGGCGGTTATTTACCGAGGTATATAAATTCCAACGCTCGGTGGCATACGATAAATTCATCGATAAGTCCGATATTATGCAGTGAAGATTAAAATTTTTTAAATAAGATTTTAAAATTTAGATGCCGATCAAAGTGAACAGCAATGATGTGTTTGTAAAAATATATCTAAAATTACTAGTAGGTACTGTACAGGTACAATATCACTGGCTGACGAAATGTGCACTAAATTGACAGACGTACATTCAGTAACTTCTAGTCAACCGTTACATTTATATTATTTTATAAATTTCCAATTTGAAAGACAACGACAGAGCAGTGTAATAGTCAACATATATATTTTTAGAGTTTAGTTTTTATAAGGGAGTAATTATATAGAGGTCAATAGAAAGTCTAATGATGACCAATACCAGTACAAATTAAAAATCAATTAATTGATTGAACGTTTCCATTTGTTACCAATATCACTTAGTGTTCTTATGATAATGTCAACACAACTAACAACAAACTATAAATAGCGGAACACTTGTAAAACATTTTGACAATATTTTCCTTATTGTCACCCGCGTAGTCGCTCCGACACAGTAGAATGCAGACTCATGCTCCGTTATAATGGAATAAATTGTCACTTATCTATGGAGACCTTAAAACTTTTACTAATGTAGGTACAAAAAAATTAACGCTTTTTGCTTCCGTTTGCATGTACAGCTCTGATAGCTCAGCATAAGCTCGTGATTAAAAAATACAGCAATATGTTTTAATGGACTAAGACTGTCAACATAGATTTAAATAACTAGGTCTTGGTTTTGTCAAATTTCAAATATAAAAAAAAATAATGATTCAGTAAAAAAGTTCAATTCATTTGTGTTACTATGTTTTTAGAAATAGGACCCAATTTAAAAATTGTATGGCTTGGTGAACATACAATAATAGGTTGTTTTGATTATGGTACATAGATGTGAAAAATTAAATTAAAATCACCTTGTTCAAAATGCAACAATCCTTAAAAATAATGATAAACACAATTAAAAATGATGCACCTGAGAATAAAATAATTCGCTAAGTGCAGGTTGTAAAACATTATATTAAGTACTATGTACAATCAATCGCTTATTTGCACAATAATGATAAATAAATAACACAGATTCTCCAACAACAACAATTTAATGTTTCATCTAATATATTAATAAAATATAAAAAAAAAAATGGTCTGTGTTCTGTGACTGCCTGTGTAAATTAGGACACAAAGAACACTACATCTTAAACTAAGGTGTAGCCTATATACTGAGTTACCTCCAAATCTGTTCAGACATTTGTGTGTGGTTGAATAACAAAAATCTTTGCAGGCTCCCTCTATTCATTGTTACGGGTGCATTTATTTCGATAGCTGTTTCTTATAATTCTCAATGACACATGATACATAAACAACTGACTCATAATTTATTACTTAATAGTAGTCAAAACAAATGGCATCAACTGTACATCTATACAATCCTATAACATTATACCAGCCATGAACTGCCCACTGCTGAACATAGACCTCCCTCATGAAGAGAATTTTGCAAGTAGTAACAGCGCTAGGCTGGCAGGCTGGCAAGTGCAGTGAGGCTTTGGTGGAGGCTTTAAAAGGGACGCTACTGCCCATTCCTCAACCATTTAGTTCCCTTAATTGCCTCTTATGATACCCATGGTAAGGGTAGAGGGAAGGAAATTCTATAACATGGTAACCATTAACTATGTTATTGTACATAAATGACATTTATCTATACAATAACACTGCTTTTCTACCATGAAGCAGTTGTGTTTGCATGACTGTGTTTCAATTTGAAGGGTGGAATATGGCAGTGAATTTACACGGTATAGAGGAATAACACCTTAGTCCTCAAGAATAGCAATGCATTGTGGATATTGTGGGTGAAATAGTATACTCTGTTATATTCATACTGCTAATATCTATTGGAGACAGTTACCACTTCCCATCAAGTGGGCCATCAATTAGTTTGCCATTCTAAGTTACATAAAAAAACATTATCCCTATAGAATAATATAAAGTAATCTAATAATGCTATAACAAAGATTGTAGCCTACTTTCAAACTAGTACTTGTATTTGTTGCTGAAATTATGTAAACATTTATCAATATTATTATAAATTTATAGATGTTTTCTGTGCAGCAAGCAGATAGACATTCGCAGTGTATTTAAAACTGTATGACACCAATATTCAATTCACATATTTATTATATACATATATTTGAATAAAGTGAGAACACAACAAAATATTTTCATCATTTTAACCATTTGTTATTCAATGCTACATAGTGTGCCTCCTCTATGGATTAATAAGTAAAACAACAACAAAAATAACACAACAGTAAACAAATAATTGCTGAAATGATGAACAGATCACACTACACTCATACAACATACCCATGAGATATTTTAGAGCTGACATGTTTTGCCATAACAACACGCATGACACACTTAAATACGTCCAATTACCCTGGATAGGTATTTTCTCAATTCAGTTGCATTTTTTTTACCTTTGTTACCTCATAAATCAGTCAGTTTTAAACCAATTTGGAAAATTCTTTTTTTATTTGAAATGATATAGTAACAGTTTGGTGCTATAGAAATTTTACCAAATCAGTTAGCTAGTTTAGTTTTTAGATTAAAATAACTAGTTTTGGCATAATTGATTTTTTTTTTGTGGGACGCAATCTTTATAATGATGACAATGATAGCTGCAAATAATCAATCAGATTACAAGTACATGCAAGTAAATAGTATTGTGATAAGATAAGAACACTGGCAGCAGAACACATACAATAGGAGCCAAGAAATCATATGTGTATACACAATAGTAATTTCTTTGCATCTGTACATAGCATTATAATATTTTTTTTCATGAGTGAAAATGATATGGTAACCCTGCCTGCACTAACGGGATACGCTGGCGGAGCACCAGTGAAGGGTGATAGGTGAGAATAAAAACAGGCCAATTAACCCATCATGATGAATTCATCAGGAATTAAGCATGATAGTTTCCAGGGAGAACTGCGAGGAGGTCGACCTGGTTGGGTATATTGCTAACAGTGGGATTCTCAGTCTCCATTACTAACAATCCCTTTCCCCTGGCATTATAATATTAAAATATTATTAAGATCTGCACAATAATAACAATAGAGTGAAACAAAGTTGATTTGTACAACAGAGCTTGAAACTCAGCTTGATGTCTCGAGTCAGTCCCACTCACTGACTCCTCACAATATAAATTTTGAATCAATCGCACAGCCAAATATTAGCAGTTGTCATCTTGAAAAGGTGATTTCAATATTGAAATAAGGTAATATATAATATGGCTACTATGACATATATGTAATCAGTACAATACAGTCGCAATTAGATTGATGGAGTCATTAAGGAACCAATAAGTAACATACACACATTAACATTAAAATATTAGTGACAAATTCCAGTTTATTTACTGGTACTGCTAGTTTACACAACAATCATAACTCTGTTACAATTGCTGACAAAACCCAAGTGGCCTACCAGATAGTTTAGGTTTACACCTTTTTCATTTGTTACTTTCTGCAAAATAAATACTACTAATGCATGAAATATATTTGTATCTATTATTTTGATGATTTATGAACTTCTATAGAATATTTATTCTCTATATTTTATTCTTCAATTGTGTACATGGAAACTTTAACTGAGTTGAAAAAATTAATTGTCAGCCTTAATAATATGCCTAGGTATGGAGAACTAACAATCTGTCTGCCTAATTTGTAGTAGCATTGTTAGTTTCAACCTTGTACTGCATAGTCATTAGCTTACTTTATTTAATAATAAGAAACGGATGTTGAATGAAACACTGTGCATGTATGTATATTATACAAAACTAGAGAGAATATTATAGGTCAACTAGAACCTTATGGCCATTATGTCCAGCTTCAACAAGCAGTTTTTCGCTAGAGAGTATGCATATTTCAAGAGTATGCAGTTAAAGGAAGAAATGGAACAATACAAAGTTGCAACTTACCACTGTGTTCGGTGAATATATTGGAGCCCAGCATGCCGGGGACCCTCGGCACTCGAGGCTTGGTTCGCGCCGAGCGCATGGACGCGCCGCTCGCCGTGCCGCGCTCCTTCGCCTGCTGCGCCCCCATCGCGAGGCGCCCTTTCGCCGCAGCCCTCTACAGCGTCCCAGCGAGACCCTCCACCGCCTCCACGGCACACGACACGCCAACGATACACACTAATTCAATAAGTCCAGCGACACGTTCACGCACTCCATACTTAACGATTCAACAACGTTTTCAAGTCAATGTCAAAAAATTAAAAAGGTTTATTTTACACTATGCACATACTTTCAACTTAACACTTACTGAAAAAAACATTACCGGAATTGTTCGATTACAAAAAACAACAAAATCTCCGCCATTATGTGTCTGACTGAGACTGAGGAGAAAACTGACACGACCCGAATGATAAAGTTTGATTGACGATTGACATTAATATTTTAGTTTACAAATCCATCCAATGAGGGCAGCACTAGCCTGTGACCACAGATTAGCCAAAACTAATAAATTACAACAGATTAATAACACTGGAAAGAACTGAATGCTATAAGCCATTATTCACACTAGCGTTATTACACGACTACGACGAAGCAAAAAGAGAATTATGATTTTGAGCGGTATATATGTACGTGTGTTCATCTGTTCCTTCATAACTACTTATCATAGCAATTTTAAGACTACTAGCAATATACCCCGTCAGGTCGATCTTCACGTAGTCCACCCTGAAAATCATCGTGCTGAATTCTAGTTGTATTCATCCCAATGAGCTATCTAACCTGTCTTTTCGGAGGGGAGGGAATTGTTAGAATTGAGGACTACCAGTCCCACTGTTAGCGATATACCCGGTCAGGTCGAACCCAACGCCCTTAAAATTATCATGCTAAATTATAGATGTAATTCTATGTCTAATATCACTACGTTCGGTAGGTAGATATCGTATCCGATATTGCAAATCGGCAGATTGGGTAGCGAATTGTTTTGCATTTTACCCGTGGAGGCAGGTTTGCCCAATACGATGAGCCCGACGCCATCGCCGATGTAGTGCTTTAGAAAATTAAATAATTTATTCCTAACCCTGTGATGCCCATTGATGGGAATTCTCAGACTTGGTATGGAGCTCTTGTAGAACAGCATCTCGTCTAAGACAGAAGTGTTCCCAAGCCTGGGCCAAAGCTGTAATATCGTGTGATCCTATCATCAGTGCTCTTAAAAAGAAATACAACTCTACTTTTAGGTCCTATAAAAGAGTTATAGTCGCAGCAAAGTCAGAGCATATTGGTTGAATCGGCAAGAGATTGGCTAATCTAACTTCGGGATTGCTAACTTTCTGATCTCTTGTCAAAGCTGCACAAAAAAAGCATTATCAGTTAATATTTCCAACATTACGCAGGGAGGATAACTAATGAGTTATTGAGCTCTGTACGCTAAAGAAAAAGCCGATCTTATTGTATCTTTCCTTGTCTCTAACTCCACACCTGACATTTAAATAAATTTTCTATTCTCGATTTTTCTTTTTACTTTATGGAATCTATCATTAACCGCCAACTGCTCCGGTACCTAGAAGAGTTCCAGCTGATCTGTGATCACCAGTACTAGTTTCATCAGAGACGCTCGGTCGGTCATCTATTAATTTATTTAACACACTGAAATGAATGGTGTAGGGAACACATTAGATGGACCCGGGAACAATAGGATAAAATTTTATTTTGCGATGAGTCTCGATTTGGGTTCAAGCCTGATACTAGAAGGGTAAGAGTGTACCGTCGTCCTGAAAATACTGAAAGACTGAGGTGCGTTCAGGAAGTGCATCCATACAACGGCTCAACAGTTATGGTATGGACGGGTATTATGAAGAACAGATGAACTGAGCTTATTTTTGTAAATGGTAACATGAACGCTGTAAATTACATTGAGGATGTTCTAATGCCTTATGTCCGTCCATTCGCACAAACGCTAGGCTCCGATTTTATGTTGATGCATGACAATGTGCGCTCGTATACAGCTTTGCACACACGGAAGTACTTAGCAAAGGAAAACATCCTCGTATTGCCTTGGCCTGCACAATCGCCAGACCTCAACCCCATCGAGCATGTATGTGACATGCTCCAAAGACGTGTTTTAAAGGACTTGGATGGAGTAACAACAACCCAACAACTAATGGACTTACTAAAATTTCATTGGGAGCAATTGCACCAGAGGGAGACTGTACAAAAGTCGATTGTTTGGGTACCTCTGTCCCATTCGTGTTTCAACCGTGTAGCAGTTGTGTTTGCATGGCTGTGTTTCGGTTTGAAGGGTGGGATATGGCGTGAATTTACTGGGTACAGAGGAATAACACCTGAGTCCTCAGGAATGGCAACGCATGGGGGGCATCATGGGCAAAACAGTATACTCTGTTATGTCCATGGTACTGCTCATGTCTATAGGCGACGGTTACCACTTTCCATCAGGTGGGTCGTCAGCTTGTTTGATTTAAGAGCAAGTAATTTTATACAACTTATTGTATAAAATTACTTGCTCTTAAATTTTGTAGTGGCCTTGTTATTATTTTCGCAACAGTAAACACATTCGGTCGATGCGCACTCCATGACAATCGACGTCTAGGACGTCTGTCCTTGCAACCCCTAAATGGAGGGGGAAAAGGATTGTTAGTAATGGGCTCCAACTGTTCTCGTGCTAGTAATATACCCTATTAGCTCGAGCTCCACGCGATTGCTCGTGGAAAGCCGGTTAGTTCTTGCTGAATTCGTCACGATGGGCTAACTGACCTGGTTTCATCCTCACCTATCATCTTTCACTGGTGCCCCGCCAGTGTAACCCCCGCCCCGCTAGCGACTGCTGCAGGCGAGGCTACCATTCCATTAACATCCATTAAAAAACCCCAGGTGGATGCGGCTATTTACACACCCATCCGAATGGTTTTTAGTGGCTATTTCTATTACTATTACACGTATAATTATTAAGAGAAAATAATTAAAATGCTTAATATTGTACTTCTCTTTTATTTCATCCTCATCGGCAAGAAAATATAAAGACTGACAGAATTGTAAAACAAAAAACAATAAAAAATTAATAGAAAAATATAAAAGGCGTACTATGATGGCCAGTAATATACCACAATCAATACGTATCCAACTATAACAGATATAAATTTACATAAATGTGTGATGGAGGGAATATATTTAAAAAAATTAAATTCTATATAATCAAGCATATAATGTATTCACGCCAAGCTAATAAAAGTCACTTAAAATAAAAGCAGCATTTTTCATAATCCTGATTTGTTTATTTTTAAGGCCTGTGTTTGAGTTTGTCTTCAGATAATAAATCGCCAATGGGAGTAATGAGAAATATCAATTTTACAAGCAAAAACCTAAAGCATTTCCCTTGTATCCATGAAACTGTAATTGGAATATTCTCAGAGCTGTCGAAGTTCATAAAAAAAAAAAAGATGTTTACAATGTGTGTTTGACAATATCGATTGTCTTTCGGTAAAAAAAGTCGAGCGTCTAATGGCACGACAATAAGATTTTTCATTGAATCCCATAAAGTGTTACAATGGGAGTTCCACGTATTCTATATCATTTTTATTTTTTCATATACGTAACAATAGGATCATTTTATTATCCTCAGTGCTGAATTTAACTACTTGTCTCTCTTAATACACATATAATGTACTCGTGCTGTACAGGTGTAATGTACTTATTACAAAATAAACGAGCCTATTTGCATAGTAAGTTTGCAAATAGCTTGGCATTATAAATTTCTTTATCTACTCGATTTTTTTTTCATGTCATTGCTGTCTTCCTTCTGTAGTAACACAAGTTTCAACCATATAAAAAATGTTAAAAATATATACAAGCGATTAAAAACTATTTTTTATTAAATCATCATCATTTCAGCCATTATTCGTCCACTGCTGGACATAGGCCTTCCCCATATACCGCCATAAGGAACGGTCCTCAGCCACCTGCATCCACTGACTCCCTGCAATGCGTTTAAAGTCGTCATTCCATTTAGTGAGGAGTCATCCTACACTGCATTTGCACGTACGCGGTCGCCACTCAAGAACCTTTCTTCCCCATTGGTTGTCGGTTCTTCTAGCTATGTGACCAGCTCATTGTCACTTCAGCTTGTTTATCCTTCGGGCTATGTTGGTTACTTTGGTTCTTTTGCGGATATCCTCGTTTCGGATTCTATCATACAAAGAAACTCCGAGCATAGCCCGCTAAGTAATTTGAAGCTTTTGCATAAGTGCAGTCGTATAGGATCATGTTTCGGTTCCATAAGTCATCACTGGCAACGAGCACTGATTAAAGACCTTCGTCTTCAAACTCTGAGGTATTTTGGATGAAAAGATGTGGCGTAGTTTCCCGAACACTGCCTAGCCGAGTTGGATTCGTCAGTTGACCTCTCGGTCGAAGATGGATTTATCTATTCAGACAACTTGTCTCATATATACATACTGTTCGACAACTTCGAGCATAGTACAACATATACCAATAGTCAATCTGGCACCGCTGGAGGGACTGTAGTACTGCCCATGTCTTGACCGAATCAAAGGCTTTCTCATAGTTCATAAACGCCAGACATAATATACTCTTTAGTCTTCTGTATAATCTGCGGCAGCGTGTGTATTTTTATTAAATACAACACGTTATTTATTCGATAGTCAATAAATACACAACGCCGTATTTTTGTAAAGAAAACGTAACTATTACTTTATGAGTGTAATAATCAAATTTGAGAGTAGTGCTCGTGCAATATGATACGAGTACTTCAACTGATGAAAATAACGCAGTTTCATGTCTTGACATAGAAAAATTATTTTGGTTATTGATTAAAAATTATACGCGAGACTCTCCACTTATTCTGTAAGTTGAGAGGAAATTACAGTAGGTATTTAATTAATGAAAACCATTACGGAATGGAGTGTCGTTGAACTTTCACAGGTCTCGAAAAGGTAAAATGAATATAAAGGCATATAAGAATAATGTATAATAAATAGTATGTAATATCTCCATTATCATTGTATGTCTATATACGAGTGCATGAAATACTATTGTAGCAAGAGTTCTGAAACCTTTATACAGGGATTCTAAACTATAGCAGGAATCTCAGAGCTTTCATGACCGCTTGGTTCCCTTAGCCTCTAACCCATGCAGTGTCAGTCTGGCTGTGTACTGTTGCCGTATCTGTTCAGTTTCCTGCATCTGAATAATTGTTTGTTCGTGTTAAAAGTGTTTCAATATAAAACAAATATAGGAGACTTAATAATGATATATGTTTTGTACACTAAAGTACAAGTTTTACATGCAAAGTGAATAGAACTGAAACTCGGAAAAGACTTGCAACATAGTTGCAGTTGCTAAGTAACTTACTAAACTACATAACATATGAAAGTAAATGTAAATAAGATAAACGTTATGATTGTACAGTGTTATAATATAGGGAATTATCAAAATATTAATATGAGAGTAGTACTTCGAGACAAAATTGAAACAAAAACTGTAAGCAATGCAAGATATACTATGAAATACTATCATAGCTGTTGTAAGCATATCAAACTTTTTAAAAGAAATATTATCATTAATATATTAGGTATATAGTGTAAGATGTAGGTAGCATTATTAAAAATAATATTATTTGGCCTTTCAATATGAACAGCATCGTGGGCCTACAGTACCCTCATGCGTTGCTATCCCAGAGACTGTGAACTATGTTATATTGTATATAGTCTATGCATTTTAAAATTATAAGTAGACATTGCATAAGCAGATAAGGGAAAAGTAATCAGTCAAGCTACTTTTTGAAGTATTTGTTCCACAGTTGTTTGCCGAATTTAAAGGAAACTAGAGAATAAACGAAAAACTAAAAAGTAATATGTCTTTGTATGAAGAGATGCATTTATTTCTTTCGCTCTCACGAAAATAAATATATATTACTACTATACTATATATTACTTCTTTTACGTGTTTATTTCTTTTTCATCATATAATATTGTCCATCAATTATAGAATAAACGTAACTTTTATCAATAGTTCTTTTTCACTAAATGAAAATGAGAATGACTGATAAAATTTCGGAATTTTTGATTTTTTTTCTTTCTTTATTTATTCATTTAGGCACAGCAACAGTAATACAATTCACATTACGTTGACTATAATAAGCTTTATAACTAAGTAATTGTTTTAAAATTGTACACCGTTAATTGCTAGGCACAGCGTCAGCTTATAGCCTAAAAGTTTGAAGATTACTAGACATCGTCAGAATTTTGATGATCAGTATGTCAGTGACATATTTATAAAACTTTGCCTAGTGATATTTCGTCAATTATAAGTTACAATTATCGGGTGACAATATAGCCTGCTACAGCATGTCCTCTTGATCACTAAAAATTCAAACTTCTTGCCATAAATTGCATTAAAAATCCACAATAAAATTAAAGAGGCTTAAAATCGCTTCGAGAATAGGTTGGCACGGTACGAGCGCTCGACTCGGCGATAGCACTGCTGTAGCTCGATAAAATGATAGTATAAGGTAGGGGGAAGCACAATAGACTCCGACGGGTCGACCTGCAGCAGCTTAGATAGGCAAATTTAAGATAACCTACGAGTACATCAGATACATAAGAATGTAGCACAGGTACTTGGTGTAGTACTTATATTGTGATATTCAGCCAGGACACTTTATGTTGTGAGAAGCCAGACTGTGAACATCGGAGGGCACAGCCTAGAACAATTTCAATTTAAAAAAAGCTTTTTTACTACATTGACCACCTAATAAAGCCGTCAAGTCGAAGACATCGAAAACATTCTTAAAAAGGTAGAATTATTATTCTGCAGCTTTGCCTATAGCAATTTCCGTTTGATTTTGAGTAAATACCGAATATTTGGTTTACCTGTTTACCACTAATTCAGTTAAATCCGTTCAGATGTTAAGCCAGACTGGAAAATGTACTCGTAGAAACATTTTTACATATTTATAATGAGCAGGATTACAGTAATCGTTTAGTTTTTTTTTTTTTCTTTACTAGGAAAACGTGTCGACGTCCTATCTAGTAGGAAGTGGCTGCAGCCGCTCGTAATGCAAGGCACGTCACAAGTGCGTTACCGAAGTTCTTCGAAGAGCACCAGTTACAACACATTAATAATACTCGGTATTTGTTTGAAGTGATAATTTATTTGTTCAACAACATTTTTTATAAAACCAAAATATTTACTACGTCACAAGTTGTTCGATGCTTAGCTACTTATTTATTGCAATAACTACTACTTATTTAATAATATTAAAAACACAATATAGACTTTATTACATCTGCAAATTCTGCAGCTAAACAAGTCTACGCGGGCTATGCGATCACTTAACCATAAATTGTGGTTTCTCATTATTGCTCGAATGAGGAACTTTTGTTATAACGCGCCCAGTACACGATCAATCATCAATAGTAATCTCCATAAACTACCTGTACATGTTATAGGATTTAAATAGCAGGAAACTTCGTGCATACTAGTATGACTACCTCTGTTCCCTACGTGGACCACCAAGTGACGTGCTCGGATCTGGCGGATTCTGTTTGATTGCCACTGATTGACTGGTTGTAAGGCAAGAGACGTTGTCGTAAGATCAAGACGAGGCCAGTTATTGTGTGTGATTATACCCGACCGGCCATATGCGACTGATGTGATGGTAATGATTGATCGTCTAACGAACACTAGTCTGCGGCCCTACTGACCGGCACATAGTGCACCTTGTCTCTATCAAAATGAATTAATTAACTTTGTTCACACATAAGTTTCTACGTCCTTATCTGGCAGTTTACAATTTGTATTTTTTTATCAGAGAAAATGCAGCTCTGTGAGGACCGATGGCTTTCGATCCTACAGGCTGGCGCCTGCGCAGGCGGGGGACCTTTTATTGGCGGAGAAGAAAATTCCTCGTTGCACTGTACCGCCGAGACTTGCCACTGGCCGTAGTTATTACTAACGCACAGACAAAAAAGTCAAAAGTATCTCGAAATCTTCGAAAAGTAAAGTACGTCCCCCGTCTGCAAGGTTCTAGTAAGAAAAAAATAGACGTGGTTGGCTACATAAATAATAATAATAATTTAACAACAATACTTACAGCTAAATGTACCTAAACAAAACAATATAATCTGTTATAAACAACAAAGTAATCGCATGACTTAATTCCACAATTTGTACTAACGTTCCACTGCTCACTAACAATCCTACATGATTATTATCCACGAATTGTAATGTGCAATTCGTCGACATCAGGCGGGAACAGTACTGCAGCGCTTATAGTAAAATAATTAATGATTAATTAATGGTACCGATAATTATTGGATGCGCGCTCAGAAGGCGATGTTAGCATCAAGCGACCACATACAACATGAACAAAACCATAGACAACGGAGTTACTGGTGCTGTGACATGGCCAATGTTCGACAATGCAACGTCGGAATTACCAACATTCATAAGACGATTGTTTTCTATAGATGCAGCATTGTAACATAAGATGTTACTATAAGCGTTGTAGTGCTGTAAGTAGGTACGAACTATACGTAGCGTTTGTAAACATCACTTAAAATTAGTGAAAAAAAAATTATAAGTAAGTCTAGTGGGCACATTGTGTCAATCACTACATGAACAAATCTAAGTTCCAGGGGCACAGTTTTGTAGCATCGACATTTTATGTGGCAATGACCTGCACACGTGCGTCGGTACGTGCATATACAAGCACGACTGCAAAACAAACAACAGCCTATTGTATGCTTTCATATAATAATACAGTAACATAGCCATAACAAAGTACAAAATTAAATCATATAAATACAAATTGTTCAGTACGCCTTCGTGGGCGTAGAAAAAGAAAGAGCCCACATATAAATTTAGAAACAACATTGCAAAGTATTATGTTTATAGGATTTATCCACAGTAAACTAGTTATGTGGACAGAGTTCAACGCTCTCAAGCCGCGAATTATTTTACTACGACGTATGAGCAAACCTCGCGCGCTGACACATGCGTGGCACAATTTATACATTTTATTCGAAAAATTCTTTCAAATGCTAGATATAAATAGTATTTAGGTTCTTTTAATTAATTGAAATTATTATATATTTATGTCAACAAAAAATCTGAAACTGAAGTACTAAAATAATATAAGTAGATAAAGTAGTAGAGTGCTAGTGTATAGCACGAGCTTGTGATGCGACGCTTGTGATCGTGTTCATGATATGTTCAATGGTATTGCTACGTCGTGTTTCTCCTTAAAAACTAATCTGAGCATGTATAATACTGCTGATCAATGCTTTTTCACGGGGAAATAATCGCTGCGAGTGATCGAGCGGTTGCTGACGCGATACGGTGCGGTGCGGTGCGATGCGGCGCGGTGCGGCGTGGCCGACGTGGTTCGCTCGTTACAGCTCAGTATGATCACCATCAGTTGCATCGTCTATATAGTCACAATCCCTCTGCTCGCATGTATTTCTTCTATGTATTTACTACTGAAACTTCTAGATAATTCTACGTTCTAAATAAATGTTTCTTTGGCACCTTTCCTTTGGCTCGCAACCGTAAAAACAAAGACCTGGGGCACTCTTGCGAACATAGAAATAAAATAGCCATATCTATATTAAAAAGGCTAACTTATATGATATAATGAACTTAGGAACAATATTGCATTGTTTTTAATAATGAACTAACAAAGTATCACTTGTTGAGAATGGTGTCAACAATCTGCCGCAAATGCAACTCGTTGCGAAACAATTTATCCAAATAAAAATGCATTCGTTACTGAATTGACCTTTTAAAAGTAAGTAGGCTGACATGGCACGCCGCGCGTGTCCATTACATTAATGACTTAATTAATTTAAAATAAAAATAAAATAAAATTATAAAATACGATAGCAAGAGTGCCGTACTTAAGTGTTTGGTAACATTTTCATCGCAGCTTGAGCAAAGTGCTGCGCGATGCTGGCACAATCCGCGAGGGATCGTAACAGGGGCCACTACTAACTACCGCACTGTGCCCTAAAGAGCAATCACTACTATTGTTGTTACGTGCCTGAGGCCCTATGTAAAATTGAAGTAGGTATTTACGTGTACAGTTCGCGGCAAAAAACTTCCACGGCACCAATGAAGCATGCGCATTAAACGCTTTTCCATGAAAAACTGCTCTTGCGCACATCGAACGGCACTAAAACCGTACTCGAGTTATTTGCCCAAACTGTACTTTTTAAATTTTTACAGCTATAAGCTACGTTAAACGCATACCACACAGCTTTCCGCATTATATGCTAAATAGATTTTTATCTTATCAAATAATTTAAGTACATATTAGTATCCAGAAAATAGATATTATATAGAAAGACAAAATAGGAAAGAGCGTGTTTAACACATAAACTCTCCCTTATCACATATAGTTATATTGCTGTGCTCCGGCGCGCTCCCCCGCGCCCCCCGCGCCCCCCGGTCGCACGGTACAGGTGGCGCCGCAGTCGCGGCCGCCGTACACACGCCATACGTACATTATCAAATGTTACGACACCAAGTAACATGTCTGGACTCGGAATCTGCGCCTAGACAACTTATCGCTACGGATCTGATACAGTTATTCTGCGGGATGTATGTAGCCGATGCTCGAGTGAGAGTCTGTTCTACTAAATTGCGCAGACTCAATGTGATGATGTACGAATACATGTAACTATGCCTGCAGGGGCCGCCTGCTGTTGCGCGTTGACATTGTGACGAAGCGACCGGCGCACCGCCTCCTCGCGGCGTCACCTGTACTCCAACTAGCCAGTTTGGATATGAGCTTATATGAGCGTAGAATACATAATACAATAATATACATATATAGTCTACTCGGTCGGTGGATAAAACAATAACAAATCTGTCTTTTATTCAATATTGATTATTTAGTTGCAACATTCTGTAAGAATGTCTGGACGACCCGAGGACATTCCGATAACATTACGTGTGTGTACAAGCTTTATTACCATTATTTAACACGAACAGACATACCTAGTATGTAATTTTAAATATAGTCCTATTAAAAATATTGTGGACATTCTACGGTGATTGTAACAACACGCGAATAGTTCCTATATTATAGAAATCTTCTAATATTTAATTATTATCATCAAAATAGACAATTCATTTGAAATATTATTAATAAAATAGATTATAAACCACTTTTTTTTTTTACTTAATATGCTATGAAACATAAGTACTTTCATTCCATTATGTTGGAATTCAGCACCGGGTCAGTGCCTCCAATTGTTATTTATCTGTTTTGTTATTTCAAATGTTTAAGTACAACAGGCACGAGCCCTGACTCCATGTTAATTGAGGTGCGCCGATGGTAAGTACAGTGGTTGAGTGGCTCTGAGGCTGTAGTCCACGTATGTGGTACGCGGTGTGGTCGCTGCTGTACTGCAGGGCTCAGTACGACGCGGGAGTGACTCCTCACCGTACTGAAGGCGCGTGAGTACCAGTGCGCGTTGCTGCGTTGTGCTACAGGCGAGTACAGTGCGCAGGCAGCCGTCAGCACGCCCGCAGTGGCCGCGGCCCGCCCCGCCCCGCCCCGCCCCTCCCCGGCCCCGGCCCCGGCTCCGCTTTAGCCGGGGAGCGGCGCCTCCTCGTAGAAGTCGGGCTCATCGTCCTTGTCTATCTCTTTTTGTGCACCGTCCAACTGTCAATTTTAATACAACTCATTACAAAGTGCAACAAACACTGACGGCATAATGTTTTTGACAAATTTTAAAGAACCAGGAGGAGCCAAGTATTATAATTATGATGGTCATCAGGTCGGTATTTATATTTTAAACTGTGTTTCACTCCCAATAGTTACTTATTCTTTGAAATGAAAGTGATAGGTGCAACGCGTCATTTACTACCAAAGGGAGGGTGAGAAAAGCGTGTGCTCGCTTGCTGAGTGGGCGCTACCTTAGGAACATGGTTATACTCTGTTACGGTATACTACTCTGATAGGTGCTGATATAACATAATAACCCATGTTTCGACAAGTAGCCGTGTGCTGCGATTGGAATAGCTATTAAAATCATACCGGCACGCTCGATTGCCACTCTGAGTAGAGTAGTGCAACTAACCGCGCGCAGTTGCAGCGGCGTGAAGATATAGGCGAGCGAGAGCCGCAGCGGCACCATCATGACGAGGAAGAAGGGCAGCGCGAGCGAGACCCGCGACGACTTGATCGCGTACAGCAGGGCCAGCCCGGCCGCCTGGATCAGCGTGAACAGGTGCATCTTCATCGTCGGCACCTGCAAACGGCCACGTGCACACATCAACAACGCCATTCGTGTGCTATTAGAATATTGCCCTACATCATATTTAATTATGAAGCCTTCAAGTTCCCAAAATTTTACAAAAAGTATGTTTTCTATGTAATTAGAATATCTTGGCCGTGTGGCCCCGGCATAGAAAGCGCCATTTCTTCCTTTCCCATGGGTGTCGTAAGAGGCGACTAAAGGCGAAGGAGGGGCGACCGCCGATGGGCAGCAGCGTCCCTCTTAAAACATGTCTAAAGCCTATCTATGGTTGCCACTCTACTTGGCAAGCATAGCAACTACTGGCAAAACCCTTCAAGAGGGAGGCTTTGTTCAACAGTGGATAATTGAAAGCTGATATAATATCAGGTTCCCCATGTAACTATAATATCTGGAATATTTACTGAAGCTAACACTGTCTCTCAGCGCGATCATAGAGCCAAGTTACACTACACCACCACTGCATCGTCGTATTGCCTTGCCGTGGCTACATATCTGGCTTCTTTGAGCTACGACATCCAATTATTATTAAACTTAACATAGCTTATTCTCATTATTGTGATATGATAAACGTATAATGGGAATGGTAAATGGCATTGCTATTGATAAAGCTATATAGTAAGTTGAACAGTTGTACTGACCCTCCTCACATAAGGCACCTGCGGGTGGTGCTTGACAGGCTTAAACAGTAAGATGCAGCGATCCCAGAACTGTATGCCGCCGAGGGCGGAGATGCCCATGTAGAGGAACACGCCGAACAGCACGGCCATCGGCACCAGCCGCAGCCAGTTGGACGCCAGCACCGATATGCCCACCAGGACGGCCACCAGCAGCCCCGTTAGTCGTTGTTCTAAAATTCAAATTCGAAACATATTTATTCAAATACACTTGTTGCCAGCACTTTTAAATTGTCACTTTTTATGAATTTGCTACAAGATTCGAAAAGTTGTTATCTGCTGAGAAGAATCCGTAAAGAACTTAATGGTCAGTGGATATATATACATATGTATTTGTCACGCCTATCTCCCATTAGGGTAGGCAGAACGGTTACTCCTTAAAATTTTTGTTATAATAAGTAGTACACATATATTTATTTAAATGCACTTCATCTAAACTTACAAGGTCATTAAAAAGCACGTGCATAATCGACTTACATCATGCACGCTTCTCATTCAAGTAATCGTTTAGTGTGTAGCAGGCAATATATGTTTTTAATAACGTTTTTATAATACACATATGCATCAACCGGCCTAATCTCCGGCCTAAAATCAGTCGTGAAATGATAACGACTATTAAAATCTTTATTGATACAATTCATCACAATTTCCCAAATTTATTACTTCTCTATTAATATTATGAAGTTTATGGAGTCTGTAAGCCAAACTTTAGACAAATTTAAATATAGAAACAATTTGACTCGTACTTTAATATCGATAAATACTTTTAAAATAACATGAAATATAGAATTTTGAGTACAATTTTGAATTTATTGGTGATATAGTATACCTTGTCTTTTATAAGTCGAGGACTTTAGAATTATTGTGGACCTTCTATGACTACTGTTGTGAACAATAGCTGGCATATACAATAGTATATATGTAAATAATAGACAAAAGTAATCGATTAGGCTAAAATTAAAACTATATAGATACACTGTACAGTGAGTACACCGCGGCTTGGCTTATACGCGACTGCATTCCATATTACCTTCCTGATTCTAATAATATCTGCGACTTCGAATTTTATGTATGTTACACTCGTATTGTATTGTAACAAACATAGCTAATTAATTTTTCGGAATCTTTCCACGCGGCCGCACGGCCGTATCACTTGGTTTCGAGGGCGAGCTATCTACGAGTATCGCGAGTTTATTCACCGGGCGCACAACAAGTTACGAAAAAATAATAACAACAAAGCTAATGAAAAATATTTCTATCCTAATTAAAGTATTGTACATTGTAGCATTATTATATATTGTTTATTATTTTATATTGTTATTATGCTAAGTACTAAGAAGGACTGATGCCAGCCACTCGTCAATCGTCCCTCTTAAAAGTCAACACCTTGGGTCATATGGATAAAAACATTATGCCAACCTCAAAATGTATATAATTGAGACAAGAGTAGGACAGATAGCTCCATCATGTTTAACTATTATCAAGTATAGGTACACTAAATATAGACTATTACGAGTATATAATACTAAAGTTATAAAAACAAATTGTACAAAAAATAACTATTGTATACATATATTATTATAAAGAAGTGGAAACCGGTCAAGAAATAAAAACGTATCTAATAATAATTGATGGAAGAGTACAAGTGTTTTTATAGCGGCCGCACCGATGTAGCGAGTGACGACTGTCCATATACATATTTATTACGATAACGATTTTTTATTTATAATAATTAACAAGTGGGACGCACTAGGCAAAGGTCTTCGTAAAATTTCGTCTGCTTTACCTACTTTATACAATAATGAGGTGTCACAATTGCCGACCACGGAATTCAGTACTTTACACAACGGCCGATACATTTACAACGATGCCCTTTGCACTTGTATACAAATTGGCGCCGACAAAGGGTCACGATATCTACTCGTGCCAATAGGTACCTATTGGAAGCCCCCTGCTTCCAATGCAGTACGGGCCTATAAGAGAAGAACCCAGCTGTCGCACGCATTAACACGGTCGCATAGGCACATAACATGTAGGAACACCGCAAGGGTAGATAATAATATTTTTGAATGCCTATTAATTAGACTCGATTGACAATTTAGGGTCAAATATAGACACACAAGGTAAATGCAGTTGCGATACTCCTTGAAGTCGATATTATATTATAATAAACAATTGCAAATTATTAATACGTAGTTGTAGGTTACCTTTGACCTCGACGATGTGGGGCTTGTCGCCGGGCGCGTGCGTGGTGGACATAACGGTGAGCGCGGACACGTGGCTGACGGAGCGCACGGTGGCCACGCACTGCCACGGCGCGCCGAACATGCCGCACAGCGCGTTCACCAGCGACATTATCACGATGTCCATGTGGAACCCGCTGCCCTTCTTCAGCCCGCGCTCGGGCTTGTCCACGATCAGCCTGCAGGCCGATATTAGTGTCAACCACGCGCACGCCACTATATTATAACGAGTACTTCGCATTCGCAGCGTATCACATTACAAACAGTTCGCAAACGCAGAAGGAACCGTATGGATGAGTACTCATCGAGATTTAGATAATGGCTTGTGGTCTTACTCGGCGATGTGCGTTTCCATGAAGACGATGATGTAGACCATGAGAGCGGGCAGCACCATGGCGAGCGACGCCCACAGCGGGATGGTGGCGAGGCCCGGGTTGAGCGGCACGAACCAGGAGCGCGGCGCGGTGGGGCTGAGGCCGGCGGGCACGCGCAGTGTCTCCGTCCACACGGGCACCACGCACGACACGCCCACCATAAGCACGATCGCGATCGGCACGCCGAAGTCGCCGAGCGCGCGTCGAGCCTGCACCGCGCAACATGCACAACAACCGCTCACTCACTTGTTCACTCCTTATTGCAATGAAGGTCACTTCATTCAAAATAAAACACGTGTCAACGAGTTTTATTTTTAATACATACACTGTATACATAATAGAGAAGAGTAATTTAAACAGTTTGACTGCAGTTTTATGTAGTTTTTTCAAAGTTTTACCGTTGTAAGATAAAACGTACGAATTTTGACCGCAATTACAAATCCTATTGTTAATAATAATAACAGCGAAACCGCGACATACATATGTAATAAATTATAAATATTCTACTTACGCTACGGCCGAGGAATTTTCCATTTCGGAAGATGCGGAGATAGTAAGCAATGATGAAGGTACTAAGTGTCAGCATGGTGCAGAAAAGCGCGGTGTTGGGCTGCGGCGGCATATGGCCCGCCTTCGCCGGCGCCGCCGCCCGCGGCAACGTCGCGTTGCTCTCTGTAGCACAGGTAATACCAAATGTACCCACTAAATAACTGTATTCTGCACACAGGAAATCTATCCCTGTACGGTAGTTTTCCATTATAAATTTCATATCGTGTTGTCTGTATACATGCTGACTAATCAATAATTATATGAAACCGTAAAATGTTCCTGGGCATCGTGAAAGAGTATTTAGACATCCGTAGTACTGTGCCAATGACGTCTACTTACATAAATCGTCTCTATAAGGTTGCATATTTTAAGAAATTTTAACTGTTTTTTTTATTTTATTTTTTTATTTAACACACGATTGCCGTATACAGCTTAATATACTCAGCTAATAGAGTCCCTGGAACAGCATATACGCATAAGGCGAGTTATGAGAGTGGATGAAATAAGCATGCGTGTAAGTGTGTGATTGTAAGACTTTATATCCCTGGGTAGACAGGAAGAATCGAGTCTTTCTATCTACCCAGCGACGAGACTTAGCGTAAAGATAGGTAGAAATATATATATATAGAAAGATATACGCCACTCTAAGCCTCTTCTGGCTCGTTATTCCTCAATTGTAGTTCCGCGTTGTATAATGTCAATGTTACCTAATAAAGTTCCGTTTATAGACAGGTCTGGCACAGGTGTGGAATCCACTACTGAAACATTGTTGTATTGGCAATAGTCGACGCCGAGTGGGTGCGAGCGGTACACGTTGATCGTGCTCGTTATTGGTTCGGAGATGAAGATCAATGAGATCAGGAAAGCGAAAATGTCTTCTGTGAATCTGTAATTTAAACAAGTAAATAAGGTTAAACATGATTGTTCGCGCATTTTAATATATAGGTACAACATAACAATAAAAGACCTTGTGATTTTTTTGACAGCAACACTGCCCTCGATGGAAGCAACGCACAGCGCGATGATAATCATCCAGAGGCCGCAGTACATGCGTGCTGCTAGAAAGTCGAACCCGTACGAGTGGCAGAAGTTGGCGAGCGACTCATCGAGCAGCAACAGTGGACCGGTCGCGCCGGTGATCATCAACGGCTGTCCGGACAATAGCCCGAACACTAAACCGCCCACACATGTAAATACCTACAAACACGATCTACGTGAATACATTTCTTGATCGAAATCACAATGCTCATGTTCACACCAAATTATTTGTTGTCAGTATACTAACCAATGTTTCTGATATTCCAATTGCGCCATAAGTTTTATCGGCTAGCAAGCCGCCAAACGTGATGGCAGAGGACAGTGCGGCAAAGTACATGAAGATGGTAGCTGCCGCGCACTGACCGTTTAGAGCATCGATAAAATCTGATTTGTAGTATGGGTAGCGACGTTTGATATCACGGATCACACCTGTGTATATCAAATTTATGTTTAAATGTATTGTCCACCACGTGCATTCACAAAAAAAAGAAAAGAAAAAATATTGAAATACTCACCTCCAAAAAGTCGACCCGTCCTTGAGAGTGGATCATCAGGTTCTTTAGGAGGGGAGCCCTTCTCAGCTTCGATTAGAGCTTTCTTCTCATCGGAGGCGGGAGTTTCTACTTCGCTGGCGGCACGTTTCTTTTCTAAAGCATTTTGTTTGCGTCGCCGTATCATTTGGCTCTTTGCTTTTAGTTCGTCTATGGGTAACAATGCCTGCCTCTCCCAGTCACCGGGAGGCAATACTATCGAGTCATCCAAAAACTCGTTGATAGCGGATAACAACTCTCGTCGGTCGTCAGCTTTGTATGCTATCGAATGGAATGATGGGTTCGACATTAGCGTCGAAATGGAGCGACCTACTTCGTGGTAATCGAGATCAGCCCCACTCGGTCCCAGAAGAATGAACATAAATCGCACCGGAATAGGTACTTCTGTTATAGATGGCATAAGAATTCCTTGGGCGAGTCGCACGAATGCAATAGTAGGTTGATCCAGAAAACCGACGGCACCGACGAGTACGGTGGTAGCTTCGGCGTCTTCTGGAATACGTTTCCTGATTGAGTCATTGGCTCGGCGCAGCTCGTCCTGCGAACCGTCGGCCAGTGCCACTGCGGTTAAGTACTCGACCTCACGCAGATCCGCGCCCCCCATTGACGTTTTCTTCTGGAGAGTGGCCGCCGGCAGCGCGTACGAGCTGCGACGTCGTCGATGCTCCGCCAAATTCTGTACACACAAATATAACTCCGCTGTTACTTAAATCGAGACGACGTGGTATAAATTACCATGCATTAAAATTGTTTACGTTACCTTAACTTCTGTTAAACGTTCCACAACATAAATTAAAATGCTATAATTTTCAAATTCAAACAAAATTTTGCAGAAAAACCGAACCAATAGTTAGATAACACAGAAATCTACTGCTATGGAAGGTATAGTAGAGGTAAATGTCTTATGGTTTATAACAAACAGGAGTTAACACCATCATTTAGGTAAACTATCACTTTACCTAAATTATCTTGTGGTCTCGACCAGGCCACACCGACCGTGGCTTACCGGAATGATTACGTTAATTCCTATTTTTTATAAACCACAACACATGCAGTGCAAAAGACTAAAAGGTCATAAGATATGTCATCGGCAAATCATGTGATTAATTTGTATGCAGTATTTGTGAAATGACGGAATTATATAAAATGCCGACGACGTGGGAGGCGTAGATATGATAAAATGTTTTCATTCATTCTTCATGATAAGTGACTTTCATCACAAATCAGCGAATGATATCTGCAGCTGCAAAAATAGCAACATAAGTCGAAAAAAATAACAATGAAAAACATAATGTTCATTAATAAAAACTTATATATTCCAATTACCGTGCTACGCTTGTTACATGAGGCGTTTATTAATTGGAACTCAGCGGTCACTCTATGGCAAACGAACAGAACTCGCTCCAAAAACTAACATCACTAGGATCTACGACGTGATTGCAAATACATATCTATGTTCTAAGCGAGAAGAAAACCTAAACAACAGAGCAAACGGGATGATGACCGCTGTCGGCGCGATGCAGAAATGTAATTACGATGAGTGGATGGCCGCTACAGCTACAGCTACAGCTACAGCGTTTGATTGTCGATAAGGAGCGGTGACGAGTGACTGGTGGCGGGTGGCGAGCGCAATGATTCGAGTATGGACAGTAGTGTTCCGTACGAGCAGGTGCGTGCTGTGGCGGCGGCACGTGGACGTGGCCGAGCACAGCGAGCAGCGCGCGCGGCCCGCGCCCAGCGCGCCCGCGCCGTCCTCCAGCCACAGCGACTGCGCACACACCACACCACACCACACCTCACTTCGCAACCACGCGCACCGACAGTGACCGCCGCCCCACCCCACCCTCCCCTCTAATGCTATACACGCCTGAATACACCTGGCCTATACCTTCTTATTTGTTATTTATTTAGCGAATTTAAAACAAGTCACCATCATAATTTCTTTCACTTAGTGTTATTTGATTTTATGGTACCAATAACCCTAAATATAATATATTGCTTGCGCTTACTTTGATACCACCACTGACATTTTCATTGCTTGTAATTATAAAAAGCTGGCGGCCTATTAAGCGGAAACCCTTATCGCATGGTGCCTCTCGTGACGACTACGGCTTGTAGTTTTTTGATTAATTAATTATCCACATTTAAATATAGTTTTCAAGCGGCAGTTTATCAATTCTGACGCTGAGTTATTACTAGGTATGTAATTCCTCTATAGATATTAGCCAAGAGAAAATTACATATGGCAAAAATAAACATAAAGATCAGTATGGACAGGCGCAAGAGAATTTTAAATGTATGCTAAATGTTACTACGCCCCGATATATAAATAACCTTCGACAATTTTCTGTGAATACTTAGTGACATTACTCGTATTTTTCTTTTACATTTCTATAATGGTCGGTACGAAGTATTTATTATTTATATTCAATCGTACTACGAGTTTAATTCGAGGTTTCGAGGGACTGTAGTAGTGTGTAGCTGTGACCACAGCCAGCAGCGATCCGCACTCGACACGGTTTGCTTACGTCACGTGCGTCATTAGCAGCCTGTCATCACTTCAGCCAAATAAAATGTCGATGTTGTTCGCCAACTTACACTCTCCTGTCCATGATATACAAATATTCGTATCGTGGAAAGATGTCTACAAGGGCAACATTTCAAACAATTGTCTGTTATAATGCAATGTAGCAGTCATCATCTGTAAAATCAACAAACTGGGGCAACAAGATCGAAAACTATGGATTTTTTTAAACGAGGTCATATCCTGAAAAATCTGATAACAGACTATGGACAGATGGCAACTCTACTTTTAGTTGATATAAAATATCTTGAAATAGTGATCAAACAAATAGCATACCACTTGAAAAGCAGTAATCGTCATCTGTTATATTAAAACTAAATTTAACTTTGCTTCCCCGAAACCAATATTAAATTTTCGTACCCAGTAGCTTTAGTGTTGCAGTGCTAAGCAGGTGGAAACGTTTTTCGACTCCATTTTCTAGATATTTCGTCATAATATACTAGGACATATGAACGGGCAGCGAAAAACAAAAAGTATACCTGTAAACTGGTGTAGGAGGAGTGTTTGCGACCGGTGATGGAGAAGCGGAACCCTAAGCGCTCGTCTACGTGCCTGTGGCGCAGCAACAGCGACCGCATTACCACCGGCTTGTCGTCCTCCTCAATGAGTTCTTCTGATACCATGCTTTCTACCACCCTGTGGTTACAATCAAATCATTTTTAAATAATGTACCTATCATACATATAATTAGTGATACTATATCATACGACCTACCTGATGGTCAGTAGCCATCACAGCGCATAAACGCTTGCAACACTAAAAGCCACATTCTCCCATATGACGCGAAGACTTAAAGTCACAAAGCACTAATATCATCGTCCTTTAAATTGAAATGACACAAAACATGGAAGAAAGCTACGTCGATAGAATTTATAGGTGAAGTAAACTTGTCAAGGGAAACAGCGTTGCACTCGTACGTCAAAATTCAATAAACTTAATTTATTGCGAATAAACTTTTGCGAATAGTTAGCTTGTAGATGAATCTTTGATAAAACATTGCAAATATGGAGGTAGGAGCAAGTGACCGCACCTGTACGCGACTCCGGGGAGGTCCTTCTCGTTGAGGTCGAGCAAAACGACACCAGTTTCGAGGCACCGCCGCAGGTTCAGTAGCGAGTGGAAGGAGAGGCTGGCGACGTGCGGTCGGCCCCACCTGGCGGACCCCTCCTCCACGTCCTCCTCATACTTGATCCAGCGGGCCGTTTCCTTCCACTCGGCATCCCCTTGTTCAGTCTCCAGCAGCTCGTCCAATTGTACGAAAACCTGTGCGTAAAAGCTTTTTTTAAAAAGTTTCCCTTTGCAATTATATAGTAGTGTTAAACAATATTCTAGTATGGTAACAGTATAATGTGCCGTAACTCCATTTAATCCCCATAGTACGATAAGAGGCGGCCACGGAAGAAAAAGCTAATAAACTGATATAAAAGATAAAGTAAACTGTAGCCTATAATAATGCTTACCAAATGGAGAGAGACCAGGGCCAGTAGCGCGACTAGTAGCGGGCTCATAATCGAATGGTGATCGTTTTTAAAGGATTTTATTCTAAAAATTTAAAACCACTTTATGACAATGTTGCTTACCGAATGTGGACTGTGGTCATACATTTTCTTATATGTGGAGTCTGGTAATATAGTTTGAACCTTATCGCCGCCATCCTTACGGCCCACGTGCACCGTTGAACCCTACGAACAACGCCTCCTATTACTAAATCGTCTCGCATGCTCTCGTAAAGTAAACAAAATAATAAGCTCGCTGCTTTTATTGAGTTTATATTAAAACTAGAATATTTTACCTTGGAGAATGCTATATGAAGATTCAAGGGACGCAACATCGCGTACTTGCAACAACCTCACTACAACTAAATAAAAGATATCGTAAGTGGCAACGGCATCGAGATACAATTGAAACAAATTAACTGCGTGTAATTCCACTTTGTTGCAATATAAATATCTCGCCGCTCTCCGCTAAATCAATCAACCGAAGGATCTCTATGATATATGAAGTCGTTAGGTAACAAATATAATCACTCTACTAGATACAGCGTGTACGAACAGGGAATACTGACAAAACAATCGCTCACATAGAGAACACTACTGTATCATATGCTACGTAAGCAGCACGACACGACCACCTGGTCTGGCCAACAGACTAAAGTTCTAACATAACTAACTTTGTGCGGTTGTATCCTGTGCCTGCGGAGAGCTCGCGGGTCGTCACTGCGATGGCTGTGCAGATCATCGCGGTCGACCTCCGGCAGCGGCTCCTCGCCCGGCGCGATGGACACCCTCCGCTGACCGCCGCCTCCGCCGCCGCCGCCGTAGCCACCGCCGCCGCTCGAGTCCGCATTACCCGAGTCGGCACTGCCAGGGACCGCGCGGCCTCCCTCCTGCAGAGAGTACTTGCGGGGCTTGTGCGTGTGCAGGTGACGCCTGGATGTTAAATCATAAATACAATTTGTAACATAATATCATTACATACCGTGTGTCCCAGCATAGAATAGCCCGCCCCTTCCTATCCTGTGGGTGTCGTAAGAGGCGGCTAAGGAAAAGCGAGGGGTGGGCAGCAGCGTCCCTCTTAAAACATCTCCAAAGTCTAACTGCGGTTGCCAACCCGCCTGGAAGCGTGGAACTACTGGCAAATCCCCCTAAGGGAGAGGCTTATGTTCAGCAGTGAATCATTACAGAATAATATTTTAAGCACATAGTCCACCGTGAAATTTAAAAAGTCCCATGATCACTGCAACTTAGACTGGAACGCGATTATAAAATCATTCATAATATTATTTATGTAAAAGTGGTAGTTACCACTATGCATCGAGCGGTCTATCAACAAAAAATAAGATCGAGATTGTAAGTCGAGTGTTCTTCTTGTCCTTATCCATTTTTGAGATGTTTGTATCATATATTATTTTCTTGAAGAGTCTACCGCTGGTGATGACAGTGTATTACCTATTTGAATTTATTGATAAAAAGATTGCAGTGAACGAGGATTACGTACGGAGTTTTCGAAAGGGTAACTTAATACGGATCTAGATCCAACCAGTTGTTATCTCTGCAAGTTGCTCTAGCTAGAATTATAAAAGAATGATGAAGCTTGTCGCCGACGTCAGTAAACACCTTCTTCTTTAAAACTACGCAACGGATTTTGATGCCATTTTTTAATAGATAGAGTGATTCAAGAGGAAGGTTTATATGTATATAATACATGCATATTATTGTTGAAAAACACTGATAATTTTAGAGGTTTCTAATGTGATCGATACCACGACGTCTATTTACGACTAAATAAACACATTTTTTGCGCTTACATTGCAAACGCTGGCTGGCTGAAGCCTCAAAGATCAAAATAATACTACAATATTATACAATTTAATAAGGTATCCAAAAAAGTCCGCGATGATATATGTATGTCTATCTCTCAGAGATAACCTGCAATAACCATTTTTTATCCTTTACTTTTTACAAGAAATAACGGCTTATCTACGAAACGATTTTAAGTAATACAACGTAATACCTTATCCAATCAAGTACCTTAAATACATTGTGCATTTAATATAGATCAATATAGACCAATCCCTCTATAGCATGCCATTTAAATGAATATTTTCGAATATTTAAAATACAGGGACATAACGATTGAGGCGGTATCGACCGGGGGGCCGGCGGCTTTATTTAGTATCAACATTGCACCCGTGCGAAGCCGGGACGGGTCGCTAGTGATAAATAAAACAAAATACGAAAGTAGAACGCAAGAAAGTATCATCGGAATTGGATTTTTTTTAGAGATGAATTTATAAATGTGAACGGTTAAAGTGAGGGAGATTTTGAGGTGTGTATATTTAGGAGCGATAAGCTGTTCTCTTTGATGATACGATGAGAAACCTGGAGAGAACACGTGCACGAGTATTGTGGCGGCTGCGGTCGTGGGGCGCGGCCTGGTGCGCCGCACCGCACCGCACGCACATACGACACCTTGCATACGCGACTGAGTTACGATATATCGGCACATAATGTTTGAGAGTCGCTCCAGTGAGATATTCGAATTACAGGATAAATCAATTTCCAATCCGACCTTCGCTTGATAAAGACATTTGCCCGTATCAATCGAGTTTGCCCATCCTGTATTTCATTTTACTCGCACGTAACGTTAGGAATTTTAATTTTAACACATCCGAGTTGGGTACTCGCTGGGCTGTCGTGTCTGATAAAACTGAAAATTTTCCAATAAAACACTTGGCAGATAATCAACGAGTTCCGTACTGACTATGCATGATTTCTGACAGAAAGTAGTAAACTTGAAAGTAGGAAATTTATTTTACAGTTTATTTGCCATTAAACTACAGATATAGAACAAAACTGTCTGCTGAAGTAAAGTGGAAATTTATAAACGGCGGTTAACGCGAAGAGCGGCTGCCAATTTTTTCAGACATATTTGGCACAATGTAACACGCGGCGCGCGAATTTCTGCAGCAAGATAATTTACTGTTGTGTATCCCAAAACCTTTTTTGAGATTCCTTACTTAAATACGTATGTATGCATAATTTCCTTTTTATCGCCGATGCAAAACGAGGAGCGAGTAAATTTAGGGTCGGGTCGCATGTCTCTGCCATAATATATTCATGTGCTTTTGTTTTGATAATAAGCTAATGAGATCTTTGTTATGTTCATCAATAGCTGACATTGAGAACTGTGGGAATTTTTATGTCACTGAAACAAAATTAGATTGAAGTATTTAGTTTCAAATCAGCTAATCTAATGTTTCTTAATTTTACGAAAATAAAATTAATATTTAATCGCTTTCCGGCTCATTCCAAGTTGTTTATTGTTTCTTCTATAAGTTCTACTGCTATATAATTAATAATTATAAAAGTTTAGCAACGACTGACAGACAACCGATATCATTATAATAAAACAAAATCATCATCCTCATCGCGTTCAAAGAAAAATGCAATTTTGCATGCGAGTAGGAACGGACGTAAGACGGTGGGGCACGATGAATTGGACACCGGGTCCGTGCGAGTAGGCGCACGGGCAATACGAGGACCGAGAGCTTCGTAGTGGCCATAGTAGCCAACTAGCTCTAAATAAAACATATACATATGTTATGTGGAAGTATTTACACACGCGCACGTTTTATTCTGCCGCTTCGTACCACAGACAGTTTAAAACATACACAAAAACGTGCGAATATAACAAAAGACTAACTACAAATAGTTCCTTTTTTATGTGTGTAAAAAAATTGCTGGTGATTCTATTTAGTCGTGTAGTAGGCGGCGACATTGTCCACTGGGCACCGTGTAACATTTCGTGTAATGATTGTGCGGACATTTCGCTGAGCATATTTCATGTTCAGATTAAAAACTCATACAAACTCAAAAAGGTAGCTGAGTACATTATGAGTTACAAAAAATAATTAAGGTATAATTTAGTGTAATATATGGCGGTTGTACACACGCGCCTTGCGTACGAGCTTCGAGTTAATCGTCGCCAAACAAAAACATAATGTAGTCTGAATCTATAGTAGCTACTCACTATCATTATTACGTTGGATGTAATAAGAATCTTTGGCAGGTAAGTATCGCGAAACTGCGGCAGCGTTACGACAACAAAAAACTATCTGAACGTGCTCCTCAGTCTTGTGTAAAATATTTTCAATTGAATAATAGATTGCTGAAAATAATAATATCATCATAGGTACTCTAATAATAATTTCATTTCATTTTGTACTGTCTATTTTGATGTAAAAAACTAACTTTGCTACGTGGCTATTGACACTTATTTGTTTCACAGAATAACTACTGTACTTTCTTTATTTTTCTGGTCTGATCTTAAGATTTAATATGTTCTAGTTGTTAAGCCATCACATTGTGTGAGATCTATGTGTATACTTGAATCGTGCTATATGTATCGAATCAGAATAAATTAATAAATACTACTCTGTGATACGACTAACAATTAACTGATATTATAAAAAACACTACATAGGCATGGATTGATCTGCGGATATTTGGAAAATTACACCTTTGGTTCATTTATCGGACAGTCGTAATAGGTATGTAATTAAGTATAATGGGTAATTCATCCAATCAGTTTAGGCAACAAAACTTCTTTCGGACTAATTTTTAACCTCACTCATATAATAAAATTGTAATTAGGCGATGGTTGTACATGGGAGATATTTAAAAAAATATATGTTTGTTCTGGTATCACACAAAAACTATTGCACCAAATTGGATACAGCTACTATTGTTACTTTTGTCTTCGAAGGGTCCAACTTGAAAATTGGTGATCTTGATACGACATACAGAAGTAGTTATTTTAATTAATGTTTCCATATTTGAAATGCAGCGTACGAAGCGGCTAGGAATGAGCTAATCTTTTCTAAGAATAATAAGTACCTAAAAATAACTACTAAAATTACTATAAACAATAATTATTATTATTTATCCTATTATTTCTGCACCATATATATATATATATATATATATATATATATATATATATATATATATATATATATATATATATATATATATGTTATGCTTTATATACAAACTCTATAGACACTTTCTCCTTTCGGGCTCTCAAGGTTGCCTGGAACAAATCCTTTCGAGGGCTAAGTCCGCCTGTGTACATTTTTGTTATAACCTAATATCTGTACTGTAAACACATGTACATAAACATATAAATAATTGTAAGCAATAAAACTTTCGCGTACATAAGGATATTATTTCTAGTATTTAATTTCTTCAAAACATTCCGTAAACAGAACGTACGGTCGACTTTTATAAAATAAACATTGCATTTATATTCGTAATATTATTGAATATGACTTATTGCTGTTAAAATAGCTGCAGTACACACGGTCAGCACTCGCGACGTCTATCTAGTCTTTGTACTATTGTTGTAGTGCACCACATGTGCAGCTAAATAAAAACTATCGGAATTCACGTGGAAAAATTGATAGCGAGTGACACTTGAAATCTATTAAGATACATATGTATACACGGCAGCTTCTAATAAATTTTTGACCAATATCATGCGGGAATCCACCTGCCTTACTTTGGGAGGTGTCAATTTATCACACTTAGTTTTATTAGCATTTTCAGAGCAGGTTGTTGTCAGTGAACCATGTTAGGGCAGCGGAAAGATACAACAGTTGATTTATAGAAGTCAATAAATTTGATGTCTAACTTTAAATATTAAAAGGTAAGGGGGATGCATTTACCAAAATAAATTTGTTTATTTACACTTTCGTACACCTTTAAAATAAAATATGTCTACAGGGTGGAATTAATGCCTAACGCCATTCTATACCAGTCAACAGTTACGCTAAACAAAGATACTAAATGGCGGTGCATTGAAGTAATGAAATCAAATTGTATTATAAATGGAATATTTATACTTAAAAAAACATTTACGTACATAT